TTTGTACCATTTTCCCTTTTTGCCAAGTGGATCGAAGTTTTGTTCCATCTATCTGGTTTTCTAACTCTACTTTCTGCTAAATGTTACAAATTTTGAATTTTTTTGAAGAAAGGCAAATCGTGACCTCGCTATGACGTCAGGACTGTGCCCAATTTCAAATCTAATCCCACCAGTGGATAACCTTTATAAATTGGTTTAAAATTTCAAAACCAATCCCACCAGTTTATAAATCTTGTAAATGGCTTTAAAGTAGGTAATGGTACCACTGCAGGTTGAAAAGTTTTTGGGAAAACGGTATTTTGGTGCACCCATTTAAGAATATTTTTCACTTTTGCCACATGATGGCACAACCGCAACTGGTACCAAAAAGCCCCTTCAGAAATCACATCTACATCATACTAGAAGCACTCTCCCTTTTCCCGTTCGTTAGGCCTAGGCCTTATCATATCGCTGCTCGCTGTCGAATTTCAGTCGGGACGACATTCTGCTCTGCCGCGCTAATTTCCGGGCAAAAGCTTTGCGAAAACCTTGGGATGTGTTGCTTGGTAAATTCTATGATTTGTTTGATTATTTGAGCAAAGAGAGTTGAAAAATAACAGAGCTTCGTCCGACCGCTTGGGGTGCCAAATGGGCCAAAATTTTAAGACGGGATAGAATCTTATGAAGACAGAAAAGGTATCTGAAATTGTTGTATACAGCGTACTCTCGTAACCAATTTTTTAATATTTTTCAGCGCCTCCACTACCAACTGCCCCTCCTTCAAATTTGCTTTGGATCCGCCCCTGTCTGTAAAGACGATTTAACGTATGATTTACTGCAAGCTAAAATGCACATAGCAAAAGTAGTACATGTTCCCTAATTTAGTTACAGACATCAACTTTTTCAACCTGTGTCAAGCAGATGGTTCTAATACTGACAAACACAAGTTCGAGTTGTTTTATGAATACTAAAATCCCAATTCATCAGCATTTCAAAATTTTAAAGAAAATGTTGTTTAGATCAAGATAGGAAAGCAACATTTCATGAAGGGTGATCCTTTAAAATTTTCCAGTAGCTAGTAAGATATGTGTGCAGCCCTATGTTTTTGTGTGCATTAGATAAGCCTCTGAAAAAATCTCGTGTGTGCATATGCTACACTCTGCAGACTGGTCTGGCACAAAGTTCTTCACCGTTTCCACATGGTTCATGCCTATAAAAATGCTACAGAGGATCACGATGAACTCTTCGACTTTAGCTTGCAGTAAATCATACGTTAAATCGTCGTTACAGAAACGAAACCTTTTCAGGTCTTCAAACAAAAACGCACCAGATTGCATCGCACCCACGATCTCTGGCAACACCAACGCCATCTTTGGGTGTCGTTTGAGTAAAGGCCTCGTTTGCATGTTGCGGGCTCACAATTTGCGGACCATGCCGATTGGGACAAAATTCAGTTTGAAAATCTCATCAAGCGATCAGCGAAAATCTCATCAAGAAGTTGTGCAAATATTCTGGTAAAGATACTAGAAATGTCTTGAAGAAATGAATATATGCTATCTTGTGAAGAATTTTTGTTGTAAAGAGAGATATATCCAACTCTTGATGATATTTTGAAGTCTTCATAAGATTCTATCTCGTCTTAAAATTTTTGGCCCATTTGGCGCCCCATACTTTTGGCACGGCCAAAATAGAAATGCTTGCTTGCTTACTTACTTACTTTGTTACTTGTTTGCTTGCTTGCTTACTTACTTACTTAGTTACTTGTTTGCTTGCTTGCTTACTTACTTACTTAGTTACTTGTTTGCTTATTTGCTTGCTTGCTTGCTTGCTTGCTTACTTAGTTACTTAGTTACTTGTTTGCTTGCTTGCTTGCTTACTTACTTAGTTACTTGTTTGCTTGCTGGCTTACTTACTTACTTAGTTACTTGTTTGCTTATTTGCTTGCTTGCTTGCTTGCTTGCTTGCTTGCTTACTTACTTAGTTACTTGTTTGCTTGCTTGCTTGCTTACTTACTTAGTTACTTGTTTGCTTACTTGCTTGCTTGCTTGCTTGCTTACTTGCTTACTTGCTTACTTACTTACTTAGTTACTTGTTTGCTTACTTGCTTACTTACTTACTTAGTTACTTGTTTGCTTATTTGCTTGCTTGCTTGCTTACTTACTTACTTAGTTACTTGTTTGCTTACTTGCTTACTTGCTTGCTTACTTACTTACTTAGTTACTTGTTTGCTTACTTGCTTACTTGCTTGCTTACTTACTTACTTAGTTACTTGTTTGCTTACTTGCTTACTTGCTTGCTTACTTACTTACTTAGTTACTTGTTTGCTTACTTGCTTACTTGCTTGCTTACTTACTTACTTAGTTACTTGTTTGCTTACTTGCTTACTTGCTTGCTTACTTACTTACTTGCTTACTTGCTTGCTTACTTACTTACTTAGTTACTTGTTTGCTTACTTGCTTGCTTGCTTGCTTGCTTGCTTGCTTACTTACTTACTTAGTTACTTGTTTGCTTACTTGCTTGCTTGCTTGCTTGCTTGCTTACTTACTTAGTTACTTGTTTGCTTGCTTGCTTGCTTGCTTGCTTACTTACTTAGTTACTTGTTTGCTTGCTTGCTTACTTACTTACTTAGTTACTTGTTTGCTTACTTGCTTGCTTGCTTGCTTGCTTGCTTGCTTGCTTGCTTACTTACTTACTTAGTTACTTGTTTGCTTGCTTGCTTGCTTGCGTATTTACTTATTTACTTACTTACTTACAAGATCCCCCATTCCAATATGTACTTATTCTTCGTACATGAAAAAAGAAACAATGATTATGTTTTAATAATTGCTTTCTTAATTTATGTAGCAACTGTAATGGAGATTTCAGCCCTTTGATGACTGAGCCTCTTGGTTGAGCTTATGAAGATATCAGTGTGGCTCAGAGGAATGTGATAGATTTAAAAGGTCAACTATTTCTAATTTAGCTGATTTCTCGATTGAACAACTATCAACAAAAAGCATAAAAGGATTCAGGCTAAGATATCGTTTTTCAAGGAATAAGTCTTTTGATGCATGCTGAATCAAGAATTAATCTTATATCGTAGGGATATAAGATTATTTTTGCATTCCTTTTCTTGCAAACAGCACAAGTAAAATAAATCACCTTTTATTCCAACTTTCTAGTCGTAATTGCATTTGCGAATACATACGTCAAAACCAGAGACATGTACGCAGGGGCATTGAGAGGGCGGGTTGGGAGGGGCAAAAGGTCCGAGGCCCGTGCTCCGGCAGGGCCCGTAACAAAGTAGCGAGATCTATTTACAATGCAAAAAGCTACTATTTCAGCCATTTATACTGATTAACGTCTGTAAGTTTATCGCATGAAATTTCCACATGTCCTTGGTTTATGTAAAATGTTTTAGCACATTCTTGTAAAAATCTTTAAAAATATTTTCAACAATTGTACCTAAAAAGGGCGTTTTCCTTGTTCTCCGGGAGACTGAAGGGCGTGGTAACAGTATATTTTCTGAAAGGGGTCCAGTTTTGTTAATCACCCCTGGGCCCGAGCTGCCTCTCGACGGCCCTTCCTGTACGCAACTCTTGACGAAGTCTTCAGTTCAAAGGCTGCCCGTGCGCATTTGTGCATGATTACACGCCATCGCTACTCAAACACGCTCCAACTCAGTTTAATGGCCTTTAATCCTTGACGTCATCCTACTCCGCATTTATCAGCCTACCACGGCATTCCAGAGTAGCTTGATTAGTAACATTTACTATACGAATTAGGCAGAAACAATTTTGCTACCTATTTTACCTTACATCAGAAAACGATTTTCCCCACTAACTAACGATTTTGCCGATCTGAGAACGATCTGCTGACCAAGTAAAAAATAAACTCGTGGCTACATTTAGTAGGGATTCGTTTTTAATATGTTTTTCATTTTAATCATCCACTTATTTTGCAGCATAGTGGCAAATAAATAGTTTAAACTTTGTTTTGAACCGTTCGGTACAGTAGTTTTCTTTTGATCAAAATGGAATTAAAACTTTTTAAACAATAGAGCACTTGCGTCATGAATTCCAATCTGATCGAACGGAACTTATCAGAACAACACGATCTGATCCGATCCGCGGATCGTTTTCCAGAGTGTGTTTTCGGCTTAACTCATATCCATACAACACCATAATGAAAATGTTTTCATCTGCAAAACGTTCGTTTTTTCTTAATGCAATACAGTGCTATTAATTAATGTGTTTTAATCGCAAAATATTTTATCATATAGGCCTAAGTATTTCCATTTTTTCATTGTTTTACTATATCAGTTTTACTACAAATTTTTGCTTTTTGGATTCCAGTTTTACTCTCCGTTTCGTTTTATTACCTTTGTTTTTATTTCGTCGTTTCTTTTCTCGAGGGATCAGATTAAAGAAAAAATAAAAACCATAAAAACCGACAAAAAACAGTCCAATTTGGCCACAGCCCCCCTCCCCCCCCTCCATAGCAGCAACATTGCGACAATGGCCTAAGTCTAATAACAGCTTGTGGTCACCTAGATACATCAATGTTACGAACTGTGCACAAGAAAGAAAGGGAGCCTAACAAATTAAATTTTTCAAGAAATTTTGTTTAAGGTGTTTTGCAAGATGTCGACCCAGCAGGTTTAGTAAGATGGAGATTATTTCAAAGGTAGGTACAACTTATGAAACATTCTTGTTTTTAATTTGTTGAAATTCATGTAAATTTTTCATATTGCTGAGGGATGCTGCGTGTTAAAAGGTGTCAAATTAAGATGAAAACCGTATAGGTACACGGTGACTAAACTCAAGCAATAAAATGCTTTCGCGAATTAGGAAATGAAGTAGAAAATAATATAATCAGACAAAAATGAGGATATGTATACGCAGCCTACGTCTCTTGTTCCTTGTATGACCAAAGTGTGTGTGCGTTACCGGGGTTGTGTTGGCGGAAGTTTAAAAGGCTCCTATTGTGGAAGGAGAGTTTTATAAATAGCAAAGACATTTGGGCTATCTGAATTATCCGGATCTGATGCGTGTCGCTATCATCAGGGGCCCTGGTGATTCAAAGAGGAACAAAAAGCTTCATTGAAAATACATAGACCAATTTGGAATCCCAACACTTGATGCGAATTGCCTTGATACGTCATTCGAAAATTTGTCTCACTTAGAACAACAGGAAGAAGCCCCGGGCGACAGTTTAGTTTTGGTGTCACTAAAGCGGAACGGCGGTCACTCAATCACAAAGAAGCGTTTGTTTCCAGTTTTGTTTATTCCATGACGTTAAAAGATATCAACGGCAAATTTTGCGGTTCGCTCGCCTGTATAAAAGAGACGCTCGCTTTGACGAAGCTAAGAAATCAGATAGTAGAGTGGCTTAAACAAGACAAGAACGATGGCAAAAAGAAATCAAATTCTATTAACGATAATCTCCATGCTGCTCGTGGCATTTCACGATGCAGGTGAGTGTGGTTTTGAGTTATCATGTAATTCTTGCTCTGATTTTCATTAATCGAATTAGTTATTAGACTGTTGAATTCACTTCGATGGTAAGATTTTAAATATCAGAAGCGATATGTGCAATAATACTTTGCTTTATGTAAAATTAGCTTCTAACTCAAATTATGTTCAGCTCAAGTTTATCAGTGAATTGACAGACCAACGAACTTCCCCTTTTGACGATGTTTACGTCGTTTTACAGATGAATTTTTCCTTATAATGCTAAAGGGAATACGGAGGGCTAGACATTAGATGTATGCAACGATTGTGCCAAAACTGGCAGAGATCTTGCTGCAATTATTGGCTTAAATTGATTTTTTTAGTCTATATATTTTCCTTCTGTTTTAAGTTTCGTCGGTTTTATATTTGATTTATGTCATGTGCAATTTGAATTTCCAAGTAAGCGATGCCTTAAATTCAACGATATATGATCTTAAACACTGAGAGTGTCTTACTTTCTGGGACGGGATGGATTTTTTACATAAAGCAGAGCATTCGAGCATTTTCCTTGCATGCTCTTGATTGCTAATGACGTCAGTGCATACTTAAAAAAGACTTCACTCTTTTCTTATTCAAAACAAGAAATGTTTTTTGCTTGCCTGATGCACCTTTAAAAGCAAATGTGAACACAATCCTGAAAAGCAAGTCACCAGGGCCTACTATGGGCCTTAAAGATACCATTGCCTCCCCCATTTTCAAATTTGCGTCGCCCAGGGGCGGGAGGGGGTTAGTCCCTATTTTTCTATACTAAGGCTGTCCATGTCAATATTTGGGGTCTGTGAAATACAGGTAAAGAAAAATTCAATACTTGGGGTCTGAGAATTACCGCTTAAGAAAAATTCAATATTTGGGGTCTGAGAAGTGAAAACGAAGTTGTAAAGAAAAACCAAATACAAGAATGACAGCCTTATCGCAGAATCATATTCAGAGATTGCTTACACCTAAATATTTTTTAAACAACTCTTCATTACTGCAATGGTTATCTAATTACATTAAAACTACTTAATTGTAAGTCAGCCATTACTCTTAGGTTCCGAACAAACGGGGTGGCGCTTATCAATTTTCATTTTTGAAATATGTTTGTTTCAAAAAAAGGGGTAGTTCAAAATAAGTAACAATATTAAGGGTCTCAAAATTTTGAGACTCAATATTTGGGGTTTTTCAAAACTGTAACTCAGTATTTGGGGGTCAACAAAAAGTTGCTGACATGGACTTTATAGCAAAGAAGTGAGTACCCCCTCCCCCTGGGTTGCGTCGGAGCCCATGGCCATTCATTCATCGCATCATCTCAAACGAAACAATATCCCAATTTCAAGAGCAATAAAACAAGATGGCCATATGACCAAGAACGTACATATCAGTAATGGCGCCTAGGCAAATATTGTATCTATCTTAACAACATAATTGAAGCGGCAACTGATAGAAATTGGCGAAAAACCAATGGCATTATAACTGCTCTTTGAAGTGGCAGAGCTATTTTTTCGGTGTGTTTACTGTTTTGTTATAATTTTACAAGATTAGCCAGTGTAGTATTTACGTTAAACAATTCCTCTCTGCGGCCTCTCTACAACCATACCTATAAATTGGTTATTACAATGCTTTTCTGTACAGCGCCACATATATTAGATACAGAAGAATAAAAATAAGATACAGAAAAGGCTTGGTGAACCAGCAGTGGTCAGGGCTGTTAGAACCAAAAGATGGTGAATCAAATTGTGATAGAAGCATGAAACCTGATAGAAGCATGAGACTTGGTAGAAATACACAGTTTGATTTAGCTGAAATAAATAAGATGCAGACCCCTTCGACAAAATATCCAAAATGCTATTTTTAGACAAAGGTATTAGATCCCAGGCTTCTACAAGGGCCATTAGAACAACGGTGCTGTGATTTTCGATATAAGCAGGAAACTTGGTAGGGATACAAAGTTTGATACGCTGAAAAGGACAGGATGCAGATCCCTTCAAAAAATGCCCCGAAATGCTATTTTTAGACTGGGCCTCTGCAATGATTAGCAGCATGTGCTGTTAACTGTGACATAGCCATGAAAGTTAGTAAGAATTCACTTTTTGATACCCTGATTTTATTCATAGACTGAGGGTACTTGATTCCAATGTTGGTTCTGCCCTAACCCCCCACAACCTAAGCGGCATTAAGTGGCTTTTAGCTTCAGAAATCATCGTTATGACGTAGAAAAGTTCTGATATCAATAACGCTTTCGTAATTTATCTTTTGACGTCACTTCTACTTTTTTGTTTTATTCGTTTGTATGCTTCAATTACACGACAAAAAAATCTTTACCAAGCCTTCTCCGAACTCTGTCGCTTAAAGTATATTAAAAGGTAAATTCGGTCCTGTAAATAACTAAGTGTTCTCCTTATTCTATTGATTAAATGCCATTAATAGGCAAATCTGTGTCAGTTGAATCAAAAACCTGATTATACATTTACCTATGTTTCTTATTACATCATCAAGCTTTCTCTTTGTATAATACAAGAACATCGCCTATTGCCCATTCCTATTCCAAATTGGGGAAATCTCTTAGTTACCTGAATAAAAGATTGATTGTGGCTATAGCGTCTTGTTATTCAGCCCTCTTCTCTAATGACTGACTTTTTGCATTCCTGCAGTTTCGCAAAGCTGCACGGATTCTGAGCAGGAAAGTTATTGCAAATATTGGAAATCAAAAGGCTACTGCGCTGCTGGTAGCGACTACAGACCATATCTGGAAAGTGTTTGCAGAAAGACGTGTGGCTTCTGTGTCGGTATGTTCACATTGACTAGTATTTTCCGAATGGATACATTTTGATTGTCAGCTGCACAATATTCTACCAATGGCCATTTCGCAGCTTCCCCGTTTGCATTATCTAAGATCCAAAGCTCTAATTCGACTTTTTGTGTTTTACAATTACTTCAACTATTACAATTACTACTTTATTCTATAAAAGTCTTATAAGACGGTACTTGGGATATTTAATAAATCGCGAGCATTCAAATATCTTCTTGACAACACCCATTGAGACCATTGCAAGGTTGTCATGCGTGGCTCAAAGTGGCTTTTCATTAGAGTTTTTACATGTATGAAATCCATTTACATTCAACATTCAAAAGCAAAATTTGTGCTAGCAATCTAAATTTTGGTTTAAAGAACAAGGAAGAAAAACAAAGGATAATTTTTCGAAAACTTGGGCTGTCCGATTAATGTAAAGGTTTACAGTACTGTTAGCCTAATGTGTACCTTTATTTTCTAGACCCTTGCCTAAACAAACCCTGCAAGAACGGTGGCGTGTGCCAAAGTAGTGGTGCGACCTTCACTTGCTCCTGTACAAGAAGATTCGAAGGGAAAACATGCGAAAAAGGTACTTGGTAATAGGGGCCTATTAATCGTTTCAACTGTGCAAAATTCCCTTTTTGCTACAACACGAAGATGCTAAGTCAATTTTGGTGTGTCTTATCATCATATGTTTCCTTGTTCTTTTAAAGAAAAACCCTGTCTCAACACAGCAAAGTATATGGGTTCCTGTGCTAATTGGAAGAAAAATGGCTTCTGCATCCCCAAGTCTCGTTATTATGGTTTTATGCAAGATCACTGTCCTTTGGAATGTGGCTTCTGTAAATGTGAGTGTTATCAATTGTCATCTAAATGTCATATGATTATAAAGTTATCTCTTTGTCTAACATGTCTGTACTCAACACATGACCTTTTAAACTGGATATAATTATATATATGAACCTGAGGTTTTTAGAATATGTTGCCAGCAAAAGTAGTGAAGTGCTTTCTAATGATAACTTCAACTTTACCAGGGCTTTTCGGGGCTACACCTGACCCAAATCCTGGCCCAGTTCCCGTGCCCCTTCCTACCAAAAGCAATAAAAAAACCCTATATTCGTTAATATCTGATATCTGAACGATATAATGTTCTTAATTTGCTTTTAGTCTATATTTGCCAAGCGTTGTAAAACGTTTCTAGAACATAAATGATTTGTAATTGCTGTGTCATTAAATAGAGACAGACAGTTTACTTATAAGCGCCCCTTTTTTGCTTACAGGCCTAGGGGAAATCGCCCCCTATCGGTGGGCCTGATCTTTACTTCTGAACCCCTTCTCTGTTGGCCTAATCTTTATTTCTGACATTGCCAATGACATGATTTCTATGCCCCCAGCCATTCCTCCCCTGAATTCTAAATTGACTAGCGCTGTTTGCATCGTCTTTTATTAGTATCGATAATCGAAGTTAAGAAACGCTGCTTCAACTCAAAACAATATGCATCATATTGCCCGTCATGGAAGAGTAAAGGTTTTTGCGACTCTGCTTCAAAGTACTACGGCTTTATGCAAGACCACTGCAATCGTGAATGTGGCTTCTGTAAAGGTGAGAACATTTCCTATCTTTTGTCTTTTCGTGTTTTACCGTATTTATGAGATACCATAACAATGAATTTTTTGCAGATTTCTGTAACTGATTGTTAGGCTCCAATTTAGTGTTGATTTTCATTTAACTTTTCATTTTCAATTGAAACCTTTTTTCATTCTTTAGATTTTATTCTATTTTTCAAGCATTTTTCTTTTGCACTTCAAAAACGGGATCATTTCTAATTTGAGTTCTCTTTGCATACAATGTCCTCCAAGTTATTAGTTGTGTATTCCAACTGAGGGGGGGGGGGCAACTGTTCAAATGGGTGCCAAAAGCTTGTTGAAAACTTATTTGAGGGTTCCCGTCGAAGAAGAAAAATGTTCCAATGTTGCCGTCGAAAAGTAAATCACCTTTCTATCCGAAATTTTGAAAAAGACCATTGCTAACCACTGCGAGAAACCACTTTGCTAAGGTGCTACAATACCTTTTGCCCACCATTTGTGTAGTGATTAAACGGATTTTTCAAGTGATAAACAGGAATAATGTGCAGTGATAAAAAAGTATTTATAGACATTGCGAGCAAATTTTACGCATTTTCACACACGTGCCACTTCACCTTCCCCGCAACTGGCTGTTCGCCATTGCTTTTCAAACATCCACAACTAACACCAAATTTGCCTCACGACACTCTGGTTACATATAAGACAATTTTAAATAGTAAAATTTTTACGATCAGATTTTACAAAAAAGACCTAAACTTTAAAAAGCTACTTAGCCTAGTATTTTTAGAAGAAAAACTCTTCTGTCGATATTTTTAAGCTCATGTTTTATTATTAAACATATTCCTTCTTAAATTTAATTGAATCATAAGACTTTTTGGTGCTACCTAGACAATTTGAAGCCACTACACTACTGTTCAGTTCACTATGTTTGAGCTCTCACTACTCCCTATTTCCAGACTCTTGTGAAGACCATGGAAGTGCAGATTACTGTACCAAATACCAACCATACTGCAAGCACTCAATGGTTGGTGAAATAGTTTCAAAAAACTGCCGAAAGACGTGTAAAGTATGTCAAGGTATGTCTGCACATATTAATTTGTAATTTTAGTGGTTTGTCTATCATCAGGTTCTCTATCACCAAGTGGAAGGCTTAGAGGGCTAGCAATTCCCCACCAGAACCCCAAAATGAAGAAAAACCTTGTCTTTTCTGAGCAATGCAAGTTTGGGGGTTGTTCCCTTGAAAAGCTAGGGCCTGGTGCATCCCTTTTTATCAAATGAAAGATAAAGCTACATTTCAAATTATGCAATAATAGAAGAGATATATGCTATGATTTGTTTATTTAGACACTCCAGCTTGTGGCAAGGGATTGGACAAAGTATTTCAGTTTCGAGTTGTTGGAGGAGAAAATGCAATCAAGAACTCATGGCCGTGGCAGGCTCTCATGTTAAAGAATGGTAAATTTGACTGTGGTGGGACACTTATTGCTAAAAAATGGGTAGTGACTGCAGCACATTGTCTCCGTGGTGGTATAGTGGCAAAAGATTTGAAAATTATTCTTGGAGACCATGACAGGTATCTTGTTTAATTACTACTTTTATTGCAAAGAAGGGGAATAAGCAATGATCTTAATTGGTGCTTAACAAACAACAAACAGGTAGCTTTGGTTTCGGATTTAAAGTGGGACATTTATAGCAACACACCAACTGAAAAAACATTACCTAAGAGTGGAGAGAAGCCTTTTCATGAAAAGGAAAACGTCTGACCATTTAATGACTAATATTAGGTCTGTCTAACAGCATGAAAAAAACATTCTCAAAATCTACAAGGTGTGGTTTAAACAACATCCCTATCTGGTTCAAATCCATATTGCTGCACTTTAATGCAAACAATTTCCAATCTTCAGACAGATTGATTAATCAACACCTGAAATTGAGATGTTAAATTCCAATATTATTTAGTTTGGCCGCTTCTAGATATCAATATATAACTAATTTAATTTTGTTTCAGAACCAAAAGTGAAGGTACAGAGCAAGAAATAGATGTTTTAAGGATTGTGAGGCATCCAAGTTACAGTTACCAAACTAAAGAAAATGATATAGCACTTCTTGAGCTAGAAAAGGATGCAGTACTGAATAAGTATGTTGGAATTGCCTGCTTGCCAACATCAGATCCTGTACCATATCACAGCTTATGCTACATTACAGGTATTTGCCGATTATTTATTCCTGTATCAGCTAAGGTATCATAATTAGGGACATCGTAAGCATTTCAAAGTTGGCGGGCCAGAGGTAGGTAGTGGCACTTTGCGGCAGAAAATGGGCACTTTTTTCAACAAGGTCTCTCATTGGAAGATATTTTTCAAAATGTTGTGGGGCAACTGGTACATTCATGGTTCCGATGTCCCTACCTTTATATCACATCAATGGATTTATGTAAAGGGGAACAGTAGTCTTAATTGTCTATTCTTATTTGTATAGAACCCTATTCTAGATAAACCCAGTGAAAATTTGAAAAAGGCTTGCGTAAAGTACCTTTTAATGATCTTTTCACAATGTCCAGCAGTAGGGACTTATTAACTGGAATCTGGGATGAGCACTGCTGCAATGCATTTGGGTTTGATACTTATTGATTTTTGTCATTTACAATGCAAGTATTCTGCTTGGGAAATGAAAACGTTTTGTTCTAGGAATTTGTATCAAGGTTTTGAATTTTGCAACTCAACGCATAAATTATACCACACGATTATTGACATAAAGCTCTCAGTTAAGAATTACAAGAATTTAATGATTTGCATATTTTTAATAGGTTGGGGACGTACCCAAGGTTTTGGATCTTCGGCTAACATATTGCAAGAAGCAAAACTTCCAGTAGTCACTAACAAAAACTGTTCTTTATTAAATGGAAAGGAGAGGATCAGTAAAGGCATGGTTTGTGCTGGATATGGCCTAGATTTTAGCCACAACCAATCTGGTTGTAACGGTGACAGTGGTGGCCCTTTTGTTTGTGGTAACGGTGACATTTGGACTTTGCAAGGGGTTGTCAGTTGGGGATCTTCAAGGTGCATATCTAGTGAAAGCTTCACAGTTTTTGCCAGAGTCAAATTTTATATTGACTGGATAAAAAAGACAATTTTGTGAGATGCTTTGTAGCAAAATAGTTGTGATGTATCAGATTAGACAAAATTAGGCCCTGTTAACACCATACTGGATAATCAATTATCAAACTACTTTGTAAAGATTATTCTATAACCAATGACCCCAGAAAACAAGAGGGAGGTTATTCATCAAAAGATTTTAATACTTTTTGAGTAGGAAGCAGCTCTTCTTCTACTCATGAAGTTATTGTGGATAGAGTACCATATTTCTCGGCCTCTTAATCAAGTTTCACAAAATACAGGTGAAAAGTCGACCTCAACTTATATGACAGTGACATGTTATCGCTAAAACTTTGTATTTAGTTACATGCTTTTATTCATAAGTGCTACATAAGTGCTGGAATTTTATGCAGAAAAGAATTCCTTTTGAAAAAAAGATTAGAACAACTTATAATAGGAGAGAGTGAACTACAGTTTTAGAAGTAAAATGGTTGCTCTCACAAGTTCTGTAATTTTTGTCAGCCAAAACTCAAAATGAATTGAAACATTTTTGAATTTAGAAGCAGCAAAAACTTGTATTAATTTTTAAACTTACTAAATAAAATATCAAGCGTTTGCAAGAGCAAGTTTTGGGGGTCACCTTATTTGCCAGGTATTGCTAAAAGTGTATATTTTTAACCAAAAATGAAGACTTAGAAGACTTGGGTTGGTTTACATGCCAAGAAATGCAGTAAATTATTTTTTCACAAAAAGTGAAGAATATTGTCTTGAAATATTTAATTCCCATTAACTTTTATGTTGTGAAGTACAGGGTCTTGTTTTCAAAATTAAAATGACCATTGTAAGTTTCCTATCTCTATGGTTTTTTGTAAGGCAACATAGTTTGAATCTTAAACTCACATTTTGTGCATTTAAGACTTTTTAATAATGACTGTAAGAAGACTTAGTTAGGTAGAAAAATAAATTAGGCACAATTTTGAAACATTTTTAAAGGACTGTCCTATTGTAAATCTACAAATTTTCATAATTTCTAAAAAAAATTGCAGCAAAAACAGTATTGTATGTTTTACATGCCATTTATTAGTTCCTGTCTTATCTGTGAATTTCTGTGTAAGCATGTAGTTTGCAGACTTGAATTTCTGGCTTCAATCAACTTTGTATAATTCCTGTATACCTTTGCTTTTCTAGGGCAAGTAGGTAGTATTTCTAAATGTTGTAATCAGTTATTACTGGAATAGAGCTTTTTCGTGTGTTTAGAACTTAAGAAGAAGGCAACACTAATACTGAATTAGGTATAATTTTCTTCTCTTGATTCATTAATGTTATTAGAATGATAACATTACATTCTACAAAATTTATATATACACACAGAAATGCCAAAAACCATTGGGGTCCTAGAAATGTTCCTTTTGTAGATTTACCAAAGGGTATTTCTACCATATTTCTTAGCCCTTTGGTTGATATGCTGACTGAAACTTTGATGGCTTTGGGATGATTTCATATGCCATTGATTCAGCAGCGAATGGCTGTGCCAATTCCCATAAACACTCCAAATGTACCACCTCCTTGCAGCATAACTTTTCCAATGCTTGATACTAATTCTCTCCCACGTAGCCCCATTCTACAATCAAGTATAAATCATTATAATTTTTCATATTGAATTTTAAAACAAATATACAAAAGCATGTCTCAAGGAAAAAAGCCTGTAATTATAAACTAGAACAATGTGAAGTGGAATTAATAAAATCAGGACAAAAACTTAAGATTCAAATAAATTAACACTAATGAAATGTTTTTCTTCATCCCAAAAATCAATAAGCATTGATAAAGGTTTCAACAGACCAGTAAACAAATTGTTAATCACCAATGCAACCTACAACAATGCAAATACAGAAAAAGATTAACATTGTTCTGTACTCAAATGTTTCTTTTCATTATCTTTTTTTTTGTTATTCATTGGTCATAGAAATAAGACTATTAATCACTTGATTCTTTAAACAAATACTCAAGTTAAACATGTCTGTTCCAGGCCATTCAATCTAAATTGTTTCAATGAATAAATGTTTAGCCAACAGAAACTGATTAAACCGGATTATAAAGAAGTGAGGTTTAAAGTATCACTGGTTCCGAATCTATAAAGGAGCTTTTCTCCTGGTAGAATCAAAGAATTCCCAAAACTGCAAAGAAGTAAATTCATATTTGACAGTGAAACTGTGGAGTTTCTAGTGATGGCAACTGTTTCCTTACTTGACCTTGAAACTGCAAGGAGTTTTCTCCTGTCAGTAAAATTCCTGTTTTACCCAGTAGATGTCAAGAAGTGAAACCTTATGGCTAACAGCAGTATTACCTATATTCACAAAAGTTTTCGATTTTGGAGATAATACTGATTAAAACAGTAAAATAAATAACTCACAAAAGAGATTTTTACCATCTTATAGTTCTGTTTCTTCTTGTTAATCTTCTCTTTTAAAATATCTACACAAATTTTCTCTAAGCTGGTGACATTATAAATTTATTTACTTATTTGACCTCAAACTAATTGACCTCACTTTAGATGTTTTTACTTCAAGCAATCCATTAATCTTTGTGCAGCATGTTTAAAAGTTGGATTACTATGGAAAGCATATGTATTTTTCTTCAAGATTTTACTCATTTGCTTTCTAAAAACTTCGGCATGGGATAACAAAGGAAGATTGAAATACAACAAGCCAGGTTGTACTTTTTGTGGTTTGCTTTAATGTAGTGGCCTACTTTCTAGAGTTACAAAAAATTAACTTATTCTGACCCCTTTTTGTATTTGACACTGAGTGCTACCAACATAAACCCCAGGCTTTATACCTTTGTTCCCTGTGTCTCCATCACATTTTACAGCTGCACACATGTCATAGCATAGCTTTTTAAAAATGTCTACATACATAGCAGATCTTTAAAAAGTGTACAAAACAGCTAAATTGTGTTGCAACATAGTTTGTGAGGAAGAAACAATTTCTGCCAATGTAGGGAGGTGGTCTTAGAGGAGTTGTAGAAAAGGATGTCTTACAGGACTATGTCATTAGACTACTGTGTAGCAAAGGCCTTTTTGGGTGAACAACAGGTACACAAATAAGCAGGTAATCACAACCATGTCTACTGTGCAAGTCTTGAATTGCAAAAATTCTGCTTGCTTAAAGAAAACAATAAAATTATATAAAATTATTGTCTCTTTGACTTTATTGCAACCTGTCGTGAAATTTTGGATGCAAGACCGAAAAACGAAGTGCTTTCTTTCCATTTTTGCAGCTAAAGACAAAGAATCTCGCAAATTGCACCAACAAATCTACCTTGCTTTCTTATCCAAAATTATCTCCATCCGAAAAGAGAAATGGAATATATTCCCCTTTCGATAAAGCTTATTATCCTTAACTGATTATGTATCTAAGCTCTGTTCGAAAGCTTAGATAGTAACTAAGAAATTATAGTAGATTTCTATACCATAAATCACTATACAGGGGCGGCGTGGGGTGGTATTAAAGGTATTAGTCTAATACCATTTTATTTTCAAAGGAAGGCGACTTTGGGTCTCTGAGATTGCAGGAAATTTATTTTGCTTTTTGTACGCTGCCACTTTTTCACAACAATTTTATCGATGCGACCAGCTCTATTCATATAGCCAAGCAATATTCGCTTTTCTGTTCGTTGAATGAAAGCTTTCCTAATCCTCATTGAAATCTTTGAAAAGTGTAATCCATGCTGTAATCAGCAGCCCTGGCCATGGTATTAGCCTCCAAAAACTAATACACTGCCCCGAAATTTCTTTTGTCTGTTGTGGTCTGCATGACGTGAATTTCTCTTGTTGAGCCATGGTCGAAGAATGGGTGAACAGCAGTCAGGTATTAGTTTTTCATTTCTAATACTACGAGGGCCACTGTCAGTGGAAGGGACGGTGGAAAGAGCCCCAGCTCTATTCTAAGGCCTCAGCTTATAGAAAAAATATTTCTGGAAATTAACTTTATGAATTTACAAAATGTAGCTGTACTTTTGCTAGCAATGCCTTTGGATGGCTAATTTGATTGACAAAATTTAGACACTGAATATAAAGAGCAACAGTCATGAAATAATTTGTTTAAGCTAAAGGCAGTTGTAAAAGTTGTTTTGTATGAACTGTATGTTTTGTAAAACTTCGATTCTATATGATTGTAGAGTCATAGGCAACATTCTCACATTATTTCTCTCGGTTTCTCAAATCAAATGATACATCTTACGTTTTTTTGCTGCATTACTCTAAAGTAAATCGCTCGCTTAATCGTAATAGAATCTCATTCGCGGGCCAAAAGCCTCATGGTATTAGAATTAATGGGCTAATACCTTGGGGCTCCATTACTGGGCAGCAAACCGCTGTATCAAAACACGATTTCGCTCGAGTAATTTGCCGCAGCCATAATTCATTTGTATTTCGTAGGACCGATCCTTCACCCAAAACTAGTAGGATGAACTACGTTACCACAGGGTCATCAGTGTCTGGGGGGAGACAACGGGGGCCAGTGCCTTCAAATAAGTTTGTAAGATATGGTATTGCCAAAAGCTATTTTAAACCATCATATCGAAAAGGTCATTTTGCCCACCTTCTTAAATAAGAACATATAAGCTCCACCCCTGTTAAATAGTTTCAGGACCTTGCAGGGGGACCTTCTTATGTCTTAATTTCGGAGGCTAATACCAATACTTTTCTACTCCCAGCCGCCCCTGTCACTATAACTGTGCTAAAGGCTAAGAGCCTGTCACAGATCTTTGGAGTGACTTCATCCTGGACAGACCACTCTACTGACAGACCACTGTACTGACAGACCACTCATGTCAAGTCAAACTCTAAATAATAACGAGTGTAACACCCAACTGATAGATAATGAATGTCAGAAAAATAGTCTGTCCTTGGAAAAGCCACTCCATACCCAGATTGGAATTTTTGCCTTGTGCAGGGGATAAATCCCCCGCGCACACCAAGTTTCAGCCACTATTGCAGCCGCGCAATTTTTGCTAAATTGATTCATCCAGCTGCACAGGATTCTTCTTTAACTGAAAACTTATCTTGTATGTACTTTTTGCTTGTGTGCACATGAGGCTGGTTTGTAAATGCTTATCTTTGGTATATTGTTTTTATCGCCACTAATGAAGTTACTAATGTTTTTCTCTGAAATGTATACCCAAAAGTTACACTGTATTTTTATGGTATTTGGTCTCAGCCGCACAAAATTTTTATCTGTGCTATTTGCAAATGCGCAACTTTCATGGACATGAAACAGATCCTCCGCGCATCTTTCACAGATTCCATTCTGGCAGTCCATACTCATTGTATTTTCTCAAAAATATAAGGTTGTTGTCTTAATTTAAGCTACTGAAAAAATTTCGTCTTTGCAAACAAAGTATTTCTTCTCTCCAAATAAATTGTCCAAATGATTCTTGAAAGAATTTAGCGTGTGGTCTAGCTGAGCAAGTTAGTTTCCAATAATCATGTTTTTTATCGAGCTTAAAAAATCGAGGAATGCAAATCGGCCCAGCTATAAAAAACAACGAGGAAAGATAAATTCCTTAACGAAAGCCGCCTTTTATTTCTGGAATGAGATCATTAACAACCAAAATGGAAAATTACAGTTTTTACGGTTGTTTCTATTGGATTTACTACCTGAGTGCCGAGTAGGTCCCGAAGAGAGCTGCTGAGCTCATGCCAACAGCACAACCAATCATGAATCCTAGCTTCACACGATCAAAGCAAGAAGGCTGCGGTGCTCGTTGCATTTTGTAAACTATATTTCTAGGTAGCTTATGTGCTTCGAGATATGCTCGCCACGCACTAGACCTTGGATCTGTACTTCCAGCATCTTAAACCCGTCTCAATATGAAACAAATTCTGCCTCTTCTCCAGAAAGCCTCTTTTAGGCAAATAACCTCGTAAGCGGCGGGGAATTCCAAATGGCCGTTTGATTTTTATCTTGTGGCAATGCTTGCCCCTTTCCTTTTACGACGATTTCAGACAATAACAAGAGGGACGCGTACAATATTTGAGATGAGGATACCGGACAGGTAATTTCAGGAATTTTATTTGCTTTCCTCCATATATCGCCACGGCCCGCCCCCGATTACGATATTTTTAATATTTTGTCTTGTTTTGCTCATATTACAATATTACATGATGAGTTTACAAAGATGAGTTGTACGTACGAAATTCTATAAGGAATCTAAAAGTCTTGAGAATGTCTAACGGTTTTAAATGTCGTCATTCTGAGATCTCACGAATTAATTTAAGATATCCCAAGGCCAGGAAAAAGCCATGTTCTCCCACAGCACAAGTCATGTATGCTGCGTTTGTTTTCCAAGAAAACAAGAAGTACCGTCTATAAATAGCAACAACTAAATGACGTCACCATACTATTAGCTGTCAACTTTTTAACGAGAAGACTATTTTTAGAGCTTTTGTGGTATCATACTAGAATAGTTTGAAGCCTAGAATATTAGAAAACATTTGATATATTTGTATATAGTGGAGTTTCGAATTATATGAACTCAACTGAGCTGAATTGAGCTGGAATTTAGTAGAATAATTAGTTGCTGGGATGTTTGTATCCAAAAGCAGTTTGTTGATGCCGGCTTAAAGGGAATTAAAATGTACAATTCTTGGTTATCTAGTATAAATTTTCATCCAATTTGCATGGGAATAGAACTGTATGAAAATACATTTTTGTATAAGGGTCTTGTAACAACAATGAGTTTGATTATTAACAGTGGGAAAGGGCTGACTTATTCATAGATGGGCCATTCCATATGAAACAACCAAAAATTCTGGGCACCATTTCAGATTCTTTTGAATTTTCTATCATATGAACTTTTTCTAGAAATAATACAATATACTGAAATTCCAGCTTCATGAGCTTTTGTCAAAGTCAGCCAAAATTTAACATTTTGGGCTTTAAGCACAATTTTGCCTAATTTGACATCCAATAACTCAACAGTGCAAAATTATATCAATTTGAAATTTGGTACCCAAGTTGTTTTCCACCCAAATAAGACAATTCTGGCATTACTTTTATACTAAAATACACTGTTTTTGAATTTGCACCAAACTAGGTAACACAAGTCTTTTTATTGATTATGTTGTCTTTGAAAGTTTGACAAGGCTTTAGGGCTAAGAGCTATTGTTTTGCCATGTTGTTTAATACTATGCTTCAATGCTTGCTTTGTGACATAATTTATGAAGCTCATGCTTTTTGGAGATTTCCAATCATGCACCCCTTTAATTAGCATAGTCATTGACCAATCATGGATTCGGACACTGTAAATGGCTTGTTTCTATTTCCACTTTTTAAGTATGCAACAAAAATGATACAAAATCAGTAGTGATACCTGGAGACTGTTGAATTTGCAAAAATATTTAATCATCCATAATGATTGTGTTGTTTTAACTTCAATCAATAGATGGCTTGAATATTCTCGGATAGGAGAAAGAATTGCTGGCTCTCCATTCATTTGCTTTAAAACACCTTTGTCAGAGGTAGATGTTTTATAAATATTATTATCATGCATTCTGCCTCTTGTTTCCAATAACTTAAGAATTATGAAATTTTATAAGTTGATCAATTGTTTCAAATATTCCATGCATTTTCTTTAAGAGTTTTATTTCTTTAAAAGCTATGCATTTTACAAGGCAATTGACAATATCATTTTTATACAAAATGGAAATTTATTTTTGACTTATGGATAACAGTACTATTAAAATTGGTGTAATGAATGTAAGCTTAAGAAAACAATTAACATAAATAGTTTGAATTGAAACATGCTTTCAACTAGGGGTCTGTAAAAGCTTTCTGGCTTTTAACATGTTTCAAAGTAGTCTATATTATAATGCATTTTTATCCAAGATATTTTCAGATTTTGTTCTGTGAGAAAATTGATTGCAAATTTGATTACTCTTTGACCTTTAGTGCTTTAAATTTCCTGTTCTAGTGTAGTGTGATGCTAATATGTAAAAAGTTGTTGTGCCTGTGTCTCTTCTTTTCTTTTTTACCTGCAAATACTACTATATGCTTATTGATTCACCTATTAGTGATGCATAACACTGCTCATATTACCTTTCCTAGAAATATAGTAACAAATACAGCCATGTCTATGGACTCAAAGAAGATGAAGAGTAAGTATCAACCAATGAGTTGTGTTTAGCATTGTTTATTTATACAGGTAGTCTGGTAAGCATGCCAAAGATGCAGATGCAGTGCCTAACTATGGCTGTCTCATGGCAACACAGGTCATCATGTGAATAATTGTAAATGTATAAGGATTCAATTCTATTTTACATCTACAGGTTTTTTATTTTTTGTAAAGCAGTTTGATGTAATGAATATTGAGTAGATTGAACAACAAATGGTAATTGCCCCCACTCTCGAATAAGCCCCTACTCTAGAACTACAAATTGTCAATAAGCCCCCCCCCTCGAATAAGCCCCCACTGCTACCGTAAATTCTCAAATTGGACCCCTCAATTTGATGATTTTTGCCATCTGAGATTGCCTATGGCTTTTTATTGAATTACCACAACAAATCCATGCTTTTGGTAGCAATTAATTAAATGATCATAAATTCTACTAAAATAAATGAGGTCTTTTAATAATGTCTTCTGCCCCCCCCTCGTATAAGCCCCCCTCATATAAGCCCCCCCTCAAATAAGCCCCCATCTAAAAATATCAAAAATAAATAAGCCACCAGGGGGCTAATTTGAGGATTTACGGTATTAGTGGGTTAAATCAGATTCAACTTGAACTGGGTGACATAAAAGAACCTGATTTCATAGCCCTGATCGTTTTCCCTCTTGTTTCAGGTTTACTCCTGCCCAGCTATGCAGAATATTGACAGCAGAAGGCTACAGACTGGGAATGGTCATTGATCTCACAAATACCTATCGCTACTATGATGGTGTTCAAGTGTGTGAATAGATATTTTAACTTTAAATAATATAGACATTATCAACAATAAAATCATTCCTTGATTAACACTTTTGAAAAATACTTTGTAATTCCTTGTTAAAATGTGGTTTATAAAGTTGTTATTATTTTCTTATAAGAGGGTTTAGGCTTATGCATGTTCTATTTGCATTGCTACTATCATTGCTGCATGATACCTTCTTCATACCTGGCCTGGAAAGGTGCACAATCGAGAGCAAGTGCCTAAAGTGATTGGATAATAGCCATGGGCAGCGATTTAATGAGTGTCTAAAAATGTAAAACAATATTGCCCAGAAGCAAAATATTTTTTTAAATTTATGTTAGTAAAACTTAAAAATTCTTCTTTAATGACAGAAATATTGCGGTTTATGCCACAAATCTCTTGATGGATAGATTTTATATCCAGTTCCTTTTAAGGCCACGTCTACAAGAACATTTTTTCAATGAAAATTTTTCCAAGCATCAAAAATACAAACTTAAAATTTTTTTTAGGGTTAAATCATTTAAAAACATAATGATATTTGAAAATGCATTGTTCCAATTGGATGCAGACCTTGTAAGGAGCAAAAAGCAGGTGCTTCACAGTCAGAGCACCTTCAATTTTCTAAGCAGTTGACCGAGCATCATCAGATATCATCAATAACAAGATTTGGTTTTTTGCATTTGATTTTTAGACATCATAAACATGTTAGGTGCTTGATCAATCAAGCTCCTAGAGCTTTCTCGGTAAGTGTGGAGGAACTTGATCGAGCTTGAGCACCTCCCCTTGCAAGGCCTGATTGGATGAGAAACGTTTGACTCACTTTCATAGAAAATGAAATTTTTTGCAAACAGCAATTTTTCATAGAAGTGTGAAATAGAGCACCTTGAATTTTATGGTGCATCTCATTTTGCTAAGAGCAAGATCCGCTTATTGTCTAGAAATCTCCACTAACATCAGTTGAAGTGTTTTTAGTTTCTCAGATAGGTAGGGTTAGGTCTTAATCTTGAACAAAGGTTCAAGATTAAGGTTTAAGCATTAGATTTTTCACCAGCAAGATAAATGTCAGCATAGTGAAGCAGAGTGCATTGGATAAGAACATTATTTGTGAATTGTTTTATTTCATCAACATATTATAAGATTTATATGTGGTTCACTAATGTTTATGATACATAAATTGTTAATAACTACTTGGAAATTGTTATGCCTGCTTATATATCAAATCAGTACCTTCTTTTATCACAAAGTTCCTTTTAAATTTGTTTTCATCAAAGTGTTGTATTAAATTCTTAAGTCTCTGTTTTGAAGCTAGAGAAGAAACTTAACTATTTTAAGCAAGTAAGGTAGTGTGTCATTACTTAGCATAAAACTAGGGATGGAGCTAGTTTTGCTGGTTTTAGGTTTGTTTCCATGTTTCATTGAAATAATAATTAACAACTTTTTCTAGGAATTGGAAAAAAAACATGGGATAAAGTATGTGAAGTTAAAATTTGACCCATACAACCCATCTTCATTTTCTGAGGTTTTTGAAATGTGAGTATATTTATCCATTGTTATATTGTGAAATAATGGTTTGATAATTTTGGCATGTTCTTTAACTTTGCTGTAAAGGTTTCATATGTTTTTTTAATTATGAGCATCTTCAGATCGTTGTAAGTTGAAACTACCTTCCCTAGTTAACTAGGGACATGCTTCTATGTCTAAATTACATTTCTTGCCACTGTTCTGATGTTTCTCGTCAAGTAGTGTTCACAACAACAAGTTTCAACTTTTGTATGCTGCTTTATGCTCATACGATATCAAATTCAATCTAGATTCAAACTATGAGGCTGATCACTGACATGATAAGTTACTTTTTTTTAAAGGAAAGGTTGCTGAAAATTGTGCATTTTATAAATTATGTCTCGAAGTTACTGATAAATAAAAATTGTTTTTGACATTTTCTCTTCACAAAACTGAATCTGTGTTTCAGATTTTACAGATAACTGAAATTGGTTTTCCTTTGAGAAAGAATCCTCAGTATACACAGGAACATACTTATACTCACATAAACTTATGCAAAGAACACAAGATCACAGAAACAGAAACAAATATTTTTTTCTTTCCTTTCTATATTAGCTATTTCAAAAGCTGCATGCATAGGTCTTGTAGATACAAAAAGAGTAATTTATACTTTTAGCAGCCTAAGTAGGCTTTTTTCAATAACCTTCCTTGCTGTTGTAACTGTGTGACTTCCAGTTTTCAGGTCTTGATTCAGTTTGATAATTGGATAAAATCCATAAACTTTTTACCAGTTTTTGTATCGTCTTAGGTTCACAAAAGCTGTAAAAGGACATGTTGACTGTGACCAAAAAGATAGTACGTAAATTCAAAGTCATCCTTCATCTTAGTTGAGCTAGATATGGATCTGAGTCTATTGCTTGCTTTTACTGCTTTTTTGGCAACAAAATTAAAGAAAAATAAGTTTCACAGGGCAAAATATTATGACTTTGGTCACATCAATAAGTCATCACCTCATTTTCCTGTTCCAAAATTGTGTGGAGCACTCAATGAAGAGAAATTAAGCCCTGAGACTTCCTCTCCAGGGTGCTCAGAAAGATAAATTGCAGATAAATTGAATTTCATTCAAAGAAGCCCTCATTATAGGCAGGAGCGTATCGATTGGTGGGGACACTTTGTGCTGGGCAGTTGTCAGGGCTTTGAAAAAGCTTTTCAATACTTTTCAAAGCGTCTTCGACATATTTTGCATGTGCTGTCGAAATGTTTGATCCCAAGAACTCGCCCTTAACAAAATGTAGTGCAGTTCTGACTCTGCAAATCTCGCGAAAGCTTCAATTCAGCATTGCAGTAGGCCGGGACAAAAGTTATTTCCGCCGAATTGGCTGAAAACTACTTATGTCAGCCAGAAACTAAGGATTAGCTACAAGAGGTACACCTGCGCCCAGTTCTAAAGTTTTCCAAACTAGAGGACTGTAGTGGTCAATTTGAAGTGCTCAATTCGCTTTTCATTTCCACAATCGTCGATTGAAGGTCGTCTCCGGTTGGGTCTGTGAGACAAGCTTCCTGTTTACTTTTTTGAGCGGGCCAATAAAGAAGTGCTTAAAGGTTTATGCAAATTTTGGCCAGCAAACTGACGTGGCAAATTGAGTATTATAACGGTACACAAAGCTGCTTTTACAATCTATGTTATAAAACCTGAAAGATCTTTAAATGTGTTAAACGAGTTAATGTGTTAAAAACTGGCTGATATATGACAACTTGAGCACAAGCTGTGTCCCTGTCAATTCCCAAAATAGCTGAATTATGTCGCAAACTTAATATCATTTATTGGCCATAGCTCTCCCAATTTGTAACACATTTAACTGATATTGCATATTTAGAGATAGTTCGTGGTGTTCTATTCAAAAATGAAACGTGGTGCAGAATTTAAAGTTTCTGAAAATTTATTTTTATGGTGTCACACATAAAAACTCTATTGTGAGTACTTCGCCATTTCTAAAAGCTTCTGAAGTATCGAGAGGTTTCGAAACTAGACAAGGGAAAAGATTTTAAGCCAGACAAAAGAAAATAACTTAATAAAGGTCGTGTGCTGAAGTCAACACCAAGAACAATGTCTTGGGGAAGTTGCAAGCGAAAATAACATATTAAAGTCATTAATCCATATAAATCTAGTTATAGGGAAATCGGAAGGATGTTTCGTCCATTTTGAAAGGAATTGTAAGTTAAAAGAAGAATTTTTTCGGAAAACTGATCGAGCAAAAAGTGCAAGCACTGCAGATTGAAAATTGTAAAGATCCTGATTCAACGCCAATCTGTCACCTTGTTAGTTTCTTGCGCTTTGGTAAAAAACAAACGAACAAATATAAAACAGGTATGCGATTAAACGCATTTCCCAGTGTGGGGAGGCGTGTACCAGCGAGTGCAATCGAACGCCTTTCCCAGGAAGGCCTGTTGATTAGAATGATTGATGGTGACGGTGATCACATTATATTGCTTACTATAGTTTATTAGGTTTGCTGCCCCTCCTCTTCATAGTCTGAGTATATCAGTATTCTCCTCACCAGCATTGATTGGAGTTCACTGCACACATGGTCTGAACAGGACAGGGTATATGATTTGCAGGTATGTTTTTCTAGCAACAAGATACAATAATTGATACAGTAACCAAGAATGAATGGCAAAACACATGTTCCTACAATGTATGCTTTTATGTCATCTTAATCCAGGATTTAATGTCAAGAATGATACTTTCTATGGACATAATCTGTTGTTCCTCTTTTATTAGTTATTTATTTATTTATTTTTTATTTATTTGTTTGTTTGTTTGTTTAATTATTTGAAATAGATATAAGAATTGTATCCGAAATGACATTTTCCTTCAGAGTTGCTCACAGAACTCATCGATTGCTTTATGGAAATCTTTTCTGTCGTCAAAAAAGGGCCCAAAGAATTGTAAAATTATTTGCTAGGTTTCTTTGTGACTAATAGAACGGTTTTTCAATATTGTTAAATATTTGTCAGTATTTTTCAATACTGTTCAATGTTTTCAATATTTTTCAATATTCAGATATAATGGGAAAGCAGAACCCCCTTTCTTCCATACAATGAGTTGCTTTCATCCAAAATTCATTTGAAAATAAGTTGTAGAATAACATCGAAAAGGTGGTTTACCCTATATCCGGATGTTGATTACTATAAGCCAACAGGAAAATTGACGTCTCGTTGAGATTTTTTAATCAAATGTTTTTTTGCTTTTCATACATATTTCTTCATTTACCTTATTGTTTGTTCTTAAATGGTCTACTAACTATATTCATTGTATACATTACGTTATTGAAATGTATATATTTATGCTATTAAAAGTAGCTTGGTTAAGTAGAAACATAGCTTTCCAAAATATTTCCATATTCGTTGGCTGAGTAACATGAAAATCGCATCATTTATTGCGGCGCATGGTGCACTGCACTTGGCTCGGTAGTTCTGTTTTCTTCGTGCCTCCAAAGACGATTGGATTATTTAAGCAGTTTTACTTGCGACAAATAAGGGTCCTAAGCTTATACAGCTATTTAGATAGTTTGATCATTAAACTTTAGTCGACTGGTCCTAGGGGCCTTCTTTTTTTGAGGTAATAGGTTATTGCCCCCTTTTCTTAATAGCAATGGCTTGATCCTCAGGTGAAGTCCCATAGAAAAGGCTAGGTGTAAAAAGGGCACGACACTGAGAAAATCAAAGATGGTACTAATGGTATTCATTCTAATGCACTGTATAATATGTGGGTAAAAGTTTCATTATGAACATTCCTTGTTACAAATCGTTTATAGATATCTGATTGAAGAGTGTGGTTATAGTGCTGATGATGCAATTAAAGGTGAGTTCACTTCTTGCCTGTACTGGGGGATGGTTAAAATTTCTATTTAGTTGATTCCCAGATGGGGAGCAATAAGATTTCTGGACAAAGTGTTTACGCCCAAAGGCTTGTGTTGACAGTCCTGTGCTCTGTAAATAACCTACTCATCTCTTGGATTTTTTCGGATATTAAAAAGCAGAATTTTTTTTTCATTGAAATACAATATACATCGTTCTGGGTGATGATTTTGGCTCTCAGGTGCTAATCAAATCTCTAATTTTAACTTCATGTCTTTATTAGCAGAACCAGTCACACAAACGTGTATACTAAAATTATGTTCCTTTATCCATATCTGAATCCATGTTTTCGTAGCTAAAAGCGATAGTTTGGGCATTTTTATACTCAAAATATTTACGTATATTTTTTACATATGCATATCTATTCTAAAATCTTCGACAGAGCTGTTAAGACAAGCCCCTAAAAGTGTTTTTGTTTCTCTTTAGTGTAACAGTGATTTTATTATTACTAGAGCGTATAATTTTGTAATCATAAATTTTCTTTTAATCTATTTTTCCTCAAGTCTTGATTAACAATTTCGACTTTTGTTCGAACACCATGCTACTATTTCATCAATTATTTTATCCCACACTTCATATACGTTTTTCACGGCAATACTCTTGCATCTCCTGCTGATTCATCACAAAATGCTGATTCATGATAAACAGATATTGCTAAACATTGCTAAACACTGACAAACAGATATTGAGAGAGAATTAGCTGGCATAAAAGTAGCCATCAACAATCATTTATGTAATACCACTTTTTGTTACTAGTTATGTTTCTGAAACAGCTGATTTCCTATGCAAGTTAGTTGAAAGTCTAAGTTGTATTAAGCAGGACGAATAGCTGTATGTCTAATGGACATGGACGAATTGTAGAGTTCTTGAGGCGAGCGATTGAAACCAAAATTTTTTCAGCTACCACACTACTACCACTGTTGTTTTTATTTTTGCAACGTTTTTAAAGGTTTGGCTCATCGTATGGTCTGTCTCTATTTTCCTAAGTGGCTGTCGTAATAATAATGGAAACTTTTCATTTTCAATTCAATTAAAACTACAATTACAAATTTCACTATTACAAAGGTAATTTGCAATTGGCTAGCCTGGGTTTACAAAGAAAAAGACTATTACAAGCACAAACAAAAGAAATTAACAAAAAAAAAGAAAAAGTGTGTTCGTCATTGTTTGTTTTAGAAGTCGTCAGTAGCAGAGATCGTTAGAATTGAAGAAGTTCAGGATTATTCCAAGATTTATTTCTGTGGCAGAAAATGTAATAGGTAGTACGGATAGTTAAGTTGGAAAGTTTGGAGATCATGAAGCGGAGATGATTCTCGCTGATATCTAGAGCGTTGCACATGTCGATGAAAGAGGAGCAAGAGAGACCAAAGATACCTAGGGAACTGATAGAAAGATTAACAAACATGATAGAAGAATAGACTGAGCTTAGGCTGTGAATGAGATTCGAGTATTTCTCTCTTTTGCGGTTAGCATTAACATCCAAGTTAGTTTCGTATCCTACTGTAAGCTCGAGTATGAATAGTCGATGGTCAGAAGTGACTAGAAGTAGATCAGGACGGAAAGAGTCTCCTGTTATGATAGAGGGTGAGAGATAACCTGAAAGGTCTGCGTAAAGAGAGCAATTAGGTATAGCTTTTAAAGATTGTGCTAGGAAGTTCAATGCAGAGTTATGGCGTCATGTGTAACGGCCTTCTTCGAGGTATGTTTTGCAGCCTGCAACAATGTGAAGTAACGTTTCTGGCATATGGCAAAAAGAGCAATCGGACGACTGAGTAATGTTCCATTTAGATAGGTTTTTTCGAGTGGCAAGGGAGTTGCTAAGATATTTGATAGTAAAACTGTAAATGTTCTTGGGCATGTTGCTTTGAACCGTGGTCCATATTTTAGAGGCTATAGGAAGAGAGTGGTCAAAGATGAAGGAAAGAACGGTACCTTGAGATACAAGATGGTTTTGAAGGCGCTCTTTATGTTCTGATCTAACAGCCTTCAATACTTCTCTAGTATTCCTGTAAACATCGTATTGGATGTTCATGCTCTGGCTGGTATTTTTCCACAAAGATTGGATGTTTTTGTTGGGAGAGGATTTCAGTGCATTACGACAAACAGTTTGACACTGCATGAATTTAACAGAAGGAAGAATCAAGTTAAGACCGAACTGGTTTTTTGACAGAATAATGCCACTTAAAGTAGCACTTATGGGTAAATCGAGCCAACGGCGGATAAATGCAGAAACTTGATTATCAAGATAATAATAATAATAATAATAATAATAATAATAATAATAATAATAATAATAATAATAATAATAATCTACCATATATAATATAATAATAATCTACATAAGGGTCCTGTTAAAATATTAGTTTGTAAAGTAAAAGGTTCAAAATTATAAGAGATTGAAATTAAAGCTTAAAAAAAATTCAAAAGCTGCTGGTTGCTTTAAATCTCAAGAGTGATTTTTCAGTTTGCAAGCTATTTAGTAAGTTATTAAAAATCTTTGCACTCTGGAATGAGAAAGTTTTACGCCCCGTTTCTGTCCCCGTTTCGTCGACTGATCAATAACGTTCTCTTACTTCAACAATATTCAATTTCTTCTGTTTTGTAGCATTCAACGAAGCAAGGGGACACGATATTGAGAAAAATATCGATGCTTTACAAACACTTTACGCAGAAAGGTAAGGAACGTTTATCTGGAGCATTTATCGCTTATCTAACATTTAATTTTACCAAACTTAGTGTGAAAACTTCTTACCAAAGTAATTATGCTTGATACTTCTACAAGTTACATAAAAATGTTATGAATTAAATCTTAAGCTATATAACACTACCGTAATGTATAGTTTGACCTCTTGAAATCGACTTACATAAAAGACACCTTTATGTAATTACAAATGATTTTTATGAATAGCTCTGCATGAATTGAATTCTTGCCAATGTTAGTTTGAAATAGAGATTTTAGCTGAAACGCTAGTGTTGCTTTTCCATTTTGGATAATTCTCAACAAAGCGGGTATATTGGATAATACTCTTCAAAATTAGCAGGTATAGGCTGTTCTATATTTAAAAACAGATCAAAGAAAGACTGCATTTGCAACAGCGAAACTGAGCCTTAGTAAAGCTTCGAGACTTCAAACGAATTTCAGATTCTTACTTTATAATGCTATACATTTGACAGTTTGTTTCGGAGCTAAAATACTACAGATCTTTCCAACATACGGGGTCCAGGCCCATGTGTTGCTCGTTATGTTACCTTTATTGACCGGTTTTGCAATCGCTTTCGTTTTGAATTTAGAATGGCCAGGAAAGATGTAGTGGCTTGTTCTGAAGAACTAGCTGACGGAAGAGGGGAAGAGATTCAAGAAAGGGACCAGGACACTGTCGGAGATGTCAGGTATGAAAATCTTAGAATCAAAGTAAGTGTTAGGAGCCACGGAAGAGACCAGTTTTGTGCAGACAATACACCCGTCGGCGAAGATTCTTCTATTAGAGGTAACTTTAATCTCAATCAAAATTCTTCCGAATTCAGAACTGACCGGAGCCAAACACGTTTTGATAAATCTGATAATCCATATCTATCTGACCGACATGACTCGAATCAGTATGGTTACAGAAATGATAGAGTGTTCGAAGCAAAAAGTGAACGTACTCGTTGGGAAAAAAATAGCGAATTCTCTGATAAGGATCCACCCGTTAAAACAGACGATGGAGCAGCAAAAGACAAGAGATACAGTGAAAATCAGAGAAGTCAGTATAATGATCGTAGACGATCGCGATATGAATCTAGGCCAAGAACGATTTTCCATGCTGATCAGTTTTATCCTCCTTGGGAGCAGGGTAATTTGAGGAACACAGGAAGGCAAGAGGCTTGTGATCTAGAAGAAAGAAACTTCGCGGAATACGAAGAACCTAGAAGGAAAAGGCAGAAGTGCAGCGACAATCATCGTTCTAGGAGATTCCATGAGTATGATCCTTATCATTATCGTAGAGACACTAACCGGGCCAAAAGGCACAAGAACGACAACAGCTCTCCGAGTCGTTAATAGCCGATGTCTTTTTGGTATATAAATCTTATAAATTAACTCATTTATTGATTTTGCAGCTAGTTGTTTTTCTGTGGTAGTGGATATATAAGAACGAGTATTTTATAAGCACATGTGACAAAGTAACAGTTTTAAACTGAGAAATGTATTGTATAAAACCGTGTTTTCCAAAAAGTCGATTGCTAGTAGCGCACAAAAATATATCTTTCACAATCATTGAGAGAGTTTCTTGTGTTCGAGTTGCTTTTCCCAATTTTAAGCCATTCAAGCTATTCAAACGTAAAACAAATTGTTTACCTTTTAAAACGACTGTTTTTCATGATAACTTTAATGAAATACGATTCGTCATTCTGACAGAAATTCTATTACTTTTTATGATTAAAATCTACATGAAAATGAACGGTTTTTAATTCTGTAATTATGTGACGAAATTTTATGTAATTAGTCACCCATACTACAGAGTTTCCAATTTTTTGATGCCTAAGCAATTTTTTCGTTTCTCAAACTTCTAATTCAGTAGCTCGCTCCTCTTCTTCCCTCCACTATTGATTTCTCTCCTTCACCCACTCTTTTATATCTCTCCCGTTTAGCAGATGTCTTTTGTTAACTTCAAGTAAATGCTTTACATCTTTTGCTTTTTCATTTGACTTCTCCAGAGTTTTAAGCAGGAGAAATATAAACGTGTTTGCATTCACGGGGAATACCGTAAAAGCTCTTTTAAGCCCCTGAGGGGGGAGGGGCTTATTTATTTTTACAGTCCTAGAGGGGGGCTTATTGGAGAGAGGGGCTTATTTTAAATTTTGGCTTAGTAAAGGGGGAGCTTAAAAGAAAAGGGGTGCTTGATGGAGAGGTAAGGCTTAAAAGAGCTTTTGCTGTATTAAAAGAATGTTGGTTACAGGTTGCGATCCTTTTCAACTAGGACTGAATGATAGCGTAAGAATGATTATCCATAAAAGTGAACTTTAACCCAATATTAGAGTTATGCAATGAAATTGTTTAATGGCGGAAGTGTTCGGTAGTGTAGTGTGCGTAATTCTTGAAATTATTTGTTCTTTGTCCATATGTGACCTATTGTGCCTTAACCAGACTTCTATTATCCCTAACGAGCACCATAATTCAGAGATTTTCATCTCTTTTAACTATTCTTCAACACTATGAACACGGTGTCTTAGTCCATCCGCTTTGCGTGTACAATAATTCCGCGCAGACGGCCGTCACTGGTCTATGGTTCATCTGTGCGTATCTTCGCTCCACCCCGGCGCTTGGTCTTTGTGTAAACCCAAAATTTGCGATTTCGCTTACGCCTTATATCGGTCCAAGACGACGTCGACTACATTCTTTATCTCGACATAGGCATTGCCAAAAGAACCAACAGTAGCAATTAATATTATTGCTGAGAAAAACAGCGACTGAAAACAGGATATGTCATGCAGCCTCGAATAGAAAACGACTGGGAAAATGATTGCGAGAAGTCCTTGAAAAGATCCGCCGACGAGAGAGAGGACTGGGCCAAAGCTAGGGACAACAACAGCAACAGCAACAATAATTACCATCATGAAAGCTCGATTGACTACTCGTTGCCAGCAGAACTCTATAAGGAGAAAGGGCAAAAATTACCGTTCTAGTGCAGTACACAACAAAAATATGTATATGAAATAGACTGATTCCTTGACTAACAGTTCCTCCGATGCTAAAAATCATAATCGTAATCATCAACTTATTTACAGCTGGTTACTTTCTAATAGTAATGAATTCACACCGAATATAAACATTATACAGTCTACAATAAACAGAAAAAGTTAAAAAACAATTTAAGAGCAGATATATGGATTATGAGTAATCATCAGATGAATAATTCTATGAAAAGTTAAAAATGAGTGGTCGGAATTGTACTGAAAGAGTTATTTATTTACACAACGATGATTTGATTTTCTTAGAGTTTGTTTTAGCTTAGAGCCCCCGTTTCCCTGTATTTTAACAGAGATTTTATGTTGCAAATGGCTCTAGCATTTTAATATTTACTCACTTGTCGGTATTCCAAAATGCCCCTCCAGTTGCTGATATACGGGGTTGATATTGAGAATGAAAGCGCAGAGTACGTGACCGCATATCAGGCCCTGGGTGACTATTACCAGACATTTGAAGACTTTTGACTCTGCAAAGATTGGTAGTGCTGTCAGCGTTGTGAGGATGTCCTCTCCAATCAAATCTCCGAGCACAAAGTATGATGCAAGCGGAATGCCAATATAAATTGCTGTCACGATTAGATAGCCAATAACAACTGCGATGTGGAAGTCCTTTGGCTCTTTCAAGTCGTTTTGTATGGTGGGGAAGATTGTCACGCCGCCGAAACCAAACAAAACAGTGCCAAATGATGCGACTATTTTTTCGAAATTTGTTGGTGGAGGCGTAGGTCTTTGAAGGCCTGTTTTGGTCACCCAAACCAGGTTTGTCGTGATGAGGGTCACTGCAACACCACTCGTGAGGGATGCCAACAGTGCAATACCCCAGAAGTCTTTTGGCGTGCCAAACAAAGTCAGCGGCAAAAGAACACCGCCGCAAATTGCAAACCAGATTCTCAACTTGTTGCGATGCGAAACTCCTTCGAGCGGTAGGTCTATTAAAACGGAAAAGACCTCACCGGCTAGCAAAATGAACACAATGCATGTCAGAACAAGCGAGATATTCAGCGTAAACGTTACAACGTGTCGCGTCGCTTTTCCGCATGCACGCTCACCAAGCGTTGCATACGGTGCACGCATCTCTTCACGGTCGACTTCAGTCCCCAGAATGTGGTTGCATGCTTTTGCCAGCAAAAATCCACAGTAGCACATAACTAGCGATGAAATGACAAACATTGGGATGCCGTAGTAGTTGGCAAGTTTCATAGCGTAGGGTAACGCGACTATGCCGGCCCCAACTACGTCGCCAGTGACAAAGAAAATGGCGGCGAAAAGGGAAAGGCCTTTCTCTCTCGAAACTTGCTTGTGTTTCTCTTGCTCTTTTACGTCTATTGGCTTGCTGTCAGGAGTTTTAATCTCACCTCTGTTTACTGGCATCTGCTTTGGGCTTTGTTGTGCGTTATCTAGAAAGCATATTGTTGATTTATATTTTTTCAATTACTTTGTATATATGATATTATCATTTCATTGTGACAATTGTTGATGACCTTGCTCCGGCAATGCGACGAATCTATTATAAAAATCAGCTCATCAAATCTGTGTATTGTTAGTACGTTTTAAAATATAATGGGTTGAAATATAAAAACAAAGCAATTTAAAAAGTCAGCAGTATGTTGTTATCAATTTTTTATCATTTATTTACATGTTGGCAAGAATAGATTGGCCAGCTAAACGTAACATATGAACATTTTCGCCCAATTATATAATATTGCTTCCTGTGAACATCTTCCAAGCGCAGGACAACAGAAGGTTGGGAGCAAGCGTGACGTCACCAGTAATTAGCATATGTCTGAGGCTAAGTTTTCATTAGAGCTGCGTCATATTAACGACCGGCTTTAGATTCAAGCCCAAGTCTAAGTTGCGCAGAAATGTTTCTCAGCGGCAGAGTTTTACTATCGCTTCTAAGAGCAGCTCCTATGCATCGCTTGCTGATAGTCGTAGACTCATTGGTCGTAGACTGGTTCATAAGCCATCATATTGCCTTGTGGTAACAAAAAATGATCCCAACTTTTTGCACAGAGCTGCAATTTTCCGCTGTTTCCATTCTCAGGCCCTTATGCAGATTTCCACTCAATAAACAAACTGCGATCTGGTGCGATTCTTTTTTTGCAAGGGGTTTTTTCTGACACAAGGATTGAAATTTGTACAAGAGCAGTTGAAGATGTTCATCGGAGGTCGTTAATTTCTGGTACCGAAGTAATATTTTGAGATTCTTCTTGAGTTAAGCTTATACAGGGTAGGAGCAAGGAAGGTGCTTCTGTTTTTTCTGGTATCGCTTTCTTTGTTCTTCATAAGCTATATCAAGAGTTTACAAGAATCTTAATGTTGCATACATACCCGGTGATGTGCTTGGTAACTGTCCAGGCCGCTCGTCACCTTCGATGGTCATTTTGAATCTGTCTTCTACCGGTTAGTAAGAACAGGTTAGCAAGAACAAAATTTCAAGACTTTTCTTTTCCAGCAGAAAAACTCAGCAGACAAAGCACAAAACATTGCTTCTGGGCTCCTCTTCATGGTCGAGTAATTTTTTACCACGCTTGGTTGCACTTCTTCTGTTGGTGTCGTGACCTCGTTAATTCAATTCCCGATTAGTCGCATTTTCGCCAAAACATGATTTATTACGGGTAGGATGGTTGAGGAAATCCTAATAATCATAGGTTCCCCTCTCTCTTTAAAGGCAGTCTGTTCCCTCAATGATTGGCTAATATGAACAATAGGTCTTCGATGCTTGCTTTGGCTGGCCTAGCTGCTGTAGTGGACAACATTTGAAACTGCGAGCATAAAGCTATCGGTAATGCAAGAAGATTTAATTACTGGAATTAAATGATGATAATGGAAGCATCTCCTTTCGCTGTGAACATATTTCTCGCAGAAACCAAACAGGGAGCCAAATTTTCTAGCCACAACTTCACTACAACGGCCATTTGATTCAAAAGCTCTGGAATCAAAGTTGTCTCTGATTGGTTTAAATCGTTTAATTCTCGATCAAGCTCAACGGTGCGTGAATTTCACAATAGGGGACAGACTGCCATTTCACATGTGCCCACAAATCATTATGGTTCCTACAGAGTTAGCCATATTGCTGCTCAATTTGAAATAAGTTCTGTTTTGATATTAATCCGTGAGCAATGAGAATAGTTAATTGAAGCGTAGGACTGGCTTTATTGCAGTTCCCTGGCTATTTTCTATATTATTCAAACAGTTGCTTAAGCAATTCAGGGCTAATTACTAAAAGCAGATCTTTGCCCAGAAGTTGTTATGATGTTCTAACGAAAAGGCTTTTGCAAACACATTCATCATCGTACTTAAGGTTTGTTATTGTTAGGCTCATAAATAGTTAGTTGTCTCCCACGTGTGTCTCGGCTCAAATCACCTAGAGCACAGGCTAATCACCTAGAAAGCTATGAATTTTCAAATAGATATATAAACAGTATTTAGCCCACGCTAAACTACAGTTTTTATAAATTATTAAAATCGGGTTCCAGATGTTTCTAGAGGAAACATTCTATCTGTCAACAGTAAAGTATTTGGATAGCACTCTTTACCTTCCTTTGGGCGATTTAAGTGACCAACAAACTACCTGCCTTCATTGGTTTTTATTCCCTAAACTGCATACTCAGCAAGATATAGATATTAAATAAAATGCAACTGCATCGTGCTGTGTTTATCAAAAACGAATGCTTTTAGCATTGGAGTACAAGCGACAAACATTGATGGTCCTTCCCCCTTGAATTTTGTTTCTTTAAAATCTTTGTCCGAGTATGTTTGATCTTTTTACCCGATCGGTTGTTACTTTTAGATATATGAAAGACTTTCATCATGCCTTACAAGTCAGATCTAAGTGGATGAGGAGAAGAGGGATTTTGTAAATATTTTATTGTAATTTCCAAAACCACAAATAATCGACAGTTATGCCCCAGGAAACACGCTTGCTGTCCAAAAAAATAGGCTCTGATTACATCTCGTGCCTTACCCCGCCAAACTAGCCTGTGTCCCAGACCCCTAACTTGAAAGTTAGGGGTCTGGGACACAGGCTACGCCAAACAGGCTTCACTACATTACCTGCAACACTTTCAGATTAAATGAAATCTCTTGGCTTCTATTTTAAGACACTGATGCATCGTCGTGCTTTTAATCCGATGCTAACGAAAGTTGGAAACAATCATTTTGATGACGACTGCCTCCAAGTCTTGTATTTTGATGCGAATAAACTTTCAACAATTTTTAGGACTAATAAAATGAAGTTATCACTAACGGACCTCTTTGAGTGTAACAAAGTACAACTTACGATAGGCTGCACAGACAAGATCTTTCAATGTACATTGACAGGATCTTTCAACGAAGAGCTGGTAAAAATCACCCTTTATCCCTACGATGTCACACAAAACTGATATTAAGCACACCCGAGCCTCGAATTATCCAGAAAATAAAAAATAATGAGTCTCGGCAAAAATTACCTGCAATATAATGAGTTAATAATTAGAGTACCAAAAATGAAAAAGACTGTTAAAACACAACAAATTATCTGGCTGTAATAAAAAAGTATTATTGTCGTGGTAATAGCCGCGATGTTGCTATGTTTTCACCTTTAGTATCGTCAATTATTTTTATTTTAATTTTATTTTAGTATCGTCAACAATTTAGTATCGTTTGTTTTCAAGTTTTTCTTCTTTCTGTGATCAGGGGCATATGATGGGCTTCGACGCAGGCTGGAAAGTGGGGGGCAAGGAAAAATTTAACAATCATAACAAAAAATTTTGAAAAAATCTTTATTGTTTTGCAAAAAAGTGGGGGGCATGGCCCCCGGCTCTGTCTTTCACCTCTCTCCCCTCGCAGGGGCTCGTTCAGTTTTTCAGTTCAAACTGAGCATTTCCCGTTATATTTGTGTCATCTATAATAAATTTGCGAAAATCACTACTTCGTCAAGACAACCTGATCTTTACAATGGCATCAAGAAAACATTTTGGGTCATCTGTTGTTAACAAACTTCTTAAAGCCCATAAAAAAATTCTTTGAGCCTTACAAAAAGTATTTCTTCTGTCTCTGAAACCTCTGAATATATGTTTAATTCTTCCATTGAAAGCTGAAAGGGAAATTGAAGAGGCATAAGAAAAGAATATATGATAGAAAATGAAATTCTGAAATTCAACAGTTTTTGTCTCACTTTCTTTTGAAATTCCCCTAAGTTGTACAACCAAAACAAGTTTACAAATTCCCGTGAAGTCTAAATCGCGTCATTCAGGTTTGCAGGGCGTCTTCTTGTTCTTTTCAGAATTTCGTCGTGGTTTTAACAAAGCAGAGATAGCAAAATGTATAAGAACCAGTATAGGGTCAAGCCCTGGCAAAACGACTAACCATTTGTGTCAATTAAAGTTTTGTGAAAAGATATTCCTTTTCCCACCCTGTTTACTGTTGTTTAGTCGATGCGAGTGCTGTTGGGCAAAATTTTATTCTGGTCAAAGATGTTTAGCGTTGTTTAGACCATGTTTATTCTTTTTGCCACCAATTAAACCTTTGTTGCGCTTGCGCAGGCGCAGTAGCTATTGGTGATGATGATTTGAAGTTTAAAGCGATACTGATAAAAAAGTGAAATGAATTCTGATTAATAACAAGGAAAAGGAAGCTTGTTCGATTCAGATAAGGAAGCAATCCAACCTAGGGAAGAAAATGAGCGTGAATATGTGGGTCTAAAGTAGTGAGGGGTGTTAGAAATCACAAGATAACTGGGAGTGCTACGAGAATATCTAAAGCCGCTCTTACACGGTCAGATTTTATCGAATTCGATAATGTCGAATCTAGTTTTGCTTCAGATTTGTCGAATCAAATGCTCTCGAGTGCCCCTTTTACATGATCAGATTTTGTCAAATTAGATTTAATGGAGTAGGTTGCTTTAGCTGCCATAGTTATAGCACTGGTATTAAAAAAACGAAGAAATAAGAGACAAAACGAACAAAATGGACAAAAGAATGGCTGAATCAATGTCCTGTATTTGGAACATACGAAACATATTTGAACGAGTTGCGCTTCACTGAAGGAAAGGACTACATGAAATACATGAGTATTTAGCCATGAATAATTTTTTTTATTTTTTGTTGAACTTTTGCTGAGTTCACACGATGTTTTCTTTAAAATGACTGTAAACCGACTGAAACAACGCAGAACATGGCAATTCGGATGACGTAGCAGCGTCGGTGAACAAGAATGTCATTTATTCACCTTTCGATTTGTCGAATGGAATAGAACACGTTCGATTCTTGAAAATGGGACACGCGCCGCGAATTTGAAAGTGGGGGGTCAAGACTAAAAAAGTTGGGGGCCAAGGCTTTCTACCTCTTTTACTGCAGCTTTTAAACTACATGCTTCGCAAAACAGTGGGGGGCCATGGCCACCACGCCCCCCTCCCCTCGATGGCGCGGGCCCTGGAATAGAGTGGTTTGCCACGTTTTGCCATCCTCGCTAATCATTGCTCAACTTGAATAACAGAAGTTGAGTGAAATATTTAGTGAAATGGTTAGTTGTTTTGCCAAGACTTCAGGTTAGTGTCGGATGTTATAATCGATTCATTCATCACAACACTGACAATATAGTCCATACGTGATTCATATAACACCCTTCTCATTGAAGAAAAGAATGTATGAAAAGTTTAGCATTTTACATTCAGTTTCGGAAATTCCAAGGCTTGCTGAGAACAAAGGTTGTGATATCCTACGCCAGCATTCTTTGCAAGCTTCACTTTCCATGAGTACAAAGGACTTCTTTGATTGAATAAGGAAGTTCTACAGGTTATCGTGTTAATCCCACATGGTTTAGTGCAGGGTCACAACTTTTTTGCTTGCCCTTGCATGCACTATCGACTCCTACTTGTCTAAGAACGACAAATCAAGATAAAAAAGGAATAGCACAGAAGCTCCTCATTTTATCTTGGATAAATGCAACGCATCTTCTGAGTTTCATTTCGTTGGTTTGTCACCTTCGTCATATACAAGGCAAGTGTTCAAGCCACACAACAAAGTGATTTGCATAACAACTGGTTCTTCATTATTGTTCTCGTTACGACCGAAGCATCTCTAATAACAACAGGTCACTCGAGGACATGTACTTGCGAAATGAAACACAAACAGGTTGAATCGCGTTGAACAATGAGTAGAGTGTGGTTCTGTGATGTCTGGAGAATCAACTCAAAGGTTAGTTGTCGATAGTAATGCTGACAGCGGCAGTCGGTTCGGGTCCGTGAAGAAAACACGTAGGTGCGTGGAATCAAAGTCGTCAAGGTCGCCTTCTTTTTTGAAACTCATAAGGGAACTACGAGCCAGATTTCCTATTGAGAGGCAAATTAAGGCTGATTTAGTGAACTACGATGAGGATGATGGTATATGTCACGAGACTGGAGAACGTTTATCGCACTTACACATCGACCAAGCAAGGTCAGTTCTTGCTAATAAACAAAAAGGAGTCTCTTTCACACCTCACACACTTGCGATTTCGGCATTGACAGAGAGTTCCGTGTCTGAGCTAGAGAAGCTCCTGGAGGAGCAATCAATAGATGTGAATTTCTCAGATGAACACGGGGATACACTTCTACACAAGGCGGCTTTTGAAGGAGATGTTGATTGTATTCGAGTGCTTGTCAATCACGGAGCAAATGTGAATGTAAAGAATAAGGATGGCTGGCCACCCGTTCACTGTGCCCTTCGCCAAGGTAATTTATCAGCAATGGTCTATCTAATCGAGTGTGGAACCAACATGGAAGACTATACCCAGCTCAGGGTCAATGAATTTCAAAGTGTAGAGAACATATCTAAAACTGTTTCTAAAGGAGAAGAAATTTTTGTGTAGGTAATAAAAATTATTTAGAAAATTTTTCCATCGCTTAGCTAAAATTTGAAGACATTCTAAAGGCTACCTTATCAATATTCGCATATTTACTTCCTCGTTCTTTTTCTCAGAAAATAGCTTCGTTTTAGGAAGCTACTCTGTACAGTTTAAAAAGCCACAATAGATACATTTATTTTCAAATTATAAATCTCGTTGTGTGGAAATTTACAGTTAATTCAAGGCTTGAAAAACCGTGTTTTCTCCTTGTTGATAGAATTTTCCATAAATTCACTGGCTTAATTTTTTGAATATCAGAGCTTCTAGATTTAATTCAGGCTTCTTTGATGTTTTTGGTAAAGAGATATTTTGTTATTTTAGGTGCCCTATTTAATATATTATAATGTTTACTTATATTTCACTGTTCTTGCATTTCTCACTCTGTGAATTTCCTATTCAAGTACACCTATCTATATATTAAGGCCTTCCAGAAGGGATTGCTAAGTAGCAATTCCACACAGATTTCCTAAGCTGTCATAGCACCTTTTATGGCAGGCAACATGTAAAACAAAACAAAAAATAGAATGTTATAAACTGACAAAACAGGTGTTACAGGAACAGAAAAAAATGTACTGGAAAAATACATTTTTGAAACTGTTAATCATAAAAATGATATAAGAAAATTTTTTCTGTTAGAGATCACGTTTAAAACTCATCTATCAAATGATGGTTTTCAATCAACATTTTATCACTTTCCATTTTAAACAAATAAAGGATGTCATGTGCAGTAGGTCTCTTTGTGGGATCATGTGACTTACATTCTTTCAAAATATTAAATAACCTAAATTTCAATATTTCCATTATTGGCAAGTCTCCAAGAAAAAAGAAAATTATGTCAGGAATTTTCCATATATCAGTTTTTTCATCATACCCTGGCATCATGTTGTCATCAAATTCTAATTCTCCATGTGGCCATAATTGTTCAGGAGCTACAAATGTTCCAAACAATTGCCTGTGACCGCATTTAACTTTACCATTCGATATTCTATTCAATTGTGGCACTGCATCCAAGTCAGCTAAAACAAGTTTGAAATCATCTGTAATCAGGTACTGTGATAAAGTTTTATGTAGGTCATTACTATCACACATGACTCTTGGGCTTTTTTCATCTTCATGGAGGAAGTTTATTATCTCCAGGAAGCTTCTGGCTATCTGCAATCGTATTTTCAGTTCTTCAAAATTTCCTAGTCCTTTTGTTTGTAACAAAATAGGGAGATTGTCTGATGATCCATGCATATAATACTTTGTTACTACCTAAAGAAGAAACAAAAACCAACTTGATTACTTGAAGTAAATTTGTTAATATCCTTACAAAAAAGTTTCAGATACAGAGACAGATCATGAGCTGAATAACTGATTTGACTTTAGCAATGACTTTAGCTGATTTGAATGAACAATATTCTTGATTTAATTTGCTTGAATATGTTAAGTATCATTCATTTAATTGTAATTGAAAAAGATAGAGTCAAAATTGTTAAACATAAAAGTCAATCTTGACATAGCTACTACAGGTCTGACCATGAGACTTTTAGCAGGGGAGTTGTAAGCAGCTTTTGTAGTAATTTTCAGGTGTGCTATTCTTAGAATATAGAAAGAGAAATAAAGGTATAATTATTTACAAGGAGATAAATTTGTAATTTTTAAACAGCTTAGGAGAGCAATCAGCAGCTCCCCTCAAAAATTTGAGGGGAGCCTATTTGAGAGGAGCCTGGAGAAGAGCCAAGAGCTTGGATCTCCTCAAATGGCCAGCCCTGCTACTATCCCCAATTTTTTCAAATGTTGCTCATGCTTTCAAGGTGGTGGTGTGGATGACTGTTTAAAGCGTTCAGCTCATGATCTGAATATCATAAGTTAGAGTCCCCTCAGGACAACTTTCCATAAGCCTCTAGCCAACTAAAATGTCTTTTTTGAGGCCTGTAAACTAGTTCTCAGGGTATTCCATCTAAAGTATAAACCAAGGAGCACAAGTTGCAGTTTCACATCTGCTTTAAACTACAAGAACCCTGATCTGTGTCCAAAAATAAAATCGTGCTTGCTTTCTTACTAAGGGAAGGTGTTTCACTCTTTGTATAAAAACATAACTATAAATACATCCAGATTTGAATCTTCCTTGTTCAAAAAATTGCTTCAAAAGATCTACCTGCATTGGCTTGTAGCACATCCCAACAAGATCAAGGACAAATTGACTTTCCTGCAGCATTTCTAACAGTACCAAGCCACTCTTGAAATCCTCTTTGAAATGATGATATTTAGGCTTACTGTGTACCAAATCAATATTCTTCCATTTAACACGAGTCATATTTTTAACATAGCCACCTTCCATTAAGCTTATAAATTTTAGTTCTTTTTCAATTTCAGTACAATTAAGCTGTCTGTGACAATTGCCTTGAGTATCTACGAAAAATCCTCTTTTACATGATTTGCCTGCATTTTCATCAATTTTCAGTGCTTTGACATTAAGGAGGATGATGTTGAAAACTGCCATTAATAAGCTCATCTTGTATTCCATTTAAAAAAAATGTATCTTGTGAAACTCACATCTGCAAACACATTTTTATCTGAGATTAGAAGGCCACCAGATTATGAATTTTACCTGAAACAGATTTAATTCATAGACAAACAACTTTATATCAAGAAATCAAAATCGCAAATAGGTATTAACTGTATAACAAGAAGAAAATAAAACAACTCCTGTGTTACAATTTGAATTGATGAATACAATCTTACAAAGCAGATTGGAAAGTTTGCAGAAAGGGTGGTAATGATACAATTTTCATTTGAAGCTGTACGTAGTAACATATAGGACCTTGGTTAAGGATCTCAAGGCTGAGGACAGCTCATCAAAAAAGTAGTATGCAAACAATTTAGAGGGTAATATTGCTCTGTTTACCACAGCACAAGAACAGAATCTCAGTATGAGCACTAGTCATGATTTTCACGATGTATGCTATCAAAAATTTTAAAAAACTTGAATCGCATTCCACATTAACTATATTCATATCAGCTTCAAAATTGTGACTAGGTAGGTAGAAAGCTGTGATTCCTTAAACCACAATTTCTTAAATTTGTAGAATGCATGATAATGAATAATAGAATCTGAATTTAAATATGCACAATTACCAAGTAAATGAAGGCAATATGCAGACAAAGATATGAAAAACTTTAAAAATATACTTTGTCCAAGATATTCAAGAACTCTTTTCAAGGCCAAAACATTGACCATTTTCATTCCTGTGTCCCTGTGGCAAGCTTGGGATCTGGGGACCAACTGACAATTTTGCGCGCCATTTCATGAAAGGCCTAAACAACATTGGCAGTTCGCAGAAGTCGAAGATCATTTTTGTTTATCGATTTCAGTTTGAATTTCACAAAGAAAAGTATTGAAAATGGTGTTAGATGTTGGGGTTCGAGAGATTTTTATTGATGCACAGCGCAAAGTGAATGTGCGAGCCAATCTTGTTTCAAAACTAAAGAAGATTTATGAGACCGACGAGAAAGAGTTCTTTGCTGCTTTCACAAAACTTGCTAAGCACTCATTGGTTGTGTACACAAGAGAACCGGCTGTTGAACGAACTATCGACTTTATTGTTGCATTTGCCGTTGCAGAACACAATAAATCGCCTTCAAAGGTTCATGAACAATTACAGGTTAGTTTTATAAAATTTGTTTTGCAGTATTTCTTTGATGACGTAATCCAGACTGGAAACTTTGCTGCGCGCCCGCAATATATTGCCCGCGCACACCTCTGCGCGCTTTTGCATATTGGCCGCGCAAAATCCCCTAGATCCCTTGACAATAGGATTTAACATTATTAACAATAAAAATAACTAAGAGTGCATGATTTCAGGCGCGCAGTCTCAAATTTTCAAAATAAACTTGCCCGCGCAAGAAGCAAAGTTTCCAGTCTGGGACGTAATGATTGAGATTCCACTGACCCACCAATTTTTTTAAGATGTCATGATATACTGCCTAGAATAGGAATCGAAAAAGGAAATATAAAGAAATAAGAAGTGATAATTCATTCGTAATACCGATAAGTTTTGATTTACTGCAACGAATGCAGTCATTATTACGTTTGTTGAAAATCTTCTTCCTAAATTTTTGACATGGTATCATCATGGTCGTGCTGACAATTGGTAGCAAAATATGTGCAACAGCATACTGCCTGGTGAAGAATGGAAAAGGAATTTCCGCTTATCATTTCTATCTGTGAGGTAGTTGTTTGTCGTGGTTCTCATGTTAAAGGCATGCGCATTGAAGTCAATTTCATCCCGGCAAGGTGGGCTATCCTGCCTGTTCCTATTTACATGGAGAAAATTATCCTGGCCAGACAGGGTATTCTACCTTGCCGAGATAGGATGAAAACATCCTGGCAAGACGGGACGGGATGAAGCTCCCATGTAAATAAAAAGTGACAATTGCGTGTGTTTCTATAGGTAGCTGGGGTGTCCCGGCAAGGCGAGATATCCCAGCTAGGTGAGATATTCCAGCTAGGCAGGCCATCCTGGCAAGCGGAATCATGTAAACAGGCCCTTAATCTGCCATACCATAATATGCAGTGCAGTATGACTGCTAATTTAATAAAGGGTCCGTGAAGTTTCTGGCACTGTATTACGGGTTGCCACTGTAATACAAGATATATATTTCTTGTGCTTGCCACACATTCTAAATTATTAAATCAAAAAAATCATGATAAAATGTGTTCAATTTTATATTAGGTAACTTTGTGTTATGAGAAGGGTGTGCTTTCAAAAACATTTCAGTCATTCATTAGCAAACTTCAAATCTTTCATTGAGCATATCTTACCCATTATTCACACATTCAACTGATTTTACACCAGCAGATATATTCTTTCAGGCTATGTAAGCAAAATTTAAAAAAATTCAAGCATTGCAGTTAAGAACTTTATTCTTTTTTTGAATAGTTTTGATCTCATCTCTTCTTATTATTTGCTCGTAGAATGGAAATTTCAGTGATGAGGAAGAAGAAGTCATGAGTCCTTTCTTGTCAAACTTTTTTAATTTCCTGCTTGACCTACATGACTCTCACTCCAAAGCTGTTAGATTTCGAGTTTGCCAAATTATCAACAAACTCTTTGACGGGCTCTCTGACAATATTAGCATAGATGAAGAGCTTGCCAATCGCGTCTATGACTGCATGCTAATAAGACTGATTGATAAGTTCCCAATCATTCGTGTACAAGCAGTGAAAGCCATATATAGACTGCAGGATGTTCAAGATCCCAGCTGTCCTGTCATTGAATCCTTTATCCACTTGATGGAAAAAGATAGCAGTCCAGATGTGAGAAGAGCTGCACTTCAAAACATTGCTGTGACCCACAAGACACTTCTCCATATTCTTAGTGAGTAGTCGTTTTTCATGCAGGCTAAAGAGTTTTTTTGTATAAATTGCTCTTGTGAGATGTCCTGCAATCTTCATTTCCGAAGCATGTCTGTCATTATTGCTATACTTCTTGCTCATATCATTAAAATTTTTGCACATTTTCACTTTTTTTTATATATAGATAAACATACAAGCTCTGAAGAGACCTTTATGCAGTAATGTTAACTGTATTGGAAATTATTTGTCTTTTTATGCCTTTCCAAATTGAGTTAGTCACTTCTTGTTTCAAATTTTGGATAATTTGACCTGAATGTACTCTGAACTGTACTTAGTATGATGTGTATGAAGTTTAGTTCATTATAGAAATAAATGTACTAGTTTCTGCTGTTTATTTTATGTTGCAGATAGAACAAGAGATGTAAAGAATGCAGTACGTAAAGCAGCATATGAAGTTTTGGCAGAAAAGGTGAAGATAAAATCATTAACAATTGCCCAGAGGTTAAAACTTCTTGATGATGGATTGAATGAAAGGTCAGCTATTGTGAAGAAGGCATGTATAGGTACACTACTGAAAGCTTGGCTGGTTGACCTAGATGAAAATGTCCCTTCGCTACTCAAATGCCTTCATGTTGAAAGTTCACCTGAAACATCTCTTCTGGCACTGAAGGCTTTGTTTGAAAGTAAGATATTTCTTTAATTATTTTTGCTGAGATTTTAGATGCATTCTTGCACTGAATGCCAGTTTAAGCTCCTTGCCAAGCCTTTTTGCAAGGGCTTTTCTTTTTGCAAGGGTATTAGGCAAACCAGGTTATTAATCAACTCACATCATGATCAAATTACTAAGTCATTACAAGAAGATCCATCACTAGTGCAAGCTAAAGACTTTAGAATTGGGACCTGTTGATGTCCATTTTATTTCTCTCATTTCTTTATTGTATATACACTGATAAAGCTCTGCATGTTTGGGTGAAATATTTGTTTAGCTTAGCTTTTGAATACTGGTTCTTCAGATAAAATTTTAGATATACTCTAAATTCCTCCTCTGTGTTTTGCATAGTTCGCACACATCATTTATTATTTAAATTATCATTGGAATATTTACAGAATGGGATGTGCAGCCTATACAGCATCTTATCCTTGTTGCTTGCTTAAGCTCAAGTATAAGGATAAATATATCCCCTTTTTCATTGAAACTCTGAAATCATAATCCATTTTGAAACTCTGAAATCATTATCCATTTTAATCAGATGCTACTGAGGATGCAGTCAAGAAGCATATTCAATACCTGAGAGATCTTCCCCAAGTTGAAGCAGAATCAGACTGTGTACTAATTGAACATGATCACCTTGTGCCTGAGGTTGCAATCTACTGGAGATCATTGGCACAGCATGTTAAGTCAATGGATAATAATGATGAGCTAATGGAGTCATTGCTACCTCTTGCTTCAGAATTTTGTTGCTATGTAGAAAGGCAAACCATTCTGTTTTTCTTTGCATTTCTGAGTATGATTGTCGTGTTAGATTTAATGACTAGCCACAGTTGTAACACATTTGGCTTTGAAATGGCCATAGAATTGTACAGGAATCCTTTAGGTAGAAGGGTTGAATACACAGAGTTGAATTCTGCATAGGTCAGGGATGATAGGGGCAGAATTTGAGGGGCTACTGTAGACCATGAACTACTTGAAAAAATAAGTAGAAGCCACGATGATGATTCATCCCAATTTGTCTATCAGCTAATTGTCTGATGCAGACTGCAGAGGGTCTACTGGATTTGCTTGACAACCCCAGTATTCCCAAGCCAGAAAACGTCTGCTGAATCTTTTATGCCACCCATTTGATAGCACTTTACCAATAGTCCTTTCATGGTTTTTTTCTATTTTGTTATTTTGTAAAATTTCTGAAAGTTGTCAAATTTACAATATTTTAGATAGATTTTGATGTGAGGTCATTTTTTGGATATTTTCTTTCTATTGATAAATCTTCTTTAGTTTAATTTCTAGAATAAAGGAATGATATTAAGAAATATTTTGTTGTTGTTTAGGTTTGCCAGCAATCACAAGCTGGTAGATGAAACAGGTGGAGATGACGAGGCTGTGCAGCAGGCTGATTTTGTCATGCAGCAGTTGTTGTTATTGTGTGGGTGTCTTGATTACACCGATGAAATTGGAAGGTAATTGCTTGTGTTAGGCAAATTTAGAGTTTCATCACGTTTTTTCACTTCTTGAAAGCCAGAGATAAATCAATGCTGGCGAGAAGAACCATGTAATGAACTGTCGTTTAACAGTTTCTATATCAGCGGGCCCAACCAGCCAGTAGTCTTGAAACGCTAAATTTGATTTTGGTGGTTGAATAGACGGTTGGCTTGGTATACTTCAAAATGCTGAACGAGGTCATGATTAGAAAGTAAGTTTCCATACTGCTCGACCTGATAGTCATAAATAAGCATTATTAATAGTCATAAATTAGTATGATTGATTATTTCAAGTAAAGGGTAAGGGTTAGGGTTAGGTTTAGGGTAAACTAATTACGTCATCAGGTCGAGCAGTATGGAAACTAGACAGCTCCGTATATCACGGCTTTAAATCTCAGGTTTATATAGCGCGTGGTGCCAGCCTCGTTTGTGAGTAAAGTGAAATCCTTTTCCGAATTATGTGACTGTAATCCTCAAAGCAATTCTTGGCTTCTGGTTATCCTCAAAACCATACTGTGTGGTTTTTAATATCCGAATTTCTTAAAGATACTAAATTTATGATTGCAAATTTAAGCCTGCGCATAAATTATTAAAAGGCGAACTTTGCACATCAGCAGGTAAGTTTTTTGTTCTCAACGGAGTCTTAGCTTCTCAGATGCGCGGGCGGGATAACATTCATTTTTTGCTTATGTTTTTGTTATTGTTTCTAAGGCTGCGTGCTAAGCTGAAGCAAGCCCCTGTAAAGGAGGCAGCTTCCGAGCAAAATGAGATTTTTTGAGAAAAAGTGTAAAGGCCGTTACATCTGACGGCCTTCAATAGGCTTTTAAAATCGTTAAGAAAGTTTCTAGTGATAAATGTTCTTCGTGCACCACAAGCTGCAACCTTTGACGTCATCAGCCTACATGTCTTGACCATTGACCACTTCTACTGTTTGTATGTTTCTGAAAATAGGATAACGCTTCGTTAATTATTAGAGTTACCATTTATTTTGCTAAAGGGAGACATTGGGGCTTAGGGTTGCATACCAGTTTATTCAATGTCGACGAACGATAAATTCCGGCTATAAGTTAGTGTCTCACGAATCAGGCTCAAAATTGTTGACCAGCATTTTTACAAAGATGATTAAGATCTACCGTAGTGCCTCGAACTATCGCCCCCTCAAATAAGAGCCCCCTCGAAAAAGCGCCCACCCTAGAGGTGAAGTTATTGAATGAGCGCCTCCCTCGAATAAGCGCTAATCCTTCAATCTTCAAAAACGGGCGCTTATTCGAATTTATTAATGAACAATATAATTTGCACACAAATCTACTTTTTAAATAAGCGCCCCCTTGATTCAGCGCCTTCCTCGAATAAGCACCCACCCTGGAGCCTCAAAAATTGAGTGTGGCGCTTATTCGAGGCATTACGGTATCTAAAATAGAAGACTGGGGAATAAATGAATTTCATGAAGACTTAGGCTGTAGTACTACTAGGGACTTAATAGGAAAAGCTTGAATATCAGATGGGAGACAAGATAGAAATTTGACTGCTCCTACCCCTACCCGAACGTTTTATGGTATGTCAGCGATGCCCAAGTACCTTCTGACATATTGTTGTGTTTCATTTGTTAGCAATGATTTGAAATAACATCTTAAATTTTATGCAAGCGGCCAGGAGGCAGGGATTTGTTTGTGCATGCTTTGTCACACTAAGGTCACTTTGTGGTTTAAGGTCACTTTGTGGTTAAAACTGTTTGCAAAGAACCATGTTTATTGTTATTCGTCCTTTTTCTTTTTGTTGAGATGCAGCAGTATTTGATGATCAGTCAACACTGGATTTTTTATAAGATTTTGTTAAGCCTTGGCAAAACGACTAAACATTTCACTCAACTTTTGTTTAGCTAGTCGTTTTGCCACCCTGTTTAGTGTTGTTTAGTCGTGTTGAGTGTTGTTGAGCAAAGTTTGATCATGGTCAAAAATGTTTAGCGTTGTTTAGTGCTGTTTAGCAAATGTTTAGCTGTTTTGCCACCAATTTAACATTTGTTGTGATCGCACAGGCCTTTATGAGACATCTGCATATCTCGTTGTACGCCACTGTGTCTTCTTCAACAGTCAACTTTGTTGTGAATGTGCTAAAAAGTCTTTTCTTTTCCCGTCGCTTCATCCAATTCTTATTTTTATCCACTGCATGTGCATGCAACACAATAAACCAAAAGCAAATTCCTATGCAAAATCCACTAAAACCCAACAGCGTCATAGAAAACTGCGCAGTTCAAAAAAGTTGAATGAAGTTTAGTGAAAAGTTTAGTCACGTTTTGCCACCCTCGCTTAACTTCCCTCACCGTCACTAAACAAAAGTTGAATAAAATATTTAGTGAAATTTCTAGTCGTTTTGCCAGGGCATTAAAGTCTTTACTCTTCACACCATAACATTGCTGTTTTTTCTAGAAGTTGAGATGCAGCAGTACTTGAGGATGAGTCAACACTGGATTTTTTGAAAAGATTTAGTTTAAGTCTTTGCTCGATACCAAAAATATTACCGTTTTTTTTGTAGAAAAAAGATGCAAACGCTTACCCGAAAGCTGTTTCTTGACGAAAACACCCCTTTCACATTGGTTGAGAATTTGGTGGCTAGGTTTGTAGAAACAGAAACAGACGAAGAGAAGTGTTTGCAGTCTTTTGTTGAATTCATTGCCGAGATAAAAGAACCAATGATTGTAGAGGAGGTTGCTAAAAATCCTGAAGATGTAAGAAAAAAGGAAATTGAGGTAACAGTCCTTTAAATGTTGAGAATATATTTTTCTATCTTTCGATTTTCAGCCAAGTTTCCAGCTATGGATTTCAAATTAATGACGTCAAAAAAGTCAACTTTTATCCAGAATGTATGAATTCTGACCACTTAGCCTAAAATATCATCTTGAAAACTTCAAAATGTGTATAATCAGCTAAATATGCCTAAACGAGGCCAAACTAACATTGACTCATTTGCAACTTCAAATTATTTTACATATTAGCTCCTTTTTATATCTATTTAAAGATACTTCCTTGTGTTATTTTAGATTATGTGATCAAAAGTCAGGAATTCTAAACATAGATTTGAATGAGGCTTAAAAACTAGAATTCTAAACTTAAAAACTCTATTGTGACTTGCAAATTATATTCGGATGCAGCATTAACAATCTAACAATGCTTGGATTGTTAGTTTTCATCTGCTTTCATTCTCAATTTGATGTTCATGGTTGTCCTTGTACTCCAATCTGTAGTAATGTGACGCTTTCCAATAAATGTCTCGTCTGTCCGGGTAGATATACTTGTATCTCAATTACTGGTATTCTCCTTAAATATCGGGTCTCCATTTCAGCTTGCCAAGCTAAAAATAGAACTCATAGAGCTCAGGGAATCGTTGGATGAAGCAATAAAAGAGGAACAGTTTACCAAAGCAGCCGAAGTTAAAGAGCAGATCGCAAAATTAGAGGAAAGTGCAAACGACCTTAAAAATGCCAGTCAGCCACAAAGTCAAGCTATCCGAGTAGAAAAAGTAAGTAGAATCATCTATTTAATACTTTCTACAAACATTGCGTAGATTTTAGAAAAAAATCCCTTCCCCCCTCCCCCCACCTGCCTTTCAAATGTATAATCTAGTCTAAGATATTTCAATTACAACGGTGCAATGTTAAAGGTTGCCTGTTTCATTGCTGGTGATTGATCCTGGGGCAAAACCGGGACATGAGACCTTCTGGGAGCGAGACGAGATTAAAATTTTTGTGACCAGGCCCTTTAGATTAGCTTGAATTGTTTTATTCATTTAAAATGTTTTAATATTTCCAAGCATGATTTTGTTACCTTTTATCAATTCCATTTTAAGACAGAATTTATTACTGTATGAGGCCCCCTAGACCTCGAGGCCCTGGGGAATTTGTCTCCCTTGTCACCCCCCTCTTGGCGGCCCTGCGTAGCCAAACTGTTTTAAAAAGCCTACACAAAGTATATACCCAAAAGAAGCATTATGATAACTCTATCAGATGGCAAAATAAAGTCTTTCGTCATGACTTATTCTGTAGTTTAACACGCCTTTGTAGTTTAACACGCCGACCAATTTGTTGTGTCAATGAGTTATAAGTCGTTGAGGTACTGAGTTTCCAGTAGCCAGGAATCGATGGTTCTCCCCTTGTTTGATACATGCTCCTCTTGACATCATACATTTGGCATAGAGAATTATCTCTGATCCTTCTTCTTTACCATACAAGCAAATAAAACTTATTATTAGCATTTAATGCCCTAATTTTATGGCTTACAACTGTGTGTGTAGCTAGCATATGCTACGTAGATAGCATACATAAGCATTCAAGTTTCAAATAAACACACACTTTTATTGCAGAACGACTCTTTTACTATTCTGAAGTGCCTGTACATTGCTTCTGAAATGCTGCAAAAAGTCCACAAGAGAGTGCTTACACCTACAATTAAATCGTTGGCAGAAACTTTGGTAACCCCTATTTTGATTTGTTTAATTTTCTTCATACTGTACAAAACATCATATTTTTAAGGTTGTAGCCGTCGTAGAAAGGGTTGTGTTATTTGTATCTTTTGTTATAATTCATTTAGACATTTATGTAGAACAGGATGGTTGTCAGCTGCTTTCCAGTAATAAAGTGCTTCCCAGACTATCATGTTTAATGCGAACATCAGATGTTTTTGCAATGAATTTTAGGTTATTGCAATACGATTCTTTTATATCAATTACCTATACATATTAAATCGTGCAAATCTTTTTCTATTAGTGGCTACTGTTTTTGAACATTCAAGAGATAAAGTGTTACGGTACGGTCGTCTGCGGTTATAATAGCATCTTGTTATGACGTCAAGTTTTTTTAAAGAGTTCTAACCAGAGCTTAACTACTTAGTTGTGCGTTTAAGTGATGAGACTTGAACAGGACTGCTGAATACTGAAAACATTGTTTGTTTCTCGTGTCATTTGTATCAAAATAAAGATATTAGTCATAGGCATTTCAAACTGAGATCAAACAAAGTTTCCTAGCTAGATCAGTAGATGGTCAATGCAAAGGATTTTATGTTCTGGATTGTTTGCTACATAGTCCTTTCAGACGTTCTGAACAGCAAGCCATTTCGATAAACTATCAACAAACGAAAACGTATCCCAGTTGATTTGATCTCATGACACTATTCCAGCTTGCTTATTAAAATATTATCTCTTAGATTTGGCCCTCAGTACAAGATGAAGATATGTTGATAAGAAATGCTGCAATCAAATGTGTTGGGCTTATCTCATTGCTAGACAAGGACTTTGCCACTGAAAACTTTGTGTTGTTTCTTCAAGTAAGTTGAATTTGTCACACAAGCATCGTTGCTTGCTCCTATATTTTTTATTCTTTGTTTGACCTTAATGATATTCAGCTGATTAATCCTTTGTGTATTCTACTGCGTAATTTATTCAATCTTTTCTTCTTACCGGTCAAAAGTCTTTATTGTTTATTATTGATTTATTGATTCTATTAATCATTCATTTTTTGATTTATCGATTGCAATGATTGATTATTTCGAAGTTAAAGCAGTAACAGCTCCTACTTGTTTATAATTATATTCTCAATCGTCTGAAAGCCCAGCTTAGACTAGATCTCAATTCCTTTATCACACGCACTCTCCATCACTCATTGACCTATTTATCTCATCCTGGCACCTAATCCTTCTTTTCTTCAATTACTGCATTCACATATTCATAAGTCGTTCGAAAACAGCTGTCGTTTCAAATTGATGTAGTTCCAACTAATCGATGTTGCAGCTGCAATGCCTACCGAAAGTCTCGAAACACCAACAGCATTTGTGTCAATCACATTACCAGTTTCCCCTCCCCCTTTCAAAGAGTGTTGAATTATACTCAATATTTGAATATATACAATATACCAAATATAGTAAATTATGCTTTTGCGGGTATTCTAGAAACTAGAATGGTTGGTGTGTATTTCCAACATTGTTTTGGGAGGGGGAAGGGTCCAATCAGGCTTTTTATAGGTGTAAATTGAAAAAAGATCGATACTTGGCTGGAACTGCTTCGGGTCCCAAATACATTTGGCAGGCATTGTGGATATCTCTTGCAGCTTTGTAGTCTGCTACCCTTTAATTCAGACCACCATTACAGTACCATAAAGAAACTCTCTGTGTTAAAATGCTCAATGAAGGTTATTGTTAACTGGTCTCAGCCAGAGTTCTCGATGTTTTATAGACAGAGCTGTACATGTTTTGTTTTGTAGAAGAGAACGGTGTTCAGCTTAACGGTTAATGCGGTTGCCACGCAATTATTAAGTAGCATTTTCTGTAGGTATTGTTAATAATGATAAAAATATAATTTGTTTTGAGTTGGTTTATGTATTGCTAGTGAAGCTAATCTAAGCCAACTATTCTCGATAAAAAACATATTAATGAAAATATTAAGTATAATCAATGCGGTACTATAAATACAGGTAATACGAAAAATCTTATAATTGTACAATATTACAAATTGAACAGTAAAAAACCCTTATCAGAATGCCACACCAGCAACATAATTTTTACATATCTGCATTTGCAGTGTAAGATTTTTTCAAATTACACTTTCTTTTTGTAGACTTGATGATGATTTTTTCAGTTTTTATATAATTTGGCAATTTATCCCATATTTCCTGTCCCATATATCTGATAGTATCAGTTTCATATACGATTGTTTTTACTGTTGGTAAATGTAAATCCCCCTGGCTCTTAAATCATACTTCGTAGTTTTTCTTTAAGGTTATTTTTAGTTTTGAAAATTTCGATTGCAACCAATTGCAGGTTTGTTTACTTATAGTAGCACCTAGCTGCAACGTTGCTATTCTGTGTAATTCAATAAATTTGAAAATTCACATGCCAAGAAAGCAACCTGCTTTGGTCAAACGAAATTTACTAGAGCAAAATCATTAGCCTCGGAAGGCTTCTTAAAGCATTTTCAAAATGGATTCTAAAAAACACTTTCAGATGACGCAACCTGACAGTGTCTAATATCTGATATCAAAACATGCGTATGGTCATAAGAATGAGTATCCCAGAGTGTATGGTTTTAAAACATAAAAGCTTTAACGAACTAGTTACCCTTGAAGTATTTTAAGCCTATTAACCACAGATGTGTAAATGCGCGGATGTTTATATGCTGCTACAATTCAGAAAACAAAGCTGATAATTGATTCTCTCTTTTTCTATAGGCTGCACAGATTGACACGGAACTAGTTCAAATCACTGCAACCCAAGTGATCTTTGACTTAATCCAGCTGTACGGATTTGATGCATTTGAGACCAACAAAAATAGCGCCCCTGTTAATCAACAGCAGAAGAATGGTTTCCCGGAAGATGATGATTCTTCCGAAGATGGCCAGAGTCCAACACAAAACTCTGACAGTGAAGCGCGTAGCCTTTTGTCTCTTGGCACTGGAGAGCAGGCTAGTGCTTCGGAGATAATATTAAATGCCCTTGTTGTGCTGTTAGATGGAGAGGTAAGAAAATTTAGAGTCTAGATATAATAGAAATGTACACAGACGATGAGAATGATTTCAATCTGTGAATAATTGGCGGTCGGGTATTCAGCTGATGCCAGGAAGGGCATTAAGAACAAAATGTTCCAAACAATTTTGTTTTCATTGTTTTAATAAAGGTTTGGAAATTTTAACTAGGAAGAATGAAAACGTTTTGGGCCTTGCCCTCTTCTTTTTCTAGATAAAAGAACATAACAGACATAACAAAAGTCTTTATATGTACTCTATACATTGCAATAAATCGACGCCCCGATACAACACGGGCATAGTGTACAGTACCCCCATTGTACAAGATCATAAAATCGAAATATATTAACTGGTCGTCTTTTTTGATTCTCAAACCGAGTTTTAAATCTCTAACCGAAATCCCCTCTCAAAGATTGTCGTACTTTTCTATGAAAATTCACGTTTTCAAAGAGGTATACAAATTATTATAAAGCTGAATGTATCTCGATGCAAGTATTTTTCTGTTTGCATTTTAACGTTGGCTAAGGTCAACAAGCTCTGATCGGAGACCGATCCTGCATTTTTCTCCTCGTCCACTCAACATTCTAGTTTTGCGACGTGATGTCAATAATTCTATGACTGACAGGTCAAAAATTGCGTTACCATATATTCAGTTTAAGATGAAGGCAGATTAAAAATGAAAAATCCCCAATTCGAAGTATATATGATTGATGGCTTTAAGTCGATCATTGCAGCAAGCCACGAGCGTGTCTTTTCTTTTTAGAGTCCCGATATTCGCTTTGTTGTTGCTGAAGGCATGTGCAAACTTTTATTGTCTGGCCGTATACGGAGTGCGAAACTTTACGCGCATTTGGTTCTTTTGTGGTACAATCCTGCAGTTTCTGACGATTTTAAGTTGAAACAATGTCTTGGAGTGTTCCTGCCAAATTTCGCGTTAGCCTCAAGGTATCTATGCATTCTATTCCGGTAGCCATTCGAAATGTCATACTTGATGACAATAGTTGGTATTGATATGACTGGAAATACGATTATATAACATGTACTCTACGAAGGAAATGTGAAATATACTCATATTGTAGGGAGGAATATTGTATTATATTATATTATATTATATTAATTATATTATATTAATTATATTATATTATATTATATTAATATTATATTATATTATATTATATTATATTATGTTATATTATATTATGTTATATTATATTATATTATATTATATTATATAATTATGATAAGTAATATATTGCATCCTAACAAAATTAAATTAAATATGATATATATTTAAAAAGTAAAATTAATTCATCTGTGCTGCTTTGTCCCGTTATAGAAGCAACCAAGAACTTGTTGAAGAATCCTTCTTTCCAATACTGGAGACGTTATTTGATGCACCCGATTCGTCCCCGCTAACTGAAGTTGATCCTTTGATTGTCGTTGAGTTGTTGGTTCAACTAACTAGCCTTAGGAATCGACAGAACCATGCTACTTCAAACGGCTTTCCGCCTACCGCTGATCAGGTAGGTTGGGTTTACTTGCAAGGCATTCTTTCATTAAGTACAATCAAGCGCTAATAATTGCACTGCCTGATAATTCAAATCTTTCTTTATTCGAACAAAAAGAGTTTCCTTTACACTTGGCCCTCTTTTGGCCAGCTTACGATAATTTTGATTCATAATAATTCGAGGTGTTCTTTCCCTTGAAAGTTCGATCCATTTGACGTTTAATGCAAACAAGTATTTTGATATTGTGCTTTTAAAAATTGCACAATCATCTTGCACAAGAATCCCTCTTGTGTGGCAATATTTCTCTGTCGAACGCTATTTTGATTCAATTCAAACCCAGCCCATTTCAGTGAAACAGAATCTTCCCCTTGTACGATGCTAACACATCTGGATCCAAAGTGGATCCTGTCTATGTATTTTCTTCTTTCTCGAACTCTGATTACAAAATCCTCATGTTAAAATGTATTCTTAGGATTTCAACGTACATGACTCGATGGCAGTCAAAGTGGCGAATGAAATTCTTTCTGAATCGGACAACATTGATCTTCGCATGTTGTGCAAAACCTTGTCATTGCTTGAGATATCACCTGGAAATGAGATGGTTGTCAAAGATCTGAGCATTCTCTGTAACCGTATATTGGAGGTTAGTTGTTCTAGCCAAAACTTTTTTATCTCTTACTGTCAAGTTATGGTATATACATATATTCACTTTGACAAGCTGGCTGGAGATAATAATTTCCACAGGAGAGTGCTGCCCAATCGAAGGTACTATTATTATTATACATTTATATACAGTACTCAGAATACATTGAATTCTTAAAGCTAATTTAAGCCTTCAAACTGCTCTTGCTAAGAATCTAGGCCCAGTCTGCGATGTTAAAAACAACGATCATTCCACTGACCCAAACGGCTTCACGAAACGAGCGAAGAACTTCTTGAGCCCCTGAAAATCTCCACCGAAATGAAGGCAGTTGTTTCTCCTGTTTTAGCTATAGGCTTTTGCCAGAGCAATTTTACCATATATCTGATATATATACATTATTAACTGAGAATCTTATTAAATCATTACTACTTAATGTTTCTCAGTTTATAAAGGAATTTCTACGTTACTACGTTAAGTTTATCGTGTGTTTCTAAAATTCAAGAATGGCTAAAAGTAATAAAAGAAAGGAAAATTTACTCCGATGCGACTTGCTTTGTAACGGTATCCAAAACTGGCAGCCATAAATGGGTTATCAGCAAATGATATTGTTCAACTTTGTTTGCAAATAAATCATACCAAGAAGCATAGGAAAACTTTTTTTGTTTTAAAGGACCGAAATAAATTTCTTATAATTTTTGTCTTCGTGATGACTTATAATCGTAAATTTATTTTTCACAAAATATTTTTTCAGGATCTTGATGACAAAGTTTGTTATAAGTTTATTCAAAAGTTTCAAGCAACCTTGCCAGTTTTGGACAAAGAAGGTCAGGCAATTTTCTTTTAGTTTTTTACCCTATTTGATTTTTTAATGGTTTTTTTGCGAAACTTTAAGCGTATTTGTAAATACACTTGGATTATAAGCTCTTCCAGTGTTCGAGGAAGATTCCAGATGTTAAGTGTTACTTACGCCGTTGTTCAGACGGGGTCGCTATTTCCATGACCAACTATACATGCTTTCTAGGCACATAATTTTGCATACTGCCAACGCTTCTTAACAGGTACACAATGAAATACCTGATTCCATTCTACCAGGAATATTCCTGACGAAAAATCTAGCAAACGTCTATAGTCAAACCAATGTCCTAGTTTTCTAAGGGGATGTCCTGGTTTTCTAAGGGGATATTCATAATTGCTTTTTCTGCTGCTTGTTTTTCTGCTTCAAGAATTTCTTTATTCTCTTGCCTCTGCTTCTCTTCTCGTTCTTGTTTTTCTCCTCTGCTTCTCCTTTCCCCACTTCTTTTATTTCATTTTCTACTGGTTCCTTTCCTTTCTACCCTTCCTTTCTTTCTTTCTTTCTTTCTTTCTTTGTTCCTTCTACATTTCCTTCCTTCCTACCTTCCTTCATTCATTCTTTCTTTCTTTCCATCTTTCTTCCCTTCCATCCTTCTTTACTTTGATCCTTCCTTCCTTCATCCCTTCCTTCCTTCTTTCCTTCCATCCTTTCTTTCTTCTTTCGCTCGTTTTTTCGTCTATCCTTCATCCCTTCCTTCCTTCTTTCCTTCCATCCTTTCTTTCTTCTTTCGCTCGTTTTTTCGTCCTTCCTTCATCCCTTCCTTCCTTCTTTCCTTCCATCCTTTCTTTCTTCTTTCGCTCGTTTTTTTCGTCCTTCCTTCATCCCTTCCATCCTTCCTTTTTCCTTTTATCTTTCATTTTGTCTTGCCTCCCTTCCTTGCTCTCATCGTTCCTTTCTTCATTCCTTCCTTTCTTACTACCTTCCTTCCTTCCTTCCTTCCTTCCTTCCTTCCTTCCTTCCTTCCTTCCTTCCTTCCTTCCTTCCTTCCTTCCTTCCTTACTACCTTCCTTCCTTCGTTCCTTCCTTCCCCCCTTCCTTCCCTCCTTCCTTCCCTCCTTCCTTCCTTTCTTCCTACCTTCCTTCCTTCCTTCTTTCCTTCCATTCTTTCTCTCTACCTTCCTTCTTTCCTCCCTTTATTCTTCATACCCTACGTTATTTCCTTCCTTTTTTTATCTTTCTCATCATTCGTCTTTGCAGACTTAATTGCATCTTCTCTTTCCTTTTCTATTTCATCATCCGATTCAATTTTCTTTATCATTGCGCTCTTTAGTTTGTTGTACCTGGTTCTACTGTCTTGATCTGTTCTCCTGTCATATATTTTTATGCTAATAACATCACGGTCAAGTAACAATATTATTTCTCTTACTATTTTAGATAGCATAAACGATTTGCCAAGTAATTGATCTTAATCTTTTTGGCATTCCTATTTAAAATTGATTTCTTGTCTTAGGTTGGAATTATATCTCCTACCATAAATAGAATGTAATCGATTCAGCAGATCCTTTCCCTAAAACTATCATTTAAAAATTAATAATTCATACTAGGAGACACAATTTGAAACTTCATAGATGACAAATATTCGTAGATGACAATGTCTTGACATCCATATAAATTATTTTACAGTTTCAGATCAAAATTCTGTTCCTCCCGATTCAAATACTGCCATACAGGATGATGACAATCAAATAAAAAGCCCGGAAAATGAGCCAGAAGACGTTACCATGGTAGATGCTGCTGCAGAAATGTCGACACAAAGTATGCTTTTTCAACACAATATTTTCTGTTTATGTTTGACACCCAATAAATGAATTTTAGTATTAAAGTTGATATTGAAAGTTCAAATTAACGATTATGTTATCTTCATGTGGGGAATCTTCAGTTTTGAAGTCCTCAAAACATCTTGCAGTAATCTTAACAATTATTCTTGTTCTTGGTCTCTTTCTATCACTGAAAACCATATCTTACGCAATTTAGTCGTCTAGAGATGCTTTTTAGATTTCAGGCTATAAGATTAAAAAAGGGAACCAAAGCAGTGAAAAAATCCAATTTTCTGCCATTGTGATGAAGCAGACATAGAACAAGGTTGTTATTAGATCAACACAACGACATGTATATGAATACATACGCCTACCTAATGTAAGACCCTTTTTGTTAAAAAAGATTTTGTTAGAAATAAGGGATCAGTGGATGAAACTGAATGGTGCATTATCTAACCATGATATCACATTAATCGAACCTCACTGTCTAAGCGAATTACAGCTGCAAACTAATTTATTCATATTATAAATATTATACATTAACAAGACTGAATCTTCACGTCATTTTAAACTTCTCAAAACAGGGCTGCAAGATTTACAAGTCGCCTGTGAAAAAAGAAGCCAACTTACAATAAAAAGTTACTTTGATTATATAGATAATTACGATCTAATACAAAAAAGAAGAGAAATGAAAAATAGGGAATTGTCTGTGTAAGAGAACCTCGTATGTTTTTGGTCTTTATTTGAAAAAATAAGTAGAAAATGCAATTTTTCTGAGTCAAGATTGTTCCAAACTTTTTCTCCGCGATAAGCGAGGATTTTTGTTCATTAAGGGTATCGTGGATGCGCTATTAAGCCCGAGGGCTCATTTGATTTTTGACGTTCCAGAGATGGGGAGACTTCAAAAAGAGGTGATTTATTAGAGAGGGGCTTTTCAGAATTTTAATATTAAGTCTATAGAAATTTCTTTTTGTGTGTTTGTTCTGCATAGACATCTATAAAAAATAACCGATGCTAACAGTTTCTAAAGTGTAGTATAGTGAAAGCCAATAATAATGTATCGTGGTAAATTGATAAGTCTGATAAAAACCCGGAGGGGGGGGGGTCATTTCTAATTTTTGCTTCAAAGGAAGGTTGATAAAACTTATCGACATTTGCAAGCCGAATGTTCCTCTGTTCAAATGTTCCTCTAGACGACTCTGATAAGTACTGAGTGGAATTCTATAGCACTGGATTATTTATTTGTTTATTTATTTATTTATTTATTTATATGGTAGGCAAATAATGTGTTTATATGATCCATCGCCATTTCCTGGTTGTTTTTCATAACCAGATACCATCCTTTTCACAGGTTTGGAGCTATACGTTGTTTTGGGTAGCTGGGTTAGGGCTTCGTTGCAAAACGGCCAAGCTTGTAGAGGCAAAACACATGGGAAAGATTGTGTTTCAGATCCATGATGAAAAGCTTGTTGATAAATTTATAGCTTTTGTGATCTATGCATTTCAAACATCCCTTCGTGATACTTACGTCCCTGTCAGGGTGCCTTAATGCTACAGGCCCCTCTTTGTACCCCCTAGGACTTACCCCTATGTAAGCATCCTACGTTTGTTTGTCAGGTGAATGACATTGCCTGTCTAAATAGAATTCATAGTGTAAAGCAAAATCTTATTCTCTAGATAACAACACACAAAGTAAACGGATGCGTGGTACACGGCCTTCAGCTGCAAGATCAAAATCGCAAAAGAAAACGGGAAGAGGGACAAATAGAAGTCAAAAGAAAGATATTGTTAAAGATGCTTCGAATGAGGAGAGGGAAACCCGGTATGATATGAACAATTCAAATTTTTATTTCCAAGAACTGCAAGTAGGGTATCAGCTTTAATGCAAAACGTCCAACCCGGAACCTCAAATCGCTTAAAAGTCGCCAATTTTTAGAGATTTATTCGCATTTAGTTCGATTTTACTTAGATTTTTGTTCGATTTTGCTGTTTTTGCTTGCTTAAGCAATTTGTTTTTAAAAATCAAGAACTAAGAAGATCCGGCCTCTAGATAAAGTAGGATCTTTATGCAGGGATTTACTGTTTCATATTATTGTTTTACTATTATTCATTCAGTTTTCACCGTTTTTCGTCTCAGTGAATCTAATGTAAAGCCGACTCGACGGGTGCTTTCAAGTCGGTAAGTGAATTATTTTCTATTGCCATCCACATTTCCATACATCGAGCAAATGCTCAATCTTTGAGTGTACTTTCCTTATCTTAAAAGCTGTATAAACCAAGGCTTCTTTAAGTTTTTAATGCATCGCATACTCGATTGAAAGCCGTAGTTGCAGCAAACTGTTTGCCCCCCAAATAGAAGCTGGTTCCTCTAAGGAGATTATGAGCTCTAGGAACAGAATTTATGGTGTATGTAAAGTGCATTGGAAAAGCGACGGTGTCTCAGAAATCTGTTTTTAGATTCTGAAAAGATTGCTCTCTTACCTCAGTTTCCTTTGACTCAAGAGCAACAGAAGTCTGTTCTGAAACTGCGAAGATGTAAGAGTTACATCAAATTTTTTGCACCTTCAAGCTAGTCAACACATTTTAGTCAATGACTCAGGGGCAACAACACATTTTAGTCAATGGTAAACTCAAGTACATTGGCTAACATTCTAAAACTATTCTATAATAATTTTGAAAGACTATTCTACAATAATTTGGAAAGACTATTAGAAGTGTGCATAGTGGCTTTGTTCCAGAAGTGGCCTCAAGACAAAAACTGGTCTGGATTTACTTCGTCAGGACTTTTAACTTCAAAATGCTTGCTTTTGGGCAAAGGCACTTTTATGGTTTTGGCTGAGTAATGCAGACGGGATATATGGATTATTGAATAGTTGCAGCAGCGTTTCTCGGGTCTTCAAGGGCCAGAATTTTGTTTTTAAGCCTAGCTGCAAAAATGACTTCAAAACAGATTAAAAATAAAATAGTAATCCGAGAAGTCCCTTGTGCCAAAAAGAAAACCTCGATGCAAGCGGCATCACCTTGAATTATATGTACTTTTGTACATGCGAAAGTGGTTTACACAAAGGTGTAAAAAGGTTGACATTGCTCGTAAAGTACATATTGTTTTAAAGAAAACGTTTTGTAAGCAATGTAACTGCTGTGACTCCAATGTGACTCAGAAATGTTAATCAACTTTTCAATATCCAATACGCTTCGAAAAAAAGAATTATGCAATTTGTTTCCCGTATTTATCAGAAAATCAGAAAGTACCTTATGACATTCAAACCAAAGAACAGTTTTTCTATAGAACTGAGAATTCACTATAAAACTAAGAAGAATGTCGAGTATGATTGGAGTGAAGTCCATTTGCGCTAAGATTTAAGCAATTTTTAAGAAACTCGAAGAATTCACTCCTTGAAAAAAATAAGGAACTGCATGACTGCGATTTGCCATTATTTTTTAGATAACAGAATGTATGGAATTGCGAGTTTGGTAGTGTATTTCTTTCCTTCACACAATGAAGATAATGCTTCTAGCATTAATTATATAATTTGCCATTCTCCCACGTGCCATGAACAATCTAACCTGATTTTTCATGAAATTGAATATATAATATTCCTAGCCTGATTGTGTTTTCACGGTTTATTTCTTTTTGGCACTTTGTTTTATAATAAGCACGCATTCCACACTTTAATGACCAACCAAAGAGGAAGAGAAAACCTCTTTTTCTACTTTAATACCTGTTTGCTGTCCAGCTTTAACTTTGAAAGTCTTATAATGTTTTGCTGTGGAAATTGTAGCACTTTCAACAACGAGAAAATTTCGTGAGTCTTCGTTCAAAACTTTGCTACTTAGGAAACTGAAATTTTTGAAACAACTTTAATGACCAACTAACTTGTTTTTAACATTTGATATTTCCTTTGAAAGGATAATGTTTCATTAAGTGGGTCGTTAGCATGTGTTTATTGTGTAAAAAACTTGTCTTCGACCGTTTAAAAATTCATTTTTACTTGTCTTTTCATAACCCTATTTTTACTTGTTCCTGGGGCACTCAAATTTTTTCAGTTAAGGAATTATCTGTACTAAGCCTAAAACCAAATTCTGAAAGAAAAAAATACTTGTCGTTGAAGGGTGATGCGAAACTACATTTGCCAAAAAATGTGCTGCTTTAGCAGACTACTTTTCAATGAGTGGCATGAATGGCTTTGCTAGGCTACTTGAAAATATTCTAACATGGCTGTTTCTTGTTGTTTTTGATGAGTTTACTTCTGGTGACGTCACTACATCCAGCAAAAACATCACCCTCCATCGCAGAGGCGTTTAGCCCGGACAACAAAGGTTGGTTGCTTGCCACAGCCTCTGCGATGGAGAGTGTAACACCATTGTACGTCGTAAAACTTTGGCCTTTTTGCAATTCCGTAAATGTGTTTTGTTTATCGCATTCCGACTACACACTAGACGTGTGATTTTTCACCCCTTCATAATAATAGGCGGGCATATGTAAACAGATCTGGTTCTGAACTGAAGTTCTCTGCATTGATCATTGTGATTACATGCCAGAAATAAACAGGTTATGTCAATTATTGCTGTGTATGTAGGCGTTTATGGTCATTTTATTCGCTTCTGGTTTTTAATGATCTTGCCCAACCTTGCCTCAAAAATTTGATCGAAGTGGAAGCGAGCACATGACAAGGGGACTGCTTTGCATCATCAATGACGAGAACTGTGCTGTTTCAAGGTTTATTTTAGGGACACTTTTCAACAATCGAACTGATATTTAGCCTGCTGCAAAACTGCACATTGACAACTGATGCTCTTCCAATATCTTCGTGTAAAGTTTTTAATCAGCGAATAAGCTGAAAAACAAAATGACAGAGGTGTTAGATCTTCTTTCTGACTCAAGGATATGCAAAGGATTCGATGTCATGTTATTACGCGCAATAATTACTGGCCAAGTGTCTTCATATTTAGCAATTTAGTGTGGATTTTCCTTTAACAAACTCTTTTCATTGTTTCTTGAAATCGAAAGAAAAATTTGGTCAGATTCAACGGGGTGTTTATATACCTCACCTTGGAGTCCACTTCAAGATGCACATTTCCATTATCCCTCCAAAAGGTAAGGAGATCGTTGTTCCTAAAACAAGCGAATGTTTGATGATACACGGACGCGATCTGCTTTATTACATGTATCAAGAGCTCGATATTGTTGCTTACAAAGATTACTTTGGCCTAACTTACTGTGGCGGAAAGGATGGCAAGCTACGGTGGTTGGAAGAGGACGATCAAATGAGAAAACTTGAGCAGAGTCTTGGGCGAAAAATGACATTCCAGGTAGCAGCAAGCTGTCACCCGGAAGAGCCAGAGGAAACTTTTGATTGTAGACCAAGTCGACGGCTATTTCGTGACCTGATCAAAGATAAACTGCTCAAAGGGCAGTTAGGATGCGAAGTTGAACTACATGCGGAGCTTGATGCAATTATTCTACAAACAGAACAAGGTGCGTTGCCAGTCGTGTACTTTATTGTAATTCTATCAATTTTCCTCAGGCACCCAGGAGCCAGGAGCCCCTTCACTTTTTTGCTGAAGTGTGATATTAAGTTTTTGGTATCAGGGAAATTAGTGGAGAAATTATCATAAAAAATTGCCAGTTGGTTAAGGGAAAAAATGTGCTCCGACGTCCCTGTCCTTAACAGCATATTTTTACATATTCTGAAAATTGACATAAGGGCTGTTATGTTCTTCGTTAAAAAGTCATTGTGCAGTCATTTTTAATAGTATTGGGGTTCGTAACAGAAATAACGTAATCAAGTGTTGTATGACTGCATAATATTGATTTCATTCTTGGATATATAGCAGCAATGTATGGGCACTGTATAGGACTGGGGGTTCTTTGCCAATACCCAGCTTTTGTTTGGAGAATTAGACCTTCTAAATGAAGTCATGCTGCTTTTTTAGGCGGATTAGAAATCTGAGTTTGTCTTTGCGCAGCAGACATAATAACGTTATAATAAATCTTTAAGGGCAAGTTTGTAACAGAATTACATATATAAACTTGCAAATATAACAGTTACAAAATCGTAAATGTTCAATGATCTATTACATCAAATATCTATTTCTATATCTATTTTCAACAATGCTTTACCGAGGTCAGACCAGGCATTTAGCCTTGAACTAACTCGACCAGACGTCATTTTAGGTTTTTATTGAGAAACGGAAACGTTTAAACTTGACTAAGCCAAAGTCATACACAATGAATTATTCATATATTCAACCATCCAAATAAATAACGGTGAATTCTGTCAAAGTTGAATCACCACAGACTGTGCTGTGCTTGTATACTTTGAATACACTCTTTTTTATAGGAACCAGTAAATTTAAGTTCAGGCTGACTGTTCTTAATTTTTTCGAATAGGGTGTAAGCAATGCGAGTGTTAGCTTTTTCGCTCTAGGGTGGTGTTCAGGCCTCATTTGCCAACAAAGTGAGTGAGACAGCCTTAATTTGCTGACAAATTTGAATATTCACCGAAAAAGCACCCATACATCGCTAAAAATCCTCGATTTTGAGAAAAAACGTTGTTCAAAATTGCATTTTGCAGAAGCTCAGCCTCAGCATGTTCTTAATTTGTTCTTAACTTTTGACTAATTTTTTCGTGTTCTTATAAAATTGTTCTTATAAAAAAGGAGTGTACAAGATTAAAGACTTCGCTTATAAGTTTCTTACCTAAGAGTAAATTTCATACCTCTGAAATCATTCGCATGGTGTCTTCTAGGCGACTACAGTAGCGACTATTCCAGCTACGAAGAAGCTCTTCTAAACCTGGATATATGTAGCCCAACATACTTAAGCTGTGGCAAAAGCCCATCCGAGGCCTATTACCTTAAACTGGTGAAGCAATACCACAAGAAATTAGCTGGTGTTTCCAAAAAAGATGGGGAGAGAATGTACCTCTCTAGGTTAAGAGATATTCCTTTCTACCCTTACAAAGTATACCAGACGGTCGAGCTTAACGGTGGAAATGTCTCTGTTGGTCTTAGACAGAAAGGACTGTGTGTTTTAGAATATGGCACATGTGAAAGATTTGTTGCCCCTAAAATCATCAACGAGTACCTCTGGTCTGATCTTCGCTACTGCACGCACTCGAAGCATAAAGTTCGGCTTGGTGTATTCTCTGGTGCTCAGATGGAAGAACTTACATTGAAAATCAAAGGACCGAGGGGTGTTGACGAAGGGAACTGCCTTTTTAAAGACATCACAAAATATAGAGACATATACCTGGCGAAGAAATGTGAGAATGTTGGCAAGGCCGAAAGAGCAGCAATCCTTATGCTAGGAGGAGCTAACAGTGGACCAGATCGCAAAATCAGCGCCTTCACAGAGTCGATTGAGAACTCTTTTCGCATGTTACGTCAGAGAGCAAAAAACCAACCTCTTCGTGAGTCCCTGGAGTAAAAACATAAAACTTATAGTCGGCAATGTGAAGAATGATCGATGCGAAATTTTGTATTTTGATCTGTGTTATTAAGTGAAATAGAAAAGTGTGCCCTGGTAAAATAAGCATTTTGTTGGTAAAATAAAGTTTACTGGTAAATTTTTCTGCGGGACTTTTCAGTGATGAAATTTCATCAATCGAAACAACAGTTATTCAACCTTTAGATTTTTAGTCGGTTGAATCTGTCACCCAGAGGCGAAGGAGCGTACTAAAAAGGGGGCAGTACAATAGAAGGGGCAATTGAAAAGCACGCCCACTGAGAAATTAAAATTCTTTTTTGGCTGCAGTAGCCATTGAGCTATACAGCTTGACAAGTCTGTTACTTGACAAGTTTATTTTGGACAATGTCATAGCACTTCTTAAGACAAATATAACAATATTTGAGTATGCACTTTTTGAATTGAGTTGTCTTATTGTTAACAAGAAGACAATGCTGGATAAGACCTGGATAAAAAATCTTCTCGATTTATTTGAATTTATCAAAATATTGTTTGCGACTATCGTTGCGCTGTACAAAGTCTTTTGCATCCTTTTAAAATCTATCTTATCAGTTCTTTGCGGATGAGAATAAAGCATCAGTTGTTGCTTCTCCGTTCTATTGTTCGAGGCAGGCTTTTAGGCGACTTCTCTCTAAGTCTAAGGTGAAGAAAAAGGGTGCTTCCCACAATAACTTCTAGGTGCCTCGCCCAAGTGCCCTTATCGCTATCCCTCTCACACTTAAGCTACTCTAGGCCAGGGCTATCGAGAGCAACGCTAGGCCAAAGGGCAGGCCCAATGCTTGGCCGCTCTTCACATCCAATTAAGTAAACCCAGATGCATTTAATATGAATTTAAAATGTATAGAAGTTTATTTGCTTTAAGTATTTGATTGTAAAGCATGCTAAATTTCTCATCCCAGTACAGATATAATTTGTGATGTTTTTCAGAATCATATTTTAAACAGAGACAGTTCCATTGCCAGAGGGCCCCTCTTTGTTTAAAGGCCCAGAAGCAGTTGTCTCTTTGCCCCCTCTTGCCCCATTTTCCCCTCTTGCTCCCTTTTCCCCTCTTGCCCCCTTTTCCCCCCTTGCCCCTTGTTGGTAGGTCCGACCTTGACACGATATTGGTATCAATTGTCATCTGTTAATGATTATATTTTATGTTCAATGGTAGCTACCAAGAGGCGTTTGAGAAAACCACAATGATCATATTGATCTTAGCCCGATATATATTAGTATCAAATACTCTTTATTCAAGCAATGCATTTATTTTTTGATTTGATTTTGCATAGTACTTGTTGTCTCCACTGGAACCGGTCTCGATAATGAATGTCCAACACCGCCTCCGGATCATTAGGTACCCACGTTTTCAGGCCAGAAAAATCAGTCCTCTTTAGAGGGAAAGTTGTATTGTAAAGATTTGGATACCACGTAAGAGTTGATAATACTCTCACCCATTTGCTCCCATTCCGTTTCTCGATCTTGTATGGCCACATGTCGATATACACTCGATTTTTTTCGCTGAAGTAAACTCTTCTGAAGTTTGGCACTTTCGGATAGAAGCGTGCCCAGTGTCCATATTTTTCTTTCAAGTTTACCAATGCTGCTTTAAGCTTTTTCGTGTTCCATTTTCGCCAGTCGACGTGTATGTCTAAATCGTTTTCATATCGCGGCATAGTTTTACTTTTTACCCAACCCACTAGCCCGCCGGCAGTTAGATAGTACCTTACTCCAATGTCATCAAGTGCTGACGTCACATGTGCAAACAGTTCTAGCACGTGGGCAATGCAACATGGTGGTCTTTCTATCATTTTGTTCAACTTTCTACTGAAATATGGCTGTTCCTTACATTTCCGTGTCGCTTTGGTGCAATTTGGATAATCGATGCTTCCATTCAAATAGATTATACGTTTTATTTTTAACCGTGCAATTGTCTTCTTTGACGGCCTCCCACAATTAGGCCGTCGAACTCGCATTGTCCATGTTGCCATATCGTATCTGAAGCAATAACGTCTGGTTACATTTCTGTCTCCTTTGTTTCTTCCCAGAACCATTTGATCTGAAGATTTGTTTAATTTTACATGTGACTTTGGAAACATCTTTTCTGCAAAGTCCTTTATCGCCTTGACGGGTTTGTTATTCTTACGTATTATCTCTGCTGTTGCTTCAGCCCCGGTCACATACGTCTTCTGTATTCCTGTATATTCTGTTTTGCTGTTGTTTTTGCGAGCATTCGAAGAATCTAGAATTTCAATAAAATAAGCTATCGTTAAGGCAAGCTTGCTACAGCAAGGCTCCCCCAGTCTCTAGAGTAAACTCTTTTTATACAAGCTTATAAGAACAACGGGACTCAATTACCCAAAAAAATAACAAGAACATAAGACCGTACCCAATCTCAGATAAATTTCAGAAGAATGAAAAAATGATATAAAAACATTAATCTGGTAGATAGTTTGGTCGAAATCTACGGTCCCGTGACAATTTTTAGAAGACATTGTTTTGAAAGTTTCTTTGACATTTTGAAGTACACTCTACAAAACGAGTCTGCGCACATTTTCGATAGGCATTGACCGGAAATGATGACATAAAACTGGCACCTGGAAAATCTTTTTTACGGCCATAATTCGAGATAGGTATGTCTAATTCATCAAAGGAATGCTTCAAAAGTTTTCGATTGATGTAAATTAAATCTCATTTTGTTGGTGTCAGCAAATTATGTTATGACGTCATTGTTTGAACTCGCAAACAATGTATTGATCATACGCTCTCAAGTCACTGTTTTAACAGAAATAGTTAAGTAGCATCAAAGACCCTCAAAATGGCTTTCAAAGAAGAGGAAAAGTATACAGCGGCTTCCTCCTCCTGAGTATACAGACGCTTATCGAAAATCGAAGTGTACCATAATGTAGAGCGTACTTTAAAATACCAAGAGCAACTTTCAAAACAATGTCTTAATAAAGTTGTCACGGGACCGTAGGTTTCGACCCAACTATTCAATTCTTTGATGAAAAAGCCATTTAAGTGGATAAGAACCTACATTTCTTTAGGTTTTGCTACTTTGTTCTTATTCTTTTGTGTGGTTAGTGGAGAGTGCGGGAAAATAACCGACCTGAGCGGGGCTCGAACTAACGATCCTTGACTTTGTACGTCAAGTGCTCTACCGCTTCTTGCATAATAAGACAACCCCTTTCTTTTGAAAAACTTTGAAATTTTGTTCAGTGTTTTTTGTTCAGGGCTTGGAAGATTAACCATCATTTTACTTTATATCGACAGCGCTGCTGCTTGAAACTTGGGAGAGAATTTAAGCTTGTCACTTTATGTCATTGCATAGGGGATATTGGGGCTAGGGAGGCTTCAGCCTCGTCAGTCAGGCAAAATTTATCGAATTTCTGGCTCAGTTGGGCAATTTTATCTCCATGAAGCAATAATATTCGGGCAAGACCCGTACTAAGCCCCCGCTACCCCCATGTGTCCTTGTTCTATGATTATTATATTTTTAATATAATGTACACACCATGTGTTTGGGGACATAATATTTATGAAATAAAGAAAGTATACTTCGGAATGAAACGGTTTGTATTGATTAAAAATATGACCGAATTTGAACCGTACCTTTTGAAGGGAATTTCATTGTTGTTCGCGGTCCTTTTGGATACGCAACAAAATATCGAATCTGCCAGAAAACAAGCAATACCACAGTAGCGATGCCTGTTTTGAAGACTACGGCCTTCCATTTTCGAAGCATGGTGTTGACTTTATCTTGCTTTGCTGCATGACCGCTCGCGGTTTCTTTCTTACAACAGAAAATTTCCGCAACGTGACCTTCTTCGTTCTTGCCTATTGAATGCTGTAATCGAAGTCGCTAGCTGTGAAAGAACGCCGATTAATGTGAGCGTCGCTCGAGCAGTACGACCGCTTTTGTTATAAGTTCGCTGTAATATCAATTTTGTACAGATACAACCACGGTTTGTTCGATAGGTCATTGAGGTCATAAAGTAACAATTGTTTTTGTTTAAGTCCAAACAGAGTTTGTCAAACATCACGACCACTGGCAGGAGAAAGAAGCAGGGGCGGTGGCCCAGAAAGGTTTTAGATACAAACAGGAGTTGAACAAGGTGGCCAAAAATTTGGAAACTTAAAGAGTTTTGCGTCTTGTAGTTGTGCTGAAGTAATGCAACAAAATTATCCAAAAGGTTTTAAATTCCAAACTTTTCTCTTAAATCATACTGATTTTTCTTTTTTATTCGGATTGCGACCGCAGGCATGTAGAGAAATTCATGCCCTGGGTACCAGATCCACAAATTTCGAGCGCGTAAATAGAAAACCAATCGTAGCAGCTCCTGCGCTTCTCCGCTCTTATCTTCTGTTTTCACTCTTGAATTTATGTGGTTCTCTTACCCAGGGTAAGAAATTCAGCACCTAGTAGGTGCAGGGGGCGCGGACGCGAGGGCTCTGCATGAAAATTCCCATTAGGAAATTCGTTGAAGGTTGATATGCGCAGTAATGGGAAACAAAAGCCTGCGCCCTGACTACGGAAGACAGGCCTGCCGTGAGGTGGGTAAGGGGGGCAATTTTCCCTGGGCCTGTTAGCAATGTGGGGTCCGTTTATAGAACAGGGTCTTTTTAAAAAATAGATCCATTAGCAAAGAGGCCAATTGGCCCTTTTTCAAATATTACACATCGCAAATTTACAATATTTTCCACATTGAAGCCCTGGTCAAACGCTCCAACATTTCACCCAACCTTTTTTTCGCGCAGATTGTTAAAGGACATGGTAGAAGCCGCTCCAAGGCAGCAAAGAAGAGTTAGCGAAATTTGGATCCAAAAAAAGAAAGGCAATATCCGCCTTCTCTATATGTTTTCTCTTCAAGGAAAGCGATGGCAGATATCCTTTCTGTCATCTCGGTCTTTCGTGACGAGCGTCGCATCCCCGATCAAAGCCTTGGCCTAAATTCGTCTCCTGCGCTTTCTTGTGGCTCCTCTGTGCTACAGACTCTTCATTGACACTTTATGCCTCTTCTTGCCCATGGAATTCGTGTTATTTCGTTATATTGTCTATAGTTAGAGTGTAACTGATTGTAGGCAAACGCGATTGTTGAAACGAATGAAACCAGCCCGAGAGACAACAACGATGCGATGATTAAATTTTGGCGCTCTTTAATTAAATGAGCTTGCGCAGAGCTAACAATGTTGGTTGGAAGGCCAAACGATCCAACATTTCACTCAACAATTGACGTGTGGTCATTAAACAGCTGACACCGATGTTCCGATATTTGAATTTACCTGAATAGATTTATAAACAGCTTATGAGATTTTGGTAGAATAAAGAGTTTTTAGGGAGTTTTGGGGATATTTTCTCTGATGTATTTTGCCTGAGGGCGTACGAGATTTTTGCGAAATGATATGCCTCTCTGAGAAGTATAAATTGACTTCATTGGAACATGAAGTGCAATTGGACTTAGGACGCTAATGGTGTTATTTATTTTACAAATTTTATACATTATAAAGGCACAAAAAATATTTTTATTACCTTTTTATTGAATTTGCAGCAAAACCAATATTTAATTTGTCCCCTCTCATTTAGGTCCACCCCCTCTGGGGCCATTAAAATTAAATTCTTTCCCCGTATGACAGGAGGGGCTTTTACTGTTTGTTTTCAAATTTTTCCTCGCTACTTGGCAATGCATTTAAAAGGTTTATCATGTAGGTTTGTATAAAATTTAAAAAACCTGACTCATTTTTTTCTGTTTCAATAAGATTTCAATAAAGTATATCTAGTCTAGTGAAAGTCACCAAGAATTTTTTTGATAGAGAGTAAAATTGCTCACGCAGTTGTCTGCCTCTATTTGTTAGTACTCGGGGGGTAAATTATGCCTAATTTTGGCCGGGGACGTGCCATTTTGGTTAGAATTTTTGACCCATAATTCCGCAAATGTTTGAAAAAATGTGACCCATAATATCGCAAACATGATGAAAACGATACCCATAATTCTGCAGAGCAAATAAAAATTTTAAAGCACATAAAAATCATCAACCAAATTTTGCAAGTCCTATGCCCCAAAATCTCAATATTACACACATTTCCTACTTTAATTTCTTACTGAAAATTCATTTTTTTAATGCTAAATCTCCCTCCTTAAAATCCCCCCCGAGAACAAATAATATTTGTAAATTGAAAGCTTCATTGTTACTTGATCATTGTTTCGACTTTTAGGGCAAGCAAAACGGCAGCCTTAGAATCGACAAGAATGAACCTCGAATCCGTTCTCCTTTCTGAAGATTCCAATGAAAGCGAGGAAGAAATACAGACTGACAGTTCGCCAGAATTCGACTAAAAATTTAGGACAATTCACGCAATATGCCTTTTGGTAAGGTACGTTGGTGCGGTTTTGTAATGGCATCGACTCGGCAATCACAAAACCAACGATTGATCATAACATGGACAGAGAAAAACAAGTTTTATTAACTCTAATCCGAATTTGTAAAGATGTATCTTAAAGTATTCTAAATTGGTCTTTTCAGTATCCAAGCACAGTTTTGCGACTCCTACTTATGCTTTGTCAAGAATTTTTCCTAAGTTCGAGAAATAGACCGCTTTGTAAGCTCCAGAGCGTTGGAAATAATACCGTTCTGAGAAGCCCCTTGGGGACAGGGTGGTTAGTTGGTGTCGCTAGTGTTACTTCAAAAGGGTATTCCGAATAATGGCCCATTTTTTTCAAAATTGATTACGAGTCCCATCCTTTCCTTCTGCTCAGAAGTAAAATGCGATGTGCTTTTTATGAGCACGTTGACTTTTGTTTTCAAGCTAGCTCCACGTGACATATTTCTGTTAATCCTCAAGTATATAAGTTAAATTGCCTCGGTACAATCTATCTTGGTAAACGACTCGTTTTACATTTCATAAACAACTAGTTGCTAAGGAACAAATGTCTTATTTTCTTACGTAACCATTTCGTCTCGAGTTAGCCTTTCCTACTTAATTTTGTTGTGGAGACGAACCTTAATTTGTTCGTGTGAATGAACTATATAAGTTCCACGGCTTTATTTTCACATCACATAATATATTCTGGGGTAGAAACATTCATGGAACTTATTGGAACAAGCCAGTCTAGAATCAAAAGACAATTTAGAGAAGCGGGTGTCTTGAGAAAAATGTGAATAAAACTCTGGTTTATAGGATGGAATTATGATGTATAGTTGTTTTTATTATTGTTTTCATGACTTTGAAGCGTTTTGAAGCCCTATGAAAGGGTAATTCCTTGTGCGAGCCTTTGAAACATTTTTCTCATTGGTTCGGACAAATTGATAGACCAATAGTCATAAACAATGGAAATCTTGATTCGTCTCCCAAACAAAAGAAATGTATTGTGAATTCTCCTCTAGCCTCTAGCCACGTATTTTATTGCTTATTTTCAAGTTTATTATATCCGTCCAGAAGCTCCTTCTAAAAATCTTTCCCCTTTCAAAGATGATTTTCATCAAAAGCCAGTCGATGCTCTTCTGTCCCATTGACTCTGAAAGAGCTATTATCAAAATGCAGTGGAATCTCCACTAACGAACGCCTCTATACAACGGACACCTCTCAACAACGGACAGTTTCACTGGTCCGAACGGTGTCTAATATGAGGGGGTAATTTAATGTTCTTATAAGATTGCATTTTGTTGTTGGTCTTGTATTTGGTCCCAACCAAAAAATGATATTCAATCTTTGAATAGTCTTGTATTTTTGAGTAGATTTAGAAACCATATGAAGTTAAAATTAGTGACATAAGGTTTTACATCTCTCTCTCTCTCTCTCTCTCTCTCTCTCTCTCTCTCTCTCTCTCTCTCTCTCTCTCTCTCTTTGGGTAAAGTTTCTAAAAGTGATTATTTTTATACCTTTGCTCGCATGTAGCAGATTGTCAATCAATGTGCATCATTTTCACCTCTAATTGATAAGTAGATCTAGTCTGCATTATTGTCAGTATTATCTTTTTTTCATTCTGTATTCTTTGCCCGAGGTGCGTTTAAACGTGTAGTCATCTATGACAGTAACCTCTGAAAAATTGGAAAGGTCTTAAAAATCCACTGAAAAGCAGAAATACGGTCCATATTTGTATTTCTATGCATTTTTGGTGTTAGAAACTTGATTTTTGATCATCTGCAAAATAGGACCTTTGCGTTTTCAACTTTTGTATTGTAAAAGTTTCTTTACAAATTCATGCTTTCTAGTTAGGCAATTTTTTTCCATATATGCCGCCCTCGAATGTGAGCTGCAGCAAATGAGGCTCTTAAAAAATGTAAGCCGCACCAACAAACCATGCAACTAAACTTGGTTTTCGATGACGGACCAAAAACTAATAAAAGCCTGATTATGCACTGAAACGAAACAAATAGACGTTAGAAGTTCAACCAACAACATCGTCAAGATGACAGATCATCAATATCGTCCAGGAATTTCTTCTTCATCTGCTACATTATCAAAAGCTTCAAGGTACCAGGAAAGCTTGGCAGGATCTGAATGAAATATTGTAAGCCACCAATGTTTATAAGCCGACCTTAATTATTTGGTATTTGTTTTTGCATTTGAAGTAGCAAGTATTTTGTCCCTAGTACAAGGCACCGCGAGAGTAAGAAACACAACGTTGCTTGCTCTATGAAATGTTAAACAAATTGTTGTTACAGTTTGGCGGCAATCTTATTCTAACAAATAATGCAGCGTGATCGGTAGCATGTTGGTCACCAAGAAAAAACTCCGTACAACTGCATGGTCATATACAACCATCCAAATTATTGGAAACAAAGTTCCATCCTTTCACAGTCAATTAAATTTTTGGGAGTCCAGCCTCAAATACCACCTTCAAACTCTATGTTCATTTTGTCAGAATTCTATTTTGAGTTGAAACAGTTTCAGGGTTGTCAAAACAAAACTTGGGGATTACCAAAAGAGTTTTAGTATGTATGATATGCTCCGTAGACTTTGTTTTGCACATTTTGTTTTGTGAAACAGAAGGAAACAGTTTTAAGTCGCATCTCAGCTTTTCGTGCTCTGTTCATTACAAACATTCAAAAAGAAAGTGTAGTTTGAAAAAACTAACACTGCAAATGCAGATATGTAAAAATTTGTGTTGCTGGTGTGGCATTCTGATAGGGGTTTACTGTTTAATTTGTGATATTGTACAATTATGAGATTTTTCGTATTACCTGTATTCATAGTACCGCATTGATTATACTTAATATTTTTCATTAATCTGTTTTTATCGAGAACATTGTAAATTAATTAAATAGTTGGCTTGAATTAGCTCCACAGCTATGCATCAACCAACTTAAAGCAAATTATATTATTTTTATTAATTTTCTTAAATGCGTTCGCCAGGCTTGGCCTAAACGGCACGTTATAACAGACCGGTAAGTACTACCCCTCCCCCAAACTCGCTCCAGCCCTCCTAGCCTTTTTGAATTCATCAAAGTCAATGGTGGTCGTTATCAGTTGTTTATTGTTTGCTTCAGGTTAATTCTTTTGATTTCTATTCACCAAACGTGTCAATCGTTACTTTTAATTCTGACAATAACACCAATCGCAAGGGACCCTTCCATGGTAACATGGCGTACGCATATTATTTCTTCTAACGTCTTACAACAACAACGCCCAATTATTACTCATCATTTGACAACTCTTTTATCTACCGGTAGCATAAATTATATAAGTTGCTCTAAAAACCCACAATCCAGAGTTATCCTAATGCTTTTACAAAATGGAAAGTTCGTCATTTTGCAATACAAAACTTTCTTGCCCTAAAAAAACTCTAAAAGTTCTTTTGGAGAATTCACTCTTCAGAATGGTTTAGCTCCATTTCCTTATGCCTTTGTCAAAATAACTTTGCTTTGCCTGTGCAAGCCGTGTCATAAATCTAAATCTATTTTGCGATTGTTGACTCCCCTCTATCATCGCAATTATCATCGCAATAATCCCATCACTATATAGATTCTCAATAGGGTTATGAGAACGTGTCATCAGAACGTTTGCACCATTTTGGATGATCTTCTGACTGGTTCGATTACGGTCAATTTGCGCCTTGAACCCTTTCCGCCCCATAGAAATACTGCAAAAAAGCCGGTTATTCCACTGATATATCTGTATGGTATATGTAAGCTAACCTTCGCCGAGATACAAACGCCTAGAACCGTTTTTGATACCTTAACTTACTACTCAATTCAGATATCTTTCTGTCGCGACAAGAAGCGCTTTCCTAAAGACTCTTCTTGAATGAAGGAAAAGGGTCGCTAAATGAAGGTGTTTAGAGACTAACTATTTAGATTAAGAAAACTTTACTATATTTGGCCTGCTGACGAACTATGAGCTACAAATAACGGAAACAGATATTTGAAGTTTCTGCTCCTCTTTACAAGTTTTGAAAATGGCTTATTTTGTAAGACAAAGGCACTTGTTTTGACTCAGATGCCCTTTCAAATGCTTCTTAACAAATTAACTAAACCAAGAAAGCACTCCGGCTCTTTTGGGGGTGAGCTCAATGTATCGCTTTTGTGTACGCAAGTGAATGGCGGGTGTTCAGTGCCCCCATGTGACATGTCCAACCCTTTTGGCGGTTGCTGATTGGACGCGAAGGTGTCGATGCAATGTGCGTCAAAGGATTTCAAAGAAGCGCGGTACATTTCAGTCTCTTGTTACGTATTTACAATGTAATAAATACGAAATAGAAGTGAACGCTCAATCTCCAGAGATTTTTGATGAGCAAGCAGCAGAGGAAGACTAAGAATCTCGAGAGAAACAACTCGCTGGCCGACGATACCAAACGCTTTCCCCTAATGGTAATTTTTGTATGCTTTTACCAACCTCTTGAGGGATTCTACTTTATACTTCTAATAGTCATTCGTTTCCTTTATGGTTTATGGTTGTTTATCTTTCGACGAAGTGATTTTGTTCTCATGGTGGATATTTTCAACTTTAGGATTCTTCACCAACTTCTGAACGAAGCATCACGCCTGATACCAAGGTCTGGGGTATTCAAGATGCAGATGACAAGCCGAGGTGAGTTCTCAAAACATGCTAGCTATGAAGTGCGGTTGATAGACAGGCTCTGAAATGGTTCTCAAAGATTTTGTTGATATCTCCGGCCTAGAATTGTTTCGCTTCCCTGTTCTCAGTAAGAAAATTGGTTGAGCGCAGCGCTGTTTCTCCTTCAAGCGTTTTATTTTGCTTTCTCCAAGTTATGGGTACTGTTGCTTTTGGTTTTAAACCAGTTTAATACCTTTTCTTTAAGCATAGCTTTCGTCGCATTCTATAGAGATAAAGATTATGTGTTACAGCGCAAATGATCAATATCAGGAAAAATATTAACACATTCTAATATTTTTATTCCTTAGTTTGCAGTTAAATGTTTCATTTCCTTGAAGCGCTAATACCAAACAATCTTTTCTATTTACAAATATTCTGCGAACATTCATTTCTTCGATACCAGTGTATTTTGATTGCTTTAGAAAGCAGCTAGCAGTAGTAATATATCAATTAATTACCTTATTTCTGAATGGCTACAGTCTGCTAACAATGTAATCCGCCGCTTCTGAACATGATAGACTGTTTATGCTAAACTTTGAGTTATTATATATTTCTGGCTTTTTAAGAGTCGAAGAAGGTAATTTGTAGAGGGAAATTATATCTTAATTTGTATAATTATGTCCTACCCTCTTATTGTTGACAAAACAGGTTATAAATTTATCTTTTGTAGTTTTTAAAGAAAATTGTGTTGTCGATTTCACTTCATTAACAATTACAGAAATTATTGGCCTTGTAGCAGGTTGTATTCTATGAGATTTTCTTGACGTTTTTCTAGGCTCGTGAACTTTTTCAATAGCAATTATTCACCGTTTTTCAAAAGAACTTTGGTTACATTAAGAAGAAATATCAAAAAGCCGGAGCAATGCTGCCATATCTTGTAAATTGATAGAGTACTTTAAATGTTTGTTTATCCAAGTATCAGAAATTGGAATTTTACCTATCAAGATTAATTTGAACAAGAATTCTGTGTAGAAGATGGATACTCTCACAAGAAGTGGACTAAATGCAAAATAATGGAACTCATTTAAAAAGAAACTAGATTATTGCAATGGAGGCATTAAATACTCATTCACCCAGTGTTTCTTCAGTGTGTAATATTATCGGTGAAAGCATTGGAAGGGAGTATTTCTAAGCTAATGGTAAAGAGAAGAACTTTACAAGGCCTTTTGACTCCATGGAAGATATTTGTTGTTTATGTTAGGTTAGATAATGGTTTGGTAGTCATTTATGTTTTCGCCGTCGTCTATATGCGACCTGTGTTCTCCCTACATATCTTTTCTAAAACGGTGACATTTGATTTCCATGGGAACGCTTGCAAAAATGTCCGAATTAATGTGGTTACTATAACGGGAAATGAGTAGACGCCAAGGAAACATAAAGAAACAAGTAGAAACAACTAGGAAACAAGTAAGAAACAACTAGGAAACAAGTAGAAACGATTTGGAAAATTTTTAACTGCGGCACAATTTTATTTATTTAGTGGAAATCCTGCATTAATAGCTATGATAGTAGATGTTTATGTGGTATTTTTGTAAGAGGAATTAAACTATGAAAGCCTGATATGAAGTGCCAGCATTGTAAGAGCAAATCTCACTGGCATTGGGATTAACATGGACCAACTACCGGGAAGGTCGAAATAAAGCAATTTAAATTCTCGGCTAATAATCAAGCCTCCCCCCCCCCCTTGAATTCACCTGCTTTAGGAACACACTGAAGCTTTATAGAGGCTTAAGGGTTAGGCTCCCAAACAAAACTTTGTTCAAGAAGTAGATAGTCAACCTATACAGCTTGTTCCTCTAGTATATTGGAGCTTGTTCCTTTACTTCTTTTGCTAAAGTTAGCTTTGTAGAAACATAAGTAAGCATTATCACTGGGTTTCCGTAACCCCATCAACAGCTTTTGTGGTGGAGAACGACATGACCGAACACTTAGGCCACTGCAACGAAGATGACATTGCTCACGTGGATGGATAAGCTTGCCTCGTTTTGGAGACCTAGTCGTTTTTGCAAAGTCACAAATCGTTTCATGTTGTTTCCTAATCGTTTCTTCTCGTTTGTATTCGTTTCTTGTTGTTTCCTGTTGTTTCCTGTTATAGCAAACGCGCCGAATTAACTGGTCTGCTATGTATCTGGTCCATTGAAGACTCGCAAATGCGTCTTGAAATGGAACATAAAAATTTTGGTTTCGAAAAAAATTAGGTTTGTTGCTTTGCTAGAAGGCACATATAACATATAAATTTAGTTGTAATCGATATTTGTATGAACGATCCCAAACTTTTTTAAAACGATAACTTGCTACAGCAGGCTCAGTGAGTTCAGAGCGCTCTATTCAATGGCTAAACGAAGTTTCGAGCACCTTAGCTCGATAACTAAGCGGCCCCAAATTTATTCGATATTCAGGTTTTTTAGAATTCGCTCAATTTCAGCTCCTCATTTTCAAAAACTTATGCAGCTCTACAGCGTTGGATTGAACGCTCTTTGCGGTCTGTAAACAGAGGCCCAGTTTAAGTTTCCCTTAGGGTCTAAGACTCATTTATATCTTAAGATTATAGGAAACAGCTTACGTGTGTCTTCAAAATCACTGGTACATCATTGCACCCTGCGCGTCTTGGGTTTTGTAAGACCAAACGGTTAGACGAAACCGTTCTAAGCCCCAAGATAGGTTCCCTTGAGTTCCCGATGTGTTCTGCTACTGGTTAGAGGAGATTTATAGGTCCGTTCCCCCGTGCCAACCAAAACCAGACACTGCGCCCCTGAAAAGGTGCTTGGATCTATGACAGGTTTGACCCTTTATTTGATTAGAATGGGCACCCCGGCCCACCCACTGATAATACTACTGAGGTGCTCAATATAAAATTTCTTGTAAATAAAACAGCAGTAAAGCATTTCATTTCATAATGATCTTTCATAATGTCTGAGCTCTTTGGTTGTAGGTTCGAAGTTTCGAGAGCAACTTTCGAGAAGCACCCGCCTAATAACCTTCGCAAGAGCAACTTCTTCCACTTTGTTTTGGCGCTGTATGACCAAAACAATAATGCTGTTGAGATTGAGAAAGGAACTTTCGTTGGGTTTATTGAGTTTTCAGAGGTGAGATACGTTGGCTCCAACTCTTCATTGCATGCCCTCTTTGTCGTGTATCTAACCTATATCGTACCTTGAAGCAATTAGCAGTGCCCCTATTGGGTAATGACTAGTGACTCAAAGTGACTTGATTTTTTTTTCAAACTTTAGGATGACAAGAAAAACAGAAACGGTATCCATTATCGACTCAATTTGGTTTTTGATGGAGGTGAGAAAGGCTAAATCTGAATATTATTCATAAGACAAAATCTTTGGACTGTTTAGACGCAGCAACTGTCTCTCCAAATTCTACCTTTATTTGCAAAGTTCATGTGTTATCTCCAAAGAATTACTCGCTGCTTTATTGAATTCCCTAGAAATTGACTCTCAGCAATATTTATACAAGAGCACTGGTCTATCTAAAATGCATTTTCCATATACAGTCTTTTTTATAAGAACACGAGCCTCGTGATTGGTCAGAAGTTAAAAACGTGTAAAGAACGAGGCTGAGGCTAAGCTACTGTAAAATTTAATTTTGAACAATGTTTCTTCTTGAAAACAAGAAAATTTTTGCAATCTAATGGGGCTTTTTCGGTGAATATTCAAATTTGTCGACAAATGAAGCATTTCTCACTCACTTTGTTGGCAAACGAGGCCTAAACACCTCCCTTTTGCGCAATATCTTGAAAAAATTAAGAAACATCAAGCCTCAGATTTTCAAAAAAATTAAGAACAGCCAGCCTGCACCTCAATTTACTTGTTCATAGAAAAAAGGACGTATCTAATATTTCTTTTCTGCTTGTGTAACTTACAATGCCATGCTCTTTTTATCTTTTAGAAGCGAGAGTTGAACAAGACATATTTATAAAGTTGGTCAATTCGCAGACACGAGAGGCAAGTCTTTTTTTACATGTTGCTATTATATCTGTGCACACCGAGTTTTTAACAGTGATGTTGTTTTGTTAGTTTATCCACAATTTGCAAGCAAAGTTTTTTACAGTGTAAAATAGATCTAGGGAAATTTCGTGCACATTTGAAGGTATGAAAATTATGAAAATAGCATTTAATCAATCTCAGTAGGCAAAGCTGTACACGCTTTGGTATATAAGACGGAACAATTAGTTGCAATTCTGAGCTTCACGCTTAGTGGGATCGTCAGGTATGCTCTTTGTTAAATAAAATAGATGAAAAAACCATCTAAAACTGGCAATTAAAATTGCTTTTATGGGACCTTTCTTTATAACCAATTGAATTTTTTGTTTATACATTTAATTTATTGTATAAAAACAGGTAATCATGTATGAAGGACAAGACAAAAACCCTGAGATGTGCAAAGTTCTACTAACCCACGAAGTCATGTGCAGGTATTTACACACTCTAACAAAATCTTCATTCCCACTCACAATAAGATCGTTTATTGCGACATCATTAAACATTGTTTAAAAACAGTAAGAAAAAGGGATTATTCATAAACGAAAAATCTTTCGCGGCTACAGCCAAGATATTCTATAATGTAGTAGGCAAAATAATTATGATGCCATTCTTACATAATTTCTTGTTATATACACATTTTTTAGCTACGATAGCAATTTTAGCAACATCATTTGATTTAATTATACTGTTGCTGTTTTTGTTAATAGTAATTGTATTTGTGATTTATTTGTAGCCGATGCTGCGAAAAGAAATCTTGTGGAAATAGGAATGAAACGCCTTCGGATCCGGTCGTGGTCGATAGGTTCGTCATTTTCCTACAATCCATGCACAAACTCAATTTTCATATTTGTACACATTTTCCTGTAACACACTTTCTCCATATTTTAAGCTCTTTCCTTTATTTTTATTATTGCTTGGTTTAAAAGCTACGTTTGTATTATAGGTTTGCATCCCTAGAGGTCATTAAATTGTTACTGTTCTTGTTTGTGTAAAGCAAGTGTTTTATATCAACTTTGTTGTTTGTATCATAAGATGGTGAAACGATCTTGAAAGACAACTCTAGGAAAAATTTCCTAGGTTTTGCCAATTTTTGCCTTAAAAAATTCAATTTATCGTGTAAGTGCTTCAGCACATGTTCACTATTGCTTACATCGTAATGTTGTTTTGCAATTCTGTCTTTTATGCTTTCCCTTAGCATTCAAGGTATAATTCCAATTCTTCTGCAGATTTTTTGTGAAGTTCTTCATGAAGTGCAATCAGAATTGTCTGAAAAACGCTGGTAATCCAAGAGATATGCGCCGATTCCAAGTTGCTGTTTCAACAACACCAGATTTGAAGGAAATTCTCGCTTTATCTGAAAATATGTTTGTCCACAACAACTCAAAGCACGGGCGAAGAAGCTCAAAGCGACTAGAACCTTTAGAAAGTGAGTTTCGATTTATCACGCTCCCTGCTATAACCTTGTTTCTTTATCTAAACAATTAGAATAGCTATTTATTGCCCATTTCACCAAAGTTTGTAGCTATTAAGATTAAAATGTACGGGGAATATCATTATAGCTTCTAAAACTATTGGTTCTGCTGAGAAATTGTTCAGTAATTAGCTCATTACATTAACACCGATGGAGTCCGAATGCCAGTGCAAAATGTTAGTTTACTCTTTTCTTATATTTGCGTTTTGGTATTAAATCAAATTTCATTGACATTGGATCGTCACACACCATACATTACTAACTGATGTTTATTACTTGTAGATCCTCCGCTTATAAAAGCAATGATCCCTTCTGAGGGCTGGACCTCAGGTGGTACCCAGATCATCATAATCGGTGAGAACTTTTTCGAGGGGATCCAGATCATCTTTGGAAACTGTATTGTGTGGAGTGTAGAGGTAAGAAATAATACTTGCGACAGAATCTTATAAAGCCGTTTCTTATTAAAAAACCTGTTGTATCAACGAATCCAGGTCATCATCAAAACGTCATGATATCGTCAACATAAAAATTTACTCCCAGCCAAATCAGATATTTGGAAGCTCATCCAAATCATTAATGATTGGGTACGTAATAGCTGTGGTCGCTAGAGTGACGTCACTGCTGGAAGAAGTAACCCGACCATTAGTTATTCTGGTGCAAGATCAATATATTAGTCACTAGGATATTTTTTGACTGAAACTGCTCATTTTTTTCAAGGTATTTTCCGCAACGGCACTTAGAGTAGTTGCCCCACCTCGACACATGCCTGGCATGGTTGAAGTCAGCATGGCTTTTGATTCCAAGCCATATTTTCAAGGCCCGCCTGGATGCTTTATATATTCTTGTAAGTATTTTTGAAATATTTACTATAATTATTTGAGTAGTGCCTTTGAACATACTGTTTATTGGTTCTATTAAAAGCCAGTCTGCTGCCATTAACTTTTTGCTCAAAAGGCAACAAGAAAGAATTCCGCTTTTGTTGTATAAATCTTGTGCCATGTAATTGTACTTTTACAGTTAGCCAGAATTTTTTGCAATTTTTTAGTCAAGAATGTGAAAGAGCCACAAATTTTTTCCAAACTCCTTCAAATTGTTAAAATCATGTTTGCTTTTTTTCAGCTTTAAGTGACCCAACCATCGACTACGGATTCCAAAGATTGTCTAAGCTCATTCCAAGGCATCCTGGTGACCCCGAAAGGATACCGAAGGTTTGTTTTAGACATTCATGGATACATATACCTTTTCATTTGGGAATTAAGAGTTTATATCCTCTATATCAATTATGTAACTACGAGAGCCACATGCTATGAATTTTCTGCTTTAATTTTAAATGGAAAACCCAGAAGCAAAGGGTACTGTCATTATGTAGATTTTTAATCCTTGTTTTTGTTTGAACTTGATCACAGGTTGGCCCAAATACTCATGTTTATGTTTATACCTTTGCTCCCTTATGGTTAAAATGCAAGGCATAAACTATTAGCTGTAACTCATATGGCATAAACTATTTTGATGAACGTTTTATCATGATTGATTCTAGCCTGCGCCCCAGTCCACAAATGCTGCCACATATTGATAAATATCCTGTCCCCAGTTTCCACCAAAATCCGGTGGTAGTTTATGAACCCTCCAAGATTATGCAATTAGTTGAAATTTAAACTCACTTACCATGCACTATTTTTATCGGTTCTGTTTGATTTCAGTGCAAATTTCTTCGAAGGATTTTTTATGAAAGATTTGAATGGTTATATTGCATATATTATTGTCATAAACTAGACTCAGCCCTCTGCCTGGACAGTATTTCTATCAATATTGCAAAGTCCTTAAATGTAGCAGCATTTGTGGACTGGGGCGCAGGCTAAATTGATTGGTGCATGAATCGTTTTGAAATATCCTTTCATGTAATAGGTTTTGGACCATAGTGGTTTTTTCACGTCATACAATTTTCTGTTTTAGGAGGTTATTCTAAAGCGAGCTGCAGACCTAGTAGAAGCAATATACGCCATGCGCAGTCCGGTTCCTCAATATATACCTTCGCCATTACCAATGAACGAAGCGAAAACGCCTATTATTTACGCTAGTGGCAACAGCCCAGGAATGCAAGGACATTTCAATTTTGGCTCTACTAACATCATGAGGAATGCACGGGATGAGCCGATGCAGACTGAAAACTATATGCAAGGTACATATAACGGTTTCGTTGAAAAAGACTACGACGAGAGTGAACGCGTCAGTAAAAAGCGCATTCGTGACAATCCGAGGCTGACTCTCAATGTCTCACTTCCACACGTGAATAGCCTCGCAACTGCCCAGTCGTCGTCTGCCCAATACCAACAGCAAAACTTGTTTTCTCCTGCAACGGCTGGATCATATGGCACATCGGGACAAATGATGCCGCCGCAATCAGCAGGATTTTTGGTTTCTCAAAGTAAGACCCCATTCTGGTGTAAATATCCCCGTAGTTAGGCACAATAACATGTCTGATTTGTGCCTTAAATTTGCAAAGAAAACTTTCTTCCTTGTTCTGTCTTCACATTCATCCTGGTGCGATGCGATGTTACTATTCACTGCTATAACCAACGTATGATATCGTAAACATATTTTGAAATTTAGTTCGGTAAAACTAAAATAGCTAGAATAGAGCTAACAGTGCTCCATCGAAGAAGGGATCAATAAATCTTATGCGTGTTCAATCCCTTGGAGCACCCTTGGAGTTGCTGTGTCTTGTTTTTGTATTTTCTGTTTTTCCCGAATGCCACTAGTTGCCGCTAATCTTCTCGCAAAAAAGATCCTACAAAAAATGTCTCCTTTTTTCATGCATGACTCACAGCATATTCCTTATATAAGTGGCCCAACATCATGGCAGTGAATTGTAGTTTTCCAGGCATCGAAAGTAGCAACACTCTCCCAATAAACTATCATTTGAAAGCATCTCTATTTCTCTAGTTTGTTAGAAAAGACCTGATGTTTCTTTTTGTAAACTCAGCTCTTTTAAATACTTTGTACTTTAACATGTGCTAAAAATTGAAATCATGCATCACTCAAAAGATATTCCTTGATAAGGTGGCCCAACATCGTTGCACTTATTTGTAGTTTTTTAGGCATCAAATACCTTTCCCCATTTTCATCGCAAATTTATTAAAAAGACTTGATTATTCTTTCCATAAAACCAGCTCCTTTAAAACCTTTGTACTTCAACATTTAATATACATTTGTTATTGTTTACAGCTGGACAAAATGTATATTTACCTCCAACACCCAACAGTGTACCTGTAAACCAATCGCACCCATCAAGTGGCAACGTCTTTCAATTTGGAACCACTGCATTGTCTTCAATGAGGCAGAAACAAAGTGCCTACAACCAGCTCAGTCCAGATCCATCACCAGTACCTCAAGGTTAGTATTTCAATTGTTTCTTGTTAATTCGTTGTATTCATTCGTAGGGAGCCTTCTGATAAATGATCATGATAAAGCCACTTTGTGATTAACCACGGACATAGAACAAGCATACAAAGAGACAGCGATAAAAATTTGTCATAATCAGCTTGAAGAACAAAGTAACAGGAATTTTCCTGCAATTTTTGCTGTTCTGTTTTGTCACATTTTATGACAGGTATGCTGCAATCCCATTTTAGTTCTACTTGAAGGGTTGTTGAATTTTGAATCTGACTTCAATTTTACTATGAATTTTATTTGTGCAAGTCCAAACTTAATGGTATTGTTAAAAAAATCTTCTTTCTGTTTTAGACATGATCAATGGAAGCTACATCGTCGCTAGCTAATGAAGAGCTAAATAAAACAAAAGAAACTGTTAAAAAATTAGCAGAGATGGCCATGTTATTGCATTTACAATTTACTGTGATGCACTTTGTATAAAAATCCGTTAAAAGTTCAAGGACAGAGCAAACACTTTTCATCCCAGTATCGCCTTTGAGCCTTGAAAATTATTCTCGTTAAATACCAAGTTTATGATTTTGTCGGTATGCCAGTATTAGAGTTCAGTAGATTGAATAAATTCATCCCAGCTAAAAGCAAGAAAGAAATATAGAAATGTCTCTAGCTCATAGCATTTACACTTCAACATGCAATTGTGACATAGATCCGTCATTTTTAGATAGTTTAAGCATCAAACAGTTCTAATAAGTAGCGAAGTCAAGCGTTTTCAATGTAAAATGTTTATTCGATACACCTGAAATGATATCGGGTTGCATATATTTTCGTTTTTATTTTCACCACATTGTACATAAACACCTAAGTTATTAGCCAGGCATCTATAGTTCGAAGATTAAGGAACGTCCAAACCTTGAGTTAAAGTGTTTTTAATTATTTATACAAAGATTTGTATCTTTAATCGTGTTGCATAGCTATTTATTTTGTTTATTGTGTATTTATTTGAACAACTATATGATGATAAATCGTCTGAGTGGAAGTCTGACTTTTTTATCTAGGTATTCTGCAAATTCCAATTTTGCGTCATTTCTAGCTAATGCCATAATATCCAATTGCAGAATCCTTTTTTTACAATTATATGAAGCCTCAATATTGTTTTACGAAGCTGTAATATTCAGCCATACATTTCCTCCCTGCTTATAAAACTTTTCAAACTAGTGGCCGCCATAAGTTTTTGTTTTGTAGTACATACAATGCTGCATGACTTTAATATTTTTCCTAGGCCAACACGCTATTTGGTAAATTTTCCTGTTTGTAATAAAATGCTGTGAGCCTTTGCCTTTGCTAAGTATACAGCCATACGCACCCATTGCGACGATTTTACTTACGGCAGTCAGCGTGCCAAATTTTGTTTCAATAAATGTAATAAAAATGATTGGACTGCAAATCCTCGAAAAATGATTGAACTACAAGTCCTGGCTACTTTAACTCGCCCACATCCTTAAACTTGGCATCATCAATATTCTGCACAATGCTAAAAGATGTATGACAATATAGCATCAAATGCAGAAAGTCTAAGTAAATTGTTTCTTTTTCGGTGGATAGTGGTAACAAAAACAAGAACCTTGAATAAAGAAATAACGTTTTAGAAATATAGTTACTGTTGGTTGTTCTACCATGCCAGCCTCAAGTGTAGATCGGTTTTTTTCCTTTTTTAGTGAATTTTCTCCAAAGATCGACACTCATTCTAAAAACTTAGCAATGGTGTGACAGTAGTAATAAAGAGGCAAAAATTTGGAAATATCGGAAACATTGATAAAAGTGATTCACGATGCCTCTCTCAAATTTAAAGAGTTGTAAACATCAAGTTTGAAACAGACTCTTGATGTTTTAAAAGTAAAAATCAATATCAAATTCTTATTTTATGTCTTAAATACTTTATGAAAGTACTACATGTTTCACAAACTTGCCATACTTGTTTTTATAAGTTTTGTTAATATTTTTTCGCACGAGTTTGCCGAACCAGCAATAAATTTACAGCTTTTATTAAAGCCATTTTAAAATATTTTTCCTCGAAAAATTGCTTATAATTCCATAGTTAATAAAATAGAATACTAGAAAGAAAATTGCTGCAAAAATATTAGATATATTCGCGTTAATAAACGAAATATGAAATATAATCAGTGCAAACGTCCATAGCGATAAATGAATTGTTTACTGATATTTGATTATTACAGATTTTCATCTGCAGAGCTTAATTTCATCTTTCTTTTAAAATTAAAACCAGTTTACAATTTTTCTAACATTACAGTCCCATGTCTACGCTCTCTTGTCTTGTTTTTGTGTTGCACGACTTCTTGTAATCCCGTGAAGCATAGGGGAAAAATGCATGACGCTGGTCATGGCGGCACGGAATCGCGGGCGCAAATACTCCACATGGCTTCAACATATGCAGTAAAAACTTCAAAGTCAAAGTATAAAAGTTAATTGTTTTCGGAAATCTAGTAGACATACTACTGGATGAAACTTATAAAACAGAAATGCTTGATCAAGGTATATCAAGAAAGAACTTTTAATCATTATTTCAAAACAACAAACAAAATTGCAGGTAAATGTCGAAATATCTACATTTATATAAAATTACAATATTGAGATGAAACATTGTCGCGATAAAAAGAGTAACTTACAGAAAAATATAGATTTTGCTACAAAACGAAACTATTGCCAAAGTAATTGCCAAACAACACGGTTTTTGCTGGTTCTTATCATTTGTTGTGAATGTATTGCCTTTTCATGTAAAATGGAAGAAACTGGCCGCTACTTTTGATTATTATGAATGTGACTTCGTGGTCGATAAGAAATATGAAAAGGCTAAGTTGCCGCGAGAAAAAGTGTAACCTACAGAAAATAATTGATCTTGCTACAAAACGAAACTATTGCCAAAGTAATTGCCAAACAACAAGGTTTTTGCTGGTTCTTATCATTTGTTGTGAATGTATTGCCTTTTCATGTAAAATGGAAGAAACTGGCCGCTACTTTTGATTATTATGAATGTGACTTCGTGGTCGATAAGAAATATGAAAAGGCTAAGTTGTCGCGAGAAAAAGGGTTACCTACAGACAAATCTAGATTTTGCTACAAAACGAAACTATTGCCAAAGTAATTGCCAAGCATCAAGGTTTTCCCTGGTTATTATCATCTCTTTTGGTTGCATTGCCTTTTCATGTAAAAAGGAGGAAAGTGATTTATGACGTAGGCGGTGATGAGGCTGCGCACGTACGAGGCGAAATCTTAGTTGTCGATAGTTTAAGTTTCAAGATGGCGCCAGGGTAAAGCCCTCAGCTGTAGTTAAAACCAGTAAACATTACGTCCGATATGTTAAGATGAGTTACTTCGAAACAACTGACCGAGTTCATCTTTGAGAAATTTAGCGAGTTCAAACTTGCTCAAACTTGTAGATTTTAAATACAGACTGCTGGGAGATTCAGATTTCAGAACCGCAATGGCTGCAGCACCCAAAACAGAACGGAAGGAAATTGAAAAATACATCAAGTTTTTCACTTACAAAGCATTGCAGACTATCGTCCATTCCAGAAGTGGAGAGAAAACAAGGACTTTCTCAAATGCTAATGCAGTCGGAGTTGACTGGTTTAATATTGCTTTGCCAGGAAGTAACATAGGCAATGAAGTGCAGAAGGAAGTTAAGACTGAATTCAACAACAAAATCGCAGTAATTCAAGAGCCGTTATTGCTTTGTGTCTATCTAAAAACTTCAGAAGGTTTTGATAGTCTTCTAGAAAGATGGACATTGAGTTTTAATCAAAAACAGGACCCAAGTGTCAAGAGCCCGATTGCAGTTTATAATAAACTTGCCTTGCTTTTAAAATCACTTGTCAGTGTAACTAGATCTTTGCCATCTTACAAGCTTACACGAAGAAAAGAGAAGGATTTTTCCTTTTATTACAAAATTCTTTCCAAAGGAAGTGGTGACAAAGGTGCAGCGCTTCCAACAGCCACCAAGGTGGGAAGTGTTGGTACACCATTTGGTTCCCTAACTCTTAAAGTTCAGTTTCAGACAAAAATTGATCTTTATTCTCAAAGTAGGCAAGCCAACGCAGTTGACTTTGCAAGGCAGAAAGTTTTGATTAAAATGACAAAAGATGACACTTTTGATTCTCTGGGACCTCTTGGACCAGCTGAAGTTGAAGAGCTGAGAAAAGCTGCCCTTGATGATATAATTGGTAGTACTGCATCACTTCCCACATCATTTACTAATATGTCACCAAAACATTTTGACATCTCTCTAATGCAGCAGGGTATATCAGACTTGCATTTTGATGATGCAACTGAGCTTCAAGCTGTAGGTGCTGTGAATAATGAACATGGTGCATTTGCTGCATTTGGGCATGTCTCAATGGAGAAATCAACACCAGATCTGCCAGACCTGCCATCAACTCCACCTTTCCTTTCTTTCATACAAAGCAAAATAGACGAAAGCACGATATCTCAGTCATCAAAAAACAAAGAAGATAAAGCTGCTGTGCCAGGCAATCTTGGTGATGATAAAGCTAGCACGAATAAAGAGGCTGATGGGAGCTTTGTATCCCTTGATGCTTCTGATCAAAGTGTTGAGCCGACTGCTCAGGCTGTTGGGTTTGAGGATGATTTTGTTCTTGTGGAAGTCAGGCCTGCCTTTGCACCACAAAGTGGCGATGCTGGTCAGCTATATAGAGAATGTCAAAACCCACCATATTTAGACATGTTCAATGAAAAAGCTGATTATGATAGTGATAATGAAGGGAGCATCACTGAACACATAGAGAAATTTGAAAATCAGCTTGCTCAGTACGATGAATTCTTTCGAAACTTAGAACATTTAAAAGTAAATTGAAAAGTTAAGCATTAACAAGCAGTCCTGGCCATAAGTATTTTAACAGAAAAGCGGTAAACAGCTCTTTTAGTATTTTCCAGTTAAGCTATTTGTGAATAAATAAGAACAGAAACAAAAGAACAATTTACTTCAAGGAAAGCAATTTCCTTTTTTGGGTAATTTAGGAGAGCAATCAGTAGCTCCCTTCCAGCATTTGAGGAGAGGCTGGAGGGGGACAAGAGTTATGGCTCACTGCATATGGCCAGGTCTGAACAAGAAACATTAGAGTGTTAGTTGCTTGTCCTCTAAATTTAAAACCTTGTTGAATAAAACCTATTTATTCATCTTGGACATTTTTAATGAAATGTACATATGTCAACGAGATTTCCCTAGTAATCTGTGAACTTCTATTCACTTTTTGTCACTGTGGCAGCTCTTTGACAATCATTTTCAATAAATAGTTAATTTAATCCACAGAATTTTTTACTCTCAAAGATTTCATGCTTTATCAAATATCTTCTCTAAATCTCAAAAAACTTGATTTTTTCAAAGTAATTTAGATAAATGTTACTACTCATTTTATCATCCTGGTTAGATGGATGTGTGTATCAACTATTTTGAATTCTGGCGTTTAACTGAATTCAACCTATTGTTGACTGTATATATTGTTGTCATTTAGGAATAAATGTTTCATCAAAAACACATTTCCAGTCATATTTTCTGACCTAAGCCAACAACACCAGACAATATTAAACCCCTTTTTTAAAAACACAGGAAACATAAGTGAGCTGAATTGACCCCAACACAACAGAAAAATGCTTTGGGGTTTTGATTTTGAACCCACCGCAAATATCTAGAAATACTCTAGGCACTTAGTATTTTGACTACAAAGCTAAGTCTTTATTTTAACTGCAAAGCCTTACTTGCCATAAGTTTTTTATAATACCTGACAGTCTCTTTAGAATTCCCTATGAAATGGGTAGGCATTTCAGCCAATGTTACAAAAGAAATCTTTCAAGGCCATTTCTTTATAATTGATATTCTCTGTGGAAAAATCAAGTACAATTTCACTATAACATTTCGCAATTTTTTTGTAGAAATCAAATTCCAAGCCCTTCTCATAACTTAGTTCTTGAATTTTCAAAACTCCCATGTTTATGTCTCAAGGCCTAAAGAATTTTATAGCTGATATTTTTATTAATTCTGGTATGCATAAGCGGCTTCGAAACATAGAAAATATCTTGCAAAAATTTCATGGAAATAGCTGCCGTACTTATTTAATGGCAAAAGATTTTGCAAAAAGTCTATCAGAATTTATTGCTTAAAATGTATTCAAAATTTCGAAGTTGTCCCAATACATTTTGAACGTCAAGAACTTGTTGTTGTTCAAGTAATACAATTATTTCTCTACCAGTAGTAGTAGAAGAGAAGAAGTAGCAGATCTATTTTGCATTTATTTATCAAATACAAAGTAAGCATTTATTTATCGATATACAATTTAAAATGAACATGGAAACCAATCAAAACCGATGAAATGTATGATGGATTTGAATGAAGGAAGTCAATTTTAATCAGAAAAATTATTTCCCTCATTATTTCGAGTAAGGTTATTGTTAGAAATTTCCTTCCCGGATAATCTTTGTCACCAATGCACTGGCTTTGGAAGCATTGCTGATAATCAGTCTCCATGTTGCAACTTTCTTAAAATTCAAACTGAATGTATTTTTCATTGTTTTGCTCTTTTCTTGATAAAGGATTGGTCAATATATTTTGCATAAATTATCCATAAATGATTAGCTTGTAATTGCCCGCAACTCGCGCGCGATAGCGCGCGAGTGAAGGGCTTATAGTCGACCCCGCGTATAAGTAGCATATGGAAGCTTCAGTTCATGTTGTCAGCACTTTGTCAGCAGATTTTGTCACTTTTCTGCTGCCATGACAACTGTCAATCAATTTCATTGTCAATCAATCGGCTTTGTCGAGGAGGTCGTTAACCGCCACCTCTTTGTGCGGAAGGCAATTATCCTCGGAGCGTTGCTCTGCGAAGACTCTGCTAAAAGCCTTCTTTTTTTGGCACGAAAACGGTGCTGCATCACAGCTCGGTTCTCCGCAATGGGTGGAAGTTTTGATTCGAAGTTTTGGGAATCAAAACCAGTCGAATGCTACACCTTTCTCCCAAAAACTCGAGACCGTACGAGCAAAAGTTATGATTGTCGTGATTATCGCCTGTACATCGCCGTACGATCAATCGCTGTACGAATCCTTTATCGCAATCGATTTTAGCTGTACCCGTTCTATCACGTGTCCATTTTCATACGTCTTTGTTTACTTCACGAAAACAAAAAATAAATGTCAAATCCTCGAAAAACTTCATGATTTTCAAAAGGGTGTTGGACTTAAATCAAAAGCAAACTGAACATCAAAAATTCTTGATAAAAAGAATAGTTTAGCATCAACTACAGTAGCTGTTTTTATAATATTGTGAAAACCCAAGATGGTGTCTTCTTCGAATGTCCTGACCTAAATTTTCAAAACAATAATTATCAAGGAACTGATTGTTTGCGGGCAGTACTAGCAAGAGCTATTTCTAGTTTATAAGTTTATTGCGGCTGACACGGTTGACGTAGGAATCGATGATTACCCATAAATTAAATTGAACCTCGCTTTGCCCTTGACGCGTGTACTTCACAGCCTCTCTCTCCTTGTTCAACGTAGGCCATCATGGCGGCCAACCAAAACAATCGGGAAAGAGGTAATCAGCCAAATTATGGACAGGCAGGACAGTCGCCATTCTTTAACCAGTCTCTCGGTGGTGGCCTTACTGTGGATAGCTTAGCTGGCCCTAGATTATTCACTCCGATTCCATTATCAGCCCCCGCGAATCCGTCCACTCCAATTCAAGGAAGTAATGCAGCAGGTAAATTGAAATTGTTAGAAGGAAGAACCGCAGGATACGCTGTCCGCCGGATTCTTTGAATCTATTTAATTTATTTTGAAAATTTCTCTCATTGGATTCTCCTCGCCGTTTTGCTTTTTCTCTCCTCGCCGTTTTGCTCTCCTCGCCGTTTGTGTCCTGAATTTCATCTTGGCAAATTTAAAGTTTACTTTAGTTGGCAGTTCAGTTAAAAAAGTAATTGCTTAGGCTAAACGGAGGATTTATGTGGATATACACAAAATATTTGCAAAGCCAAATTGCAAAGGGCTTCTTAGGTGGGGGTACCTAGGTAGGGTTTCAAAGTGAGTAAATAAAAACAGACAGTATCAAAATCTGTGATGTTTTGATACTTCTTTAAAATTTTATTCATATTTTCTTATTCTTTTAAATTATATTTAATTATATTATATTAAGTATTTTACAAAATCAGAGACCCATTAAGTTTCGTTATGAGGGTATTTTATAATGTAATGTCAATGATCCAGCTTCAAAATGCTGAACTTGAAAAGTTTTTACATAATTTCAACAATCAAATGCCTGTTTCAAATTATTTTAAAATCTCAATGTAGCTTTCTTCAAAATAATTTTATCATAACAATACAAGGCCCAGACTGAAAAGTTTCTGTTAACAAGAAAAACAAAGAATACAAAGTCTCTAGTTTGTAGGAACTGCCTTTTCCTAGAATTTTCTTTTTCAGAGGGGGCTAACAGTTTTATATTATGTACTTAACAAACATATTTAGAAATTCCAAGATGATATCTTTATGTCCCCATCATAAATAACTCGCTTTTTGTCACTGGTTTCAAATTATCTCTACCAAATGAATCCTAAAACTGTTAATATTCCAGCCAATATTGAGCCACCATCGCAAGCTCTTGGGTATACAACCTCATCTTCAACTCTGTTTGCATCACCATCCGTACCACCATCATCAGGATTTTTACAGGCTTCATTCTCACAACAAGAACTGTTCACTGCACAAAATAATCAGAACCAAGATCCATTTGCACAAAATTTTGTACCCCAAGAAACCCAACAACCCCCTGTCCAGACCTTCAATGAATATCAGGACCCGTCATACATGACACCACAGTTATCAGATGCCCCACCACCAAGCCAAGTTTATGATCAGTTTGGAGCAAGTCCAGGTATGCAGTACATGGAGACTCCTTTCCAAGATTACCCACAGAGGCAGACAGATCAAGGATCATTTCAAGATTTGGCAGGAAATATGCATAAGCCAACACAAGTAGTTTCACCACAGCCTAGCCAAGACCTGTATGGTAGGCCACCACAGCCTCAATTCTATTCTCCATCTGGGCATCCTGTCCAAGCACCAACATACTTTTACCAACCTATCCAGCCACACTGGTTTTATCACAAAGGTGGCAAAATCTGGCTTCCCTTTTCTTATGTTGATTCTAGAAACTTAGAGGCAGCTTTCCAAAGTAAAGAAAGGACTGTCATTGCCACAGATGGTGGTCGCTTTGATGTTGATATTGATTCAATGAAAAGAGAGGCTATCTATTGGGTGGAGGCGAGAACTGAAGTGCGTCGCTGTTCTTGGTTTTACAGAGGAGAGGGTGACACAAAGCTGGTTCCATACTCTGAAAATATGGCTGAGCTGCTAGAGGTATTGCTTATTGGTATCATCAATAACTATTTAACGTGGAAACGGTTCTCTAGAAACAAGACTTTAAAAGCAGATAGTATCACATTTACCGTTATGACTTTTCTTAAAATCTTTTCAAAACTTTTGACTCCTTTTTGGTTTGAGCTTATGTATATCATTTTTATATATTATTTGGAGCTTTTTAAACTTGCTAAAGTTGGTTTTAATTCAGAAAAAAGAAAAATACTTAATGGTAGCAAATCTGAATATAGTTGCAAATATAAATCTAATTGTTTTGGTTTTAGAAAGAGTACAAGCTTGTTGCAACTACTGGTGCATGGAACAAAAAGCTGGATTTAAAAAATGGAGAATCTGTGATTTTCCATAATCAGAATGTGATTGTACACTATTTACCAACCACAGATATGTATGACTGGACTGGAGAGGATTCTAAATCAAGGCCAAGGGTTGTACGAAGAGGAATAACAGACATTGTGGATGAAATTGTTGAGGGTATACATATTATATTATTTTAAGTATAGGTGCCTGGGGTTTTGGCAGGCTGCTGCCGTGCCAAATTGTTTGAAAAATTTGCAACACAAGGTTTGCGCTTCACAATTTTGCTGGAATGAGAAGAAATTCGTGGAATGAATTTCTGTTTTCCCATCCTTTTTATGCTGGAGGATGTTGACCTATGAATTTTTACAATTTTTCTTGAAATATTTATAGGTATAACCTATATCATTCTCAGGACTAGGCCAAGGACCTGGTCTCAGTCATTTTCAATGTGAATGATAACTTTTTAACTAGGAGCATTTTACTGCATCTAGCTGAGCGCGAAAGCACATAAAAGTATATTTACTCATTTCATTTTGACATGGTGAGCAAAAAAATGCACCAGAGACGCTAATAGTACAAGTTTTGATTGAGGTTTAGTGTATCCTTGCTGCTGCATTGCACCCATATGGGAATTATGTCGTATTTTTTAATCCTAGGTGAACCCGAACAAATCGATCACTTGGTTTTTGTAGTGCATGGAATTGGCCCTGCAGCAGATTTGAGGATGCGACCATTAGTTGAATGTGGTAAGCTTTGATTGGTTTTGTTATAATACATAAGACTCTATGTTTCATAATCTGCCCCTTTTTACCTTAGTCAGTGCTGGAATAGATGTGGGTGATATTGGTGCAATCGAAATCATTCACATCACAAATTTACGTCTTGCCTTTGTTGCTACCTCTATTTGTAAAATTTTCAATCTAATTTCGAATAAAAAAATTCAGATCCCAGTTCAACTTAATAGTTATAATCTCATACCAAAAGTCGAATTTTAACTACTTGAATAATATTCAAAAGCCTTGCACTCCCGTTGCTGTTTGAAAATATTTTCCCTGGCAAAAGAAACACAAATTATGTCCTTAGTTATTGTGTCTAGCAACTCGCACATATGCATAAGTTGAATTTCCTCTAATTCTATGGCATTTTGCTGATTTCTCCTGATTCAAATAAGGCAAAATTATCTGTTGCTTTGAAGTATTTCCCTATTTTCCTTGCCTCTAAATTTCATTTTCTTCATAGATGGCTTTTTGAGCCTAAAGATTGCTAATGTCATCTTAATTTTATTCCATACATGCTTTCTTTTGTTATATATTTACATTCCTGTCACTGTCACAAAGACCTGCGCTGAAAATTAATGCTTTGCCTTCCTTTAGTTGATGATATGAGGCAGCAAGGTTTGCATTTGTTGGGGACGCACCAGTTTGTTAAAGAGGGAATACCAGTGGGTCGTGTTGAATTTCTTCCTATCGAGTGGTATTCGAATCTTCATAGTGATAGGCATGGAGTAGACAAGTAAGTCAAATCTTTGGGGCACAATGCATGCTCACTTGTGTAACAGATTTACCTTAGCTCGCACAGTCTTAGATCAGAGATGTGCAACAATATCCTATCAGACGAAAGAGTTACTGTTGGCCAGTGCTTTATGGGCATAGTTAAGTTCTATTTGGTCATTTTGCATTCAATTTTGTTCCATATGTATAGACTCTGCCATGGTTTCTTCAATGAGCATTTTGGCTTAGTTACTCAAGATTTCACAAACATTTGCAGACTTCCTTAACATCTTCATCGGTGTAATATCAGCACCATGGTGCACCAAGGGTTTTGCGATAAGGCAGAAAGAGAGGCAAAAGAAAGATGTTATCTTGAAATGCTTATAGTGAAGATACAATCTCTCTATTTTATAGGTTCCATGAAAACCTCTACCTTGTCCTATACCTTGGTGAGGATAGTCCTGCACAATCCAAAGGTTTAAAAGCACTTGAGCATGCCGTCCCAAGCATATTCTATGCAAAGTTTTATAGTAGTTGACGTATTGTGGAACAAAATAATTGTCCTTACCGTTAGTAAATTTTTACTGAGTCTCATTTCCAGGCACAAACCATGCCTGCATTAGAGGTCCGGTTTTTCATCTTCAAGCTCACTAAATTTTTTCTTGTGTCTATGTTTTAGCCGATTGAATGCGATTACCTTATCAAGCATAAACAAATTCCGGAATTTCACAAATGAAACGCTCACTGATATCCTCTTCTTCACAAGTCCTATGTATTGCCAGGTATTTCCGATTTTTTCAATTTTTATTTGTATGTTTTGGTCTCAATCTTTTAAAAAATGAAATCAGTTAACATTTTGCTCACTTCATTTCGTCGAACCGCAATGTTAGCATGAAAACATTTTTTAATGGTTATTTACATTTATTGTACAATATTAATTAAGAAATGTTAAAGAAAGAAGTGTAATTTTTATTATTATCGATATCCTAGGTATAGATCTTGATAATTGGTTATGTATAGTATTATGTCATTTATGTATTCGTGGTAAGGTCGTAATTTCTCATTACATGTCATAAATTTATCATGTACTTCCTCTATTCACATAGCATCGTTTTCTAAATGTAAGTATCAATGGGCAAGAACCTATATAATGAATACTTTGCATATGAAGAAAATGAAGTCAAAATGTTTATTGACAACGGGAATTCACAAAACAGTTTGATTCAACGAAAGTGATAGCGACTTGAATTCGAGTTAAAGTGGTCATAATTTATGTTCGTTTTAACATCTTATACCCTAATCATTTTCAAAGGACTGCGTCATGGGACCTTTATATTTTTATTGTTTGTCAATCGTTTTCTTTTTGCCTCCTAAATCAGGCAATTTGTGATACAGTGGTGCAAGAAATGAATCGTTTACTGCTTTTGTTCACAAGCCGAAACCAGTCATTCCAGGGTCAATTATCCGTATGTGGTCATAGTTTAGGTGAGTGTGTTAGCATTAACCTTACTGTTTATACGTGTCGTTGTCTGTAAATTTGAAGTGCCTCTTCGACGCTTTAAAATAGTATTTTAATGGGCCATGAAAGTTTTTAAGCAATTTTTCTACTTAATTCTATCTAATTGTGATTGTATTTAATTTGTACGTTTTTCATTAGTATGAATCTTTTTTCTCGCCAATTATATTATATGATAGTATACTCTATTATGTAATATTTTGAATAGAGTGATCGCTCTTACACCTTGAAACTACAGCCGTGAAATCAACTGAAAACTGAAGAAATAAGGTGATTTTAGCCAGTGATTCACTATGGTATTTGAAAAATAGGGTAGCTTTCAATTGGCTTGACTACTGGCAATAATGGCAATAACTGCTGTATTCCTGGGTCAAATGTTTTTTACTTTGTGTCTTGTAGGTTCGTGTATCCTCTTCGATATTTTGGCCAACCAGGTAGGTTTCTTTTGAATTTTCTTGGGCTTACTTTTATTCATATTAGGATTTACGAAGACTTTTTTGTTTAAAGTAATGTTGTACTCTGAGGATTGTCAGGCAAAAAGTACTTCAATGTACTATGTTTTCTTTTTCTTTGTTATTTAATTATTTTGTGGTATCAAGCCTTCTTTGGCTAGTCTGCAATATCTGTTTCCATCATCTACAAAGTGTATGGCTGACTCGGCTATGGTGATGTTGTTGCATTAATTTTTTTTGTGAGTCGTCGTTTGATCCTGTAAGATTAATCACAATACTGTCCAAAACCAAGGCAGATATCTTCAATGTAAAGCAAAAAGTTTTCAAAGGATGCGACGTTTTGAAAGTGGGAAACAGCTATTTCAGATTTTGACTGCTGCTCTTTTTTTTCTTTATTTATTCCATTCTGGTACAAAATCTAGCCACACTAAATCTCATTAAAAAGAACTTCTTTAAATATCAATTGCACAATATAGATAATACAATGTTGCATATGTATTGCTGGCAACAGTGACAAGTACAATTGAACGATGGAAATTTTGAAAAAGAATTTCTTTGTATTTTTAAAATTGGGGAATAAAACTGAGTTTCATGTTTAGCTACATCTATATGGCACAGTGTTAAGTCCATATATTTTGTAATGTGGCTTGTTTTATTTTAAATTGGGAGTTTCAAAACATTCAAATCCTATGTAGATAAAAGGAAAAGTGTTGCTCTGTTTTTAAGGTGTTGCACTGTACTTGATGGCTGACATTTGCCCAATACAAACTTTATATTGAATGTCAATGTCTTACGCAGCCAATCCCTTATTTGACGAAACACCAATGATTATTTTCTGCACTGATATGTCGCCTCGTTGTACGAATCATAAAAATCTTAGCCAAATATAAAGTGGTAGAACAATTTTGTGTTGATTAGATTAATTCGCATTTGTTTATCAAAAAGTGCTCAATTGAACGAAACCCGCTCCCGATTGGCTGCTTTTTGACCAATCAAGGTCCTGTTACCAAAAAGTAGACTGTGGGGTTTTAGCAAGAAGACGGTGCCTGTATGGCTAAATCAAATATTTACTAATCAGTTGTTATATGACACTAATTTTGATGATGCAGGCACTGCAGAGCAGGGGCTTGGGGCGGGGGGGGGGGTTTACTTTAGCCAAATGCAAAATATTAAAAATCCTCTTTTTATTTGTTTTTAGCCTCCACATTCTTTTTAGACACCCCTCCCCTACTTTTCTCAATGCTCCGCGGTGCCTGTGATGATAATACTTTTCAAATAGTTTTTAGCGCATTATACTGCCTGTTACATGCGCTAGCCAATTGTAATTAGCAATCAATCACTGGATTACATTATCATTCCAGGTTAATATTGAAACGGCTGACGACACCAGAGAGGTTGTAGAGGAGATTCTTCATGAAAACACTAGTGATGAAAACACCGAGAGGTATGAAATAGCTGACAAAATCTGTCAATTTTTTGAAAATGTTCTCCTCTACCGCTATTAATAAAACGTTTTTACACAGAAAAATTGCACATGAAAGGGAAGAAGTATTACGATAGTGTTCATCAATCTTGAACACTGTTTTTGTCTTTAACTCTTTTTATTTTATCTCTGAATTTTCTTTCAAATATCGTTTAGGCAAAGGCTCTACAGATTGTCTTCGTCTTCGAGACCATCTGTAGACGCAAGCCTTATAAGATTCCTAAAGTAGCCTTCTGAAGAAATGGGAAAAAACAAAGAATTGACCATTTAACTTGATTGACTGTTATTTTACCCCTTCCCGTAGTGTCTCTTCTTATTTCCTAATTTTTCAAGATAAATTATTAATGGAGTTCTAATTGGTTTTCTAATAATGTTTTGTCTATCGGTGGAAAAATTTTTTGGCAATCAAAGATGGCAATTATTGGCTTATCTGCAAGCTGTACTGTCATCTTTGTAACATTGTTGGAAATGAAGCAAAAAGTTAGGTTCTTTTTTATCATAGGAGACAAAAAGCAATTATTTCATCTATAAGCTGGAAGAAGCAATTATTTCATCTGTAAAGATTTGTAATTGTTTACGATTAATTTTGCAGCTCACCTGTAGACGAAGACTTTGTGGAAACACCAGTTGCTCCTCCGCCAGTTCTTACTCATTCACTTTCACAGACATATGCATCCACTGTGCAGGAGGACTCAATACCTGATATCGAAGATGTTTTGAAAAAGCTCAGTCTGTCGGACTATTTATCGAAATTTCACGAAGAGAAAATTGATACAGAGACACTGGTACAAAGCTAAATGTTTTTAGACGTACTTTCAACAAAATCTCTTTTGATCTCTTGGAAGGAGACCACTGTCGTCTTCTGAATTAATCAGCCATTTTAGAAATTTTGCCAGTCGAGAAAGTAGTATAGTGGATTTCAATTCCAGTAAATACTAGCTACACTTTTAGACAGTACATTCCTAAAATGAGGTTATTGTTTTGTCGTTTTTTGTGAGCAACATGAGCTGGAAGTTCAACTATACTTCTTAAGGTGGAGTACAGAACCCAGAAACTCCCCCGAATCTCTCCTCGATAACAGGGAAGGCATGTTATTGCGTCGTGTTATGTCGAACAGACTCGGTCCTCATTTTCGCTTCAGTTTCTTTTTCCTTTCCTCGTTTTGTTGACTAAATCACAATACTCCAAGCTAATTGACAGCTTAATGGAAACGTTTTCTATCCTTTATGAAATTTATTGCTGCTGAAGGTGTATTCAATCCCCTTTGAAATCAGTATAATATGAAAATGTAATCTACGAAATATGTGTATCGAGATTCATTATTCATAATTATCTAAGGAGGCATACTGCTATGAAGGTGCTGCAGTTGAAATAAGACAAATTCAGAAATGACAGAGAGATAAGATATTTACCCCACTTCTCTATAGTAAGATCTCATCCTGAATGGTCAACAATTTTTACACATTCATTCAATATAGCTTATTCTGTGCCAATTTTCTGTATACAGTTCATTTCTTTCAGTAAAAAAATGCAGAAATATACCTCTTTGAGAAATGAAATACTTGAGGATTTACATAAAGTGTTAGCTATGTCATATGTTAATTATATTTGTTTTGTAGTTGATGTGCTCTGAGGCGGATATGAGGGATCTGGGGATACCAATGGGGCCAAGAAAAAAGTTAATGGGATTTGTTAGAGAGCAAGCACAGCATCAGGTATGGAAATTTCCAAGGAATTTTAGTCTCTACGTCTAGTTGAAAATCGTTTTTAATTTGGGTGAATGATCCAGTAACATTAAAGAAAGTTATAATAGTGATTGATGAAAAAATAGTGTCATTGAAAGAGTATTAATGTTATCAAAGAAAAAGTTTCCAAGGTATTTTAGCCCCCACATCTGACTAAAAATCGTTTTTAATTTGGGTGAGTGATCCAGTAACATCAAAGAACGTTATTATAGAGATTGAGAGAAAAATAGTGTGATTAAAAGAGTATTAACGGTATCAGAGAGAAAGTAGTTCTAGAATTTTTTGGCTTCTTGATATTCCAATTATTCAGTTGCTATTATATTTTTTTATTCATTTTAGTACATTATGGTTTAAAAATATTGAAATTGAATCATTAAGATTTCTGTTTCTTGATTTTTGATTCATTTTACTTGATTTGTATTGACGTAGACTCCAGGTTCTTTGTTGTAATTTTTTTGCTTTTTAGGACTTTATGTCGTGCCAATGTCGTTTGATTTTGCTAACTGTATTCTAAGAAGCTGGGGGATGTCAATTCCATCCCCCTTTCCAGCATAACGACTTTTGTGTCAAACAAGATGATTTTGATATTACATTTTTATATCTATAAGCAGTTCTTTCTTTGATATGCTATTTTTCCAGGAAAAGAAGAAAGCCGCTGACACAAGAAGCGAGCCTACTCCCAAGACTGTGGCAGCAGCTTCGAATTCTGCTGCAACACAAGCTTCCGCAGCGCAAAAGTCGGTTATTACGAAAGGCACCCAAACGTATTTATTCCGGTCATTCTCTTCGGCTAGCGTTGAAGTTGCTTACGAGCGTGGCGTGGCGGGAACCGGACAACCAACGGTCCACTACTCTAAACTGAGCTTTGAGCCGGTAAACATGTTTGCACTTGGCTCTCCCATTGGACTTTTTGTGACAGTCAGGGGCGTCACATCTTTTGGAATAAACTTCAAGCTTCCAACTTGTAACTCGTTTTATAACATATTTCACCCGGTAAGTTATTTGCATTTAAAATCGCAATTTAAAGGTAGAAATCTCATGGATGTTTATAACCTCTTCAATCTTGTACGGCCATGAACAATTATCTCTCTTTTCAAATGCAAAAATTTTTAAAGCAACTCTATATTATATTTACATTTAGCAAAAATTTATATAAAACTTAAAATCGTTCTTGTATTAATCAAATAGCATTTTGTAGTTTTGTTTTTAAGATTCATGTTAAATGCAATAGGGTAGTCACGATATTTAGCTCCCTCCTGGTATCATCTTCGTAGTGTTGCAAAGTAGTTTGTCAGTTAGTAATTCGTTAGTGTAAGCTTCTATTTGGGATGGAAAAATAACAAGAGAATCTTTCCTACAACTTGTAACTGAGCGTTTAGACAACTAAAGGTTCGCTAACTCCCGTGACAAAAAAACTACAAAGCCATTTTTCAATTCAAAACATTGTCTGTGCTTTATGCAAATTATATCTTAGCATTCACCCACATTGACTCAAAACTCATTTTTTTCTATATAAACATAAATTTATTATAAGAGTTGAAAAATTTTCTTGCCCTCGCATAAATTGTAATACTACATTCAATGAAACACTGCCAAATATTTATTTCGTTGTCCTTGATGTCTTTTCATTTTATTCTCTTCTTTTACATGTTCATTCGAATACAGTACGACCCGGTGGTAAGTACATAAATATAATTATTAGTAGACGGTTAAAATTCGCATTTTGCTCAAGTAAGAAATTCTCGACAATGATTTGACTATTTTTTTGTTCAGAGTTTGTCTTCTCACCAATCATGTATAATTTCTTTCTCTCTTTCTCTCACCACTAGAGTCTTTAAACTCTTGGTGCCTGTTTTTGTCTAAAATCGCAACGATTTTTGGTGTAAAAGTTTCGACTCATTATTGTTTATTGTTTTTCTATAACTTCTTGATTTGACGCTTTTGATTCCATTCTTCATCTTTTCGAATGCCAAATCTAAGGAAACTATTGATAACCAGGGTGAATTGTGTGCAAGCTTCTTTCAATTTTCGTTTAAACTACTTGATGTCTTTCTGAGCGTTCCTTCTGTCATTTTATTCCAGGCCTATAGAATCGAACCGCTTGTCAACCCAACAATCGAAGCTCCTCCAGTGCTTATGCCCCACCACAAAGGAAGAAAGAGGTTCCATTTGGGTAAATATACTGAAATTTTGATAAAAATTTCTTCTTTGCCGGTGTATCTTTTAGTGCTCGATGCCGTATAGACAGAACTGTGCACGCTTTCGTGTATAGAATAGAAACATTTGCCTGATGATTGCACTAAGTGTGAAATCAGTTGTTGCATATTTAAACAGTACTGTAATATACACCAAAAAGTACTGAAATTTTGAATAGACGTTTTTGCTTAGTCATTGTAACCATTTTTCCATTTACGTTTCTGATTAAATGACCCGTCCTTTAAATCTTGCGTTTATTGTTTTCCAAGTGAAAGATTCAATCAATAAGTTTATTGAATTAACAGGTTCTTTATTTTTGAAATCAAGACACAGTGAAAATTGCTTTCGAGTTTTTATTGTTAAGACTCTAAACGTTGCTCGTATTATCCTTCGCCGTAACCTCAGTTTTCGGACTGCATGATTTGAATGAAAGAACTGCTTTAAGTTCTCAGGACATGACCGGATGTGTCTATTCTGAATAGGCCGTCTAAAATTGCCTCGGCTTTCTTATTCTTCCTTGGCTTGCAAATTTTGAAGACTCTATAGACTTCTAAAAATGTAAATTAAACTCCCTGCTTTGTAACCCTGAAAACGTCCCCAAAGGCAAGAAAGTCGATTCTTACATTGCAGTTGAACTTGTTTATACGTATAAAACGTTGTTTTTCATGCAGAACTAAGAGAAAACTTAACGAGAGTCGGTGCAAATCTGAAGCAAGGCTTTATTGAAGCAGTTCGAAGCACGTGGGAAACTATAAATCATTTCGCAAGATCTCATCGAACAGAGGCACTGGATTCAGCAGAGGACGAAACAGAGACTGCGGTCGTGAAGCCCCTGCAAAATGTGAACGAAGAAACTCAAGTTGAACACCAAGAACCTGAGCGTATGTATCAAACCTCCATAGTCTTCTTATTTTATTTGTATTGGGAACCGAAAACAAAGCAGAGAAAGGCAAAGTGACTGGAAATTTCTTTTCCATTTGAGATTTTATTCCCTGCTCTGCCTAGTGCGCTGCAACAGCAACAATTTTTAGCATCTAAAAAGCCAGTAAATAGATTTTTATCATACTTTATATTTTTTTTGCCATCTCCTTTTCCCCTTCACAACAATGCATCCATTTTACCCCGGTCATTTTTTCATTCTTTCTCGCAGCCATTCCTTGCGTTCACCAGTATGTTATATTCCTACTTCAGTTAGTTTTATACCTTATGTATTTGATCATGTTTTATTAATTTATGTTCTCTTGCTGATTATTGCCTATGATTCTAAATTTCAGCTCAAATCGAACCAACTGGCCCTGAACTTGGTTGTGGGAAGCTAAATAACGGCAAAAGGATCGATTTTGTACTACAGGAAAGACCATTGGAAAGCTTAAACGAGTATTTATTCGCCCTAAGCAGCCACACGTGCTACTGGTAATAATTTCTTTAAAGTAAAGAACGTTTGTTTATGTCATTCTTCATATAGCTTGCGAATTTCGCTGGGTGTTTGCCATTCTCAGCGTAATATCCATTTTTCCCCTCCCCTCTGAAACCACGAGATTTCATATTTACACATATTCTTTTTTTTTGTTTTAGGACCTCAGAGGACACGGTGCTCCTGATGCTGAGAGCAATCTACGGAGCTGAATGAAGAGAACTGAGGATTTGCGTTAGTTCCCTTAGAGCCGTATAACTCATTGCAGATTTATTTAAACCTAATTGGGCTGGATGCCAAACTTATGCAATGCAGATTCTATTCTCCATACCTAACACTTTTGCCTGTTTCCATGGCAAAGTTTCATAGAACTAGAGGTTTTAAATAAGACATAATATCTTTGTACGTATTTTGTCTTCATTAAGTTTTAAAATGGAGTTGTGGTTGGACATTAAGTTGAACGCTGCTGCAGTTCATTTGATTTTCTTCGTCTGCAGTGTGCTTAAAATTGACTTCAGAATTACAATGGACAATGGCTACAGATTACAAAAAATCACAGCTCAAGAGAAATTTTCTTCATGTCATCGACAAATAAGATACTACATATATTAGCGATGTATGAATCATCAACAAAAATGGTCCAGTTACATTACAAGCTGAAATATAGGAGCTGCAACACAGCTTAAAATGTTTCTTCAGGTTTGGGTGGGGAGGTACTTAGTAAAGAGGCAAATAAGCAGAGAAGATATTTTCAGTTATTAAATTCAATATGTAGAGTTTTTCATCGCAGATATATAAGTTTAGCTCTTCAGATTATGTCTTTTTCGATCTAATCAAATTGTGAATTTTGCATAATGTTCGCCGATGAATTAGCCTTAGAAGTTATGAAAATATCCATCATTCGCAAACACATTGTTACAGAGAATTTTTCTATATTTACAAAAGTATGGTAAAACAATAGTCTTTGATGTCATGAAATGAGGTGCTATTTTGTTTGCATCGACAAATCAAAACTTCGATGAAACCCTTTATAACCGGATACCTCTTAAAAATAGCACCATATTAATATTGTTCCAAAATCTCTTTCCTTTGCCCCAAGCCTTCTGCAGATAACCCCCAAACAAGGGTTCCTCTCTAAGACCGACACCTCACTGCAGCAGGCAATTCTCAGCAACAGACACCTCCTTACAAAGGACATTTCCCTATCGTGCAGTAGCGAAGGAGCCATTAAATTATTTGCTCTTACATGTTGAAATTGCCCCTTTTGGTTTATAAATTTCCCTTTTGCCTGTCCCTTAGTTGCCGCACCCATTTCCCCATTGGCAAACATGACCTTACGCTCTCCCTACCACGGACGCCTCTCTTCAACAGAAAATCCTCTCTTCGTCCTCTGAATCTCCAAAAGTTTCACTGTACCTTGTAGCTTGATGACTCAATGTAGCATAAATAGATATATTTAGAATGTTTAGGTCGTTCATTATCTTGTTCCTATCTGTTATATAAACGATTTGTTATCAAATCTGGGAAAAGCAAATAAGCTATCGTTTTTTCCACGTGAGCTCTTGCCTGATTCAAGAATGAAGTAGCATATCTGCCTCCCCTTCCCGCAGCCTCGAACTACCATGATTGCCGCTACTGCATGTACACCATGTAAACTATCGCGAGTTTCTCTAAAACGAACAGGACTGTCGCAATTAGGGGGTTTTTTCTCGCAACAGCGATTTGCTCGATTTCTTATGCCGAGAGTCGTCACACCGCCACACCCCCATTCCCAATACGACGACCCTGGGAAAAAAGTCATAAATTGTTTTATTGTCGAGTGGTAACATGATGAACTAGCACCCGTAGCAACCTTGGATTTGTCATCTTTTGTGAATGTAAAAAGACTTTTGAATTTCCTCTATATTCCATCGGACTCCTAACTGGATACTAAACTAGAGACAATAGAATTATGATGCATCAACTGATAAGCATTCACTTTTGTGGTTTGACAGCAACAATAAGCGTCGCATGACGTGAAGCGAAACGGTAAGCCGCCGAATGAAGCTTGGGTGTTGGGGCATTTATTAAGTTTTCAGGGGATGTGGAAAGAATATATGATATTTTTGATCGAGAGTGTAACATAATGATTAAAGCAGAGGCACTGCCTCGATATTTTGCTCCAACCCGAGTTGTGGTATTGTTGTGGAAGACGGAGGGTGTACACCGCATGTCACCGCAAGCACATGCTTATTCTGCCACAAGTCGTTCCCTTAGGTTTGTGTCTACCCTCGCTATTCATATGTTAGCTACCAAATGGGCCTTAAGAATACATTGCATGTGAGGGGCTTGGAAAGGGGGTTCTGCATAGTTGTTTTCCTCTGGTGACGTCAGAATGTTTTGTTTTTAATGGCTTTTGGGAATAGCCTCGTTCCCAATTATCGTTTTCGGAAAAATTCTATAGCAGGTTCTACGATGCGGCGGCGAGAAATGCTGTTAAGAATTATTATGCCAAGAAGTTGACAACAGAATTCACATTTTACCCTCAAGTAGTAAATCCTTAATACAAAAGTGTTTCAGAAGGATTTGGTAAAAAGAAGCAATGATTTCGCAGCTAATTTCACGTCTTATGATGTAAGTAGAGGCATGTTGGCCTAGCGCCTTACCTTGCCGTATTTGTTTTCGTTTTTAAAGGTCCTTTATTTGTCATTATTTTGAAAGAGATATAGTTTTTTCTCTCTCTTTCAAAAATAATTCCAATTTATTTATCGATAATCAGTTGACTGCATAAGTTTTGGTAGATTTCGTACTCTCTCCAACGTGAAAAGTGGATAGTGGTATCTGTTTTTTTATCTTGACGGGTTATTTAGTTGTGAAATTAACTTCTCGTTTATATCAAATACTTATCACAACATTTTCAACTTTTAGAATTCTTACTTATTCCCTTAACACACAGAATTTAATACCGTCAACAACTGAATCTTCCTCCACTTATTCCGCTTGTTACCTCATGTTATGAAATATCTGCTTCAGAAATATGTTGTTTTGTTTTGTCATCGTCACAGAAGACGCTTTTAAAACAGGTTTAATATCTAGTGCTTCGCTTTTTCAATTTTATCTGTTTTTATTTCATTTGTAACATATTGCTTTCTTAGACTGAGCTTTGGAACATTATATCCAGCTTACCGTTCGTATAAAGCAGTCAAAACAAAGGACGTGAGAGAATACGTAAGCTTCTTACAGCTTTTGAAACAATATTCGCACCTCTAGGATTAAATCCGTGAAACCTCTTAAAGAATAACAACTTGGTGTTTTAGAAGCATATGATTGGTCTTAGTTTGTTGAATCACGATATTTCTGTTCTCCAATTGTATTTATCGGTTGGCCCCTAATTTTCAAACATGATATATACTTCTTTGTCCTTAAAGAGCCATTAAATGTGTAATTGCATAAACAAAGGACTTTTAGATTAATTTTAGTTTCTGGTATAAATTTTATTCTGAATTTAAGTAGGTCATTAGGCACTTCAATAAACAGATGTCATTGATTGAAAAGATATCTCTTTTGGTGAATCCAAAAAAGCCCTGTTCAGATTTTAGTATTTTATTTTGCAGTGTAGATTAAGTTTCATGATATTAAATTGCAAAAAGACAAACATATGTTTATCAAAACAGATTCGGCAATTTATATCAAGTCAAAGAAACATGATACAAATCATTCATCAAAACTAATTTGCCTCAATAGGCCACTTGAGCTGTTATACCATGTCAGGGCATGACACAGAGTTTAATCAAAATGTCACAGAAATTGTGTACACTTTCCTTGTAGCATAACGGTAGACAAAGAAAGTATTCAATGTTTTGATCTTTCTATCCAGTTTAGCATATCTTATCTCAATTGAATGAAGTTCACAATCATAAAAACTTTTTTCATTAGTGCTATTACAGCTGTTACTGTTTAATGTCAATAATATAGCCAGAAATATTGGCATTAGCAAACTATTTCTGGATGTAAGTACTTGCCCTGTGTAGCCAAAGACTTTTGGAAGTAAAGCAATGTGCCTAGAAAAAACAACAACAAAAATCAATGATCCTTTTCTGAAGATACTTTAAAAAATGCTTGTTAATTATACAATCTTAGGTCTCTATGCTAACTATCTTAATGAAATAAGCACATTTTCTCATGAAAAAAGAAATATGCTTCTGAGAAGTTCAATGTTTTAGGAATTTGATGAATTTCTTGTATCACAGTTATTTTCAGTTCATTTCATAGATAGTGCTATAAACATTTTGCAGTGGCCAACTTAATTTCTTTTATTTAATTGAGCAAAATGCTAAAGTGATGCTCAGAATTGGCATTAAAATTGAAGTTTGCTTTAATAGATAAAGCAGATATCAGTAAGTAAAAATATTGAAATTTCTTTGCATCCCTTGAAATTTACTTTATATAGCTAGGTTGCCCTGACACTGCTTATTTGCATTTGGCTGGCTTGAGGCCAGCAATAAACAAACATCCTTAATGGCGTGTATTTTTTACATTTAGGTAAAATGGATGATGTACTGGATAGTGTTTGCATTCTTCACAGCAGTGGAGAATGCTGCTGATGTTTTCATTTCTTGGTGAGTCAATCCATTAGACATCTATTATTGATGTGTTCGATTTATTCATGGACTCATGGAGTCAATCAACTTGAAAGAAAAAGAATGAATATTAGGAGCTAGCAAACATATTTGAGAGTTGATTCAGTCATGTTATGATTTTGTTAGGTGGAAAGTAGTAAACTTTGCAAATCATTGCTTAATATACATGGCTGAATATAGGAGAAATATTGAAAGAAACAAGTTTCATACCTGTGGAAGCATTGCATTATTACTATCTTTTACTATATATGTTATATTTTGATTTTAAAATTGAAAATCTCTTGAAATTTTGTGTGCATATTTCACATGAAAAAATAGTTTTATTTTTGTTTATAGAGAACACAATAATGTATATTTTGTACTTGTTTTAGGCTGCCTTTGTATTATGAAATAAAGATCATTTTCCTTTTATGGCTTCTGTCTCCTGCAACAAAGGTATTTTGTCAACAACTATACTTGTCCAGTTGTATGGTATATATACATTTTCATTATCAGAATGAAATTGTTTAAGATAGTTATATTCTATTTCCTGATAAAATTGTATAAGTTAGTTATCCTATCAGAATGAAATTAAATTTCCTGTATCCAAAAGTTTGACATATTATGATAGTTTTATAATATGTAATATTTTTTATCCAATCTTTATCTACAAGACACAATTATGAAGATTGTACAGACCAGCACTGTTCCAAATTCTATGTGATATGATGCATTTGAGATCACAAACATTAGTAGATTACGAGACATGTATGATATTGTACAAGACTTGAAACTAATTTTATTTCCATCAACTACTCACAGAATTATTACATTTGATTTTTACTTACTTAAACATAAACTTCATAAAAGTTCTATTAGATTTAACAATAATGACAAATGCAGCTTTTTTGCCAACTAGAAATAACTCTTTTGCTCTATCAAGGCAAGTAACCTCCATAAATTTTTTTATATCACAAAGGTTGGCTGACTAAAATTTATTTTTTCTTCAAAATTGTTGCTGATTTTCAAGTTTTATTGTAAGTAACTAGCTAACAAGCTAGCTGTCAAGTTGAGTTTATTAGCTTTAAAGCCATCCCAACTGTTAGAGGCATTCTGCCTAGCTACAGCTCCACTTCAATGGGAATGCAGCTATTTGATTCAAAAGCTCTGGAATCAAAGTTGTATCTGATTGGTTTAAATCATTTAATTATTGATCAAGCTCAACTGTGGATGAATTTTACTACCATGAAAATAAAGTTGAGCACAATTGATGACAGACTGTCTTTGAGTAAACAAAGTATGACATCTCAGATCATCCAAAATCATATTTTCCTGACCACAATTCCTTGAATGGCAGCTACATAGAATGAAAACAAGGGATACTCTAAGGCCCTTAATAGAAGGGGGTCTTGATAGTTGGGGGGTGGGGTCAGAAATTTTTCAAAAAATATATAAGCTGGGGGTGTCTTAGTAAATGGGGGGGGGGGAGTCAGAAATGTGAAAAATCTGAACAAACATGTGCTGATTGTTTTTGGGTGAGAGTAACTAAATTTCTACATATACTCATTAATAAAACTTTTGTACAAGACAACCTCTTCATTTAAGCGAAACTTTCTAGAAATTTCACAGCTGCAAGAACGAAAAAACAAATTAAATAAGGGATATGAATGACTGCATATAAAAATTAAGCTCGGGGGGTCAGGGAAAATTAATAAGCACCCCCCCTCCTTCTATTAAGGATTTTAGAGTAATTGATTAAACTTTATTTACTGGAAAAGGTGCACACAGTGTTTATGGAAGACTGATATTTTTTTTAAGTCCCAGTGTTGACTGCATTAAATTTATAAATTGACTGCATTAAATCAAATTTAATAAAATACTACGTTTCCAAAAGTTATTTTTATGATAATTTATTAAATCATATATTTTCTCCCTGTAATTTCCTTCTTTTTCTCAGTGTTTAGACTCTTCTGTTGTTTCTGCTAATTTCACCTAAATGCTTTTTTCAATATTTCAACAACATTGTTATTTATCTCCTCCTATCAGAATGATGCCCTACTTGGAATGGAGTATTTTAAAAATGTTGAAACTAATTGTTTGTTTCAAAACTAGAACAATTTTCCTGACATTTATTCAGAGCCAATTAATTCAATTTCATTAAGTAGTTGTCTTGTCAACTTGACTCAGTCTTCAGCTTTTTGTTTTTAAGAGGTCAGTTTTAGCTGATGCGAGTGATGTACTTGATATCAATTGAAAAAATATTCAATATTTACTTTCTGCAATAGATGTTTTTGAAACAGTCAAAATTTTATGGCAGTATCAATTTTCCATTTAGGGCTCAAGCATTCTATACAGAAGATTTGTCCACCCATGGCTTGCAAGGCATGAGCAGGTAAAAGTGCTTCCTATTGGTAATCTAACCTGATTTAAATGCTATTGAACCTCAGTTTTTATCTATGGTGGGACCAGAAAAATAGACTGAAATGTCAGGAGTTTGGAAGCCTTTTTTATCAATAAAAATCACAGTACACTTTTTTATATATAAAAACAATTTTAAGAACAACACAGAGGCTCAATTTGCAGAGAATAAGAACAATGTAAGAACTTTTCTAGCCTCAACAGAATAAGTAGAATTAAAATGCAAAATATTTTTACCAATTTTCTTTCTTTTTAACAAAACAGAGCCTTCTTTATCTGCTATTTGCAATATTCACAGATAGAATAATCAACGTGGAAATAAAAGCAACATTACTTGATTTTCAAGAAAATAACATTTGAATTTGGACAATTAATGGAATTAAAACACGTTATTAGAATTTTGCAGGGTATTCATAAAATGTTTTTATGGTTATTGAAGTGGTTGAAAGTAATTCATCAATTTAGCCAAAGATTTAATGAAATCTGTTTTACCTTATATATATTTTACCTTCTCAATATTCAACCATCCAACTATATTTCAGGAACAAGGGTCTTTTTTAAAGTTTATCCTGATCTTCATATTTATCGTTTTATAAATTCATTTCTTTTTTTAAAGTTCCTAATATTACTCATATCTTTAGTAATCTCCTTAAGCTAATTCTTGCTTTTATTAAGGATATTGACAGGTATATAGACAACGCAAAGCAAAATGGTTATGTGGCGCTGTTGCGTGTTGGCAGGCAAGGTCTCAATGTTGCCACGGACACATTTTTAAAGACCGCTGTAACGGTAAGTTTGGTTCCTCTCATTTTGGTTAAAGTGCTTACCATGAAGTAGCTCAGCCCAGGGTGGTAGGGTTGGGGGGCAAAGGCGATTTGAGCAAGGGAAAATATGGGTCAACACCCTTTGAAACACCAATAATGCCCTTTCTCGCAGATATTTTTTTCCATTGGAGGGGGGGGGGCGTTCTCACCCTTTTGCTTCCTCCGTGCTACGCTACTGTTGACCCTCTTGCAAGGCTACTGTTGCCAATGGTAGCACTCTGTGCCTCATACATTCTGCTAAACATACATTAGGAGTAAATGATTTAAAGAAAATTCTTTCAGCTGAACTCTTCTGCTATCACTTGGTTGGCAAGACTTTTCAGCAATATATTTTGTATTCTAGCCCAGTGTTGTCCATCTAGTGTAAAAGGAATGTCAGGACTTTCTATTACGATGCTAAATGCTGTTTATACAGCAATATTTACTTGACTTTAATCACTGAAGAATGTTTCCTAATTTAATGAAAGATTAATATGAAGATAAAAAATGTCGATACCCTGCCCAGCTGTTTTTCTGTTCAAAAACTATATGATGGTATGCGGAAATACATAGTCAAATCTATTTTGTAAAAAGTTTTCTTGTAGACGACTGCAAACATATATAGCTTTACGAAGTGTTCTGTTCAAAGATTGGTGTTAATTTGCTTTTGCCCTTAATTGGAGTTGTAGAACTTGATGGTTATTAGGCCTAACTGCGAATGTAGTCGCTAGACAAGTAGTCAAAGATTTCCAGGTATGACTGTCTACGTACTAAATTGTGGTCGTAAGTTATTATTGCTGTCGATTGTCGGCATGTCCTCACAATTAGAAAAAACGGACTGAAAGCTCTTAATATGCAGTATAAAAATTTAAAAGGAAAATTTTGCTGAATCCCATTCAAATTATTTTCATTATAGGGACAAACGACGCTGATTAACACATTACGAAAATACAGCAGCATGCAGGAGCTGAATAGAAATTTTGACGAAACAGACGCACCGCAAAATCAGACATCAAGAGTCACGTGGTATGGAAAACCTTCAGGACCTTTAGATGACAACCAATACGATTTTGAAGATGATTATAGGATTTTAGAAGAGCAGTATCAGCATCAGTATTCTGGGGAATATAATACCACGCTTCCAGGAGGAGCGCCTCTGCCCAGGTAATTTCTTTGATTCAATAAGTAAAGTCTCGATATGAAAATGTATTATACACTATCTGAGAAGAAATAGGCTTGTCTGGCTCGAAAAATGTAATATAAACACTAATATAAAACGCTAAAGGTTATGCTGAATCGCTACAATATGCTGAGTCGCTACACTAATACAGACAGACACCAATATAAAACGCTAAAAGTTATTTTGGTAGAAAATTCCAGCTATAACTGTACGTGGATCAAAAGGATTTACAAACCACTACAATATTCTAAAATATATAAAAATACAGACACTAATATAAAACGCTAAAAGTTATGCTGAATCACTACAAACACTAATACAGACAGACACCAATATAAAACGCTAAAAGTTATTTTGGTAGAAAATTCCAGCTATAACTGTACGTGGATCAAAAGGATTTACAAACCACTACAATATTCTAAAATATATAAAAATACAGACACTAATATAAAACGCTAAAAGTTATGCTGAATCACTACAAACACTAATACAGACAGACACCAATATAAAACGCTAAAAGTTATTTTGGTAGAAAATTCCAGCTATAACTGTACGTGGATCAAAAGGATTTACAAACCACTACAATATTCTAAAATATATAAAAATACAGACACTAATATAAAACGCTAAAAGTTATGCTGAATCACTACAAACACTAATACAGACAGACACCAATATAAAACGCTAAAAGTTATTTTGGTAGAAAATTCCAGCTATAACTGTACGTGGATCAAAAGGATTTTTAAACCACTACAATATTTTAAAATAACATGAAAGTGTAACATCAGTATTTCTATCACTTGTATTAATTTGAAAAATATTGTAAGTCAATAGATTTGTATGTTTTTGAAAGTTCTTTACGCAATCGTGCAAGATATTCTCTTAATTCTTAATCACCAATGCTATTATTCATTAAACTGCATAAGTGAAAGTACATTAATGGTTTAAAGCTAGTTCAAGTGATAAATATATTCAAAGAGAATGTTATTTGCAGTTTTTTGCATGAAAAATGTTTACAAAAGTACGTTAATTATTAATTATGGAAACTCCGCGGCCTAGTATTATAACTGTGTCTAGTATGCCTTGATGTGATTGATATCTATGTACCTGTAGGTGTAATAGCGATTAAGATGTTCATGTTTATCATATAGTGCTCGATGCTGGACAAGCAGGGTGGTACATACTTGTGTACAGAACAAGGTGTCTTTGAGTTGTGACTCGGAGTATCACGTTCTATACTAGCATCAGGCTTGTTGATGGATATGGCTTCTCTGTTTTAATCATATGTTGCCATCCAATATCATTTGTGTCATTTGAATGGTAGCTCGATCCGTGTGATGCTGATAAAAAATTTAAATTTGATACAAATTCCGATGTTGTCGCAAACAAGGACTTCTCTAAAAATCAACAAAGTGAAATTTTACGCATAAAATCAAGAGTTAAAGTTATTTTTTAAAGAGACCATGAATTGAAAATTTATGCACAAACTATAGCATTGCAGGACTGTGTTATGGTGTACACAATATCCTTTTTTATTTTAGCAAAAGAAAAATCCGTAAGATCATCACGGATATTCCTCAACAAGAAGTATTTTCCATTTCGTTCAACTACATTAAAGTGTGTATATAGACTACGCAAGGTTATAACTTATTTAATTGCTTTCAAAGGAACCCATCATTCCAAACATCAATACCCGAGGCAGCTGATGAGTGTGATGAAGAGACGCAGGCGCCACATGATCCAGAGGCTGATAGAGCTGAGGAGGAGCAAGAAGAATTTGTAGATAGCCACCCACCGCCTAGTGCTCCCCCGCAACACCAAAATACAGCCAATACGAAAAAGGGTATGAAGCAGGGAAACGTGAGCGCCAAAACTTCAAAAGCTGACGAAGTTTCATCAATGCGAGGCTATAGCACTTTGCCAAGGCCACGGACACAACGGTCAGCACCCTCTAGTCAGCCGGTAAGTGTCTCCGTGAGATTGTCAATAAACTTTCATTTTTAAGGTCCTGTGCTTTGGCATGTAATGAGGGTAGATCCACCTTAATACCTTAGATGCTTCTGAAAGCCAACACTCATACAGAGTAAGGCCTTAAAAATTCCTAAATAAACTGGTTTAAAAAAGAACTGACTTACTATAAACGGTTTTCTTGTGTGATGATTACCCATATACACTCCCCTTACGAAAGTATCCTTAGTAAAGTATCATTTTTGTTGAAATGAGAAACCTTTGCGCTACAAGCCTTACGTAAATCAACTGATGTTAAATAAGCGGAGAACAGCAAAGTCAGGTTACTTGGACTCAGTTAAAATGGGCCAATAAAACGTGGTAATTTTTTGCAAACTGGTTCTTGAGTCACAAATAATGTCAAATAAAGAGAAATACAGTTTGTTCATTCTCAGTTTGGAAAAATATTTGTGTGGAAATGCTGCTAATCTCTTATAAAACATGCAAAACAATTGGTAACATTTTAGCAAATCTTTAACTTTCTTGCAAAGAAGACACATCATTCAGTGCGGGGCCATAGAGTCACACTATTTCCTCACCGCTGCAAGTTTTGCTGAAATCGATCAGTACGAGGGTACATTTCCAATTCTTTATCATTTTCCTTGCAATATCTACCTACAGCTTTGGAAGGTTCAATTGTTTGTGAACATATTTTGCGATAATACAATTTTGCGTAATGACCCAAACCAGTTTTTGTGCAAATCAGTTAGGGAGGAACGTTCGGCCGTTGGTGTCGCGAGAGCTTTTGCTTTTTGACCGTGAGAAATTTTTTTTGCGTCTTGTTTTTCAAATTTGTTTGCATATGTTGAAAACGGCAGTCCTTGCGCATCCAATGATGGAAGCAATTTAATGATAGTTTTTCTCTATCATTGTGATAAAACATTATTTCTAGACACTGTTCAAAATTCAACAACAGAATTCACTGTTCAACAACCAAAAAGGCAATAAGAAAAAATTCGATGAAATTGATTAAAACATTTTCATGAAAACTGCCTTTGAAATTTGTAAACAAATTTATCTAACAACAGATTCCCAACTAAATTCGAAACTGTCCGGATACTTTCGTGAGGGGAGTGTAAAATCTGTGTGATTATCCTCATGTGTGATTAAAGTATGTCGTTTGTGCAGCTGGCTCCTTAAATGAATGTCATTTTAAAATAAACATAATTTTATTTATCATCAGTAGTTTTCGCTGTTAATGCTCATGTATCTCTTTATAAATATTATCTTTATACGTGATTATTAAATTTGTTTGATCTCTAAATCGTTTAAAGGGGGCATAAAATTCTTCACGAGAAAATTATTCCTCTTGTTTGCAACCTTTCTTTAGTTATACATACAACATTCTAGAACGTTATTCTTTGATAATACTATTTATCTAGGACCTGATAATCTTTAATGTACATTGAGTTCTCAACCTGAGCAATTAAAATTTTGTTTTATTGGTAAATTTAAAGCTATTCATGCAAAAATCTAAACGATCAACAACTCTGCCAATTTATGATAAAGTTAAGAAGGTGGTGAAAATCTAGCTGCAATGTTGGTAAGTCGAATTTTTTATTTTTTTCTGCGAATTCAGTTTAAAATACAAAGAATTATTTAATGTTCAATATTATAAACTTAGCATAAATGTTCAAAATATAAAGCTAAATATTTTAAAACTGCCAATGCCAAGATGATAGAGCGATCTCGCTTTATCATTTTAATCACCCTCTGAGCGATTGACCTCCTAATGTACAACCAATATTTACCTGTTTTTCACTTGATCAATTATCATGATACACATTACATCGTAATTCGCATTGATCTCTGCCTCTTAATATTTTTGCTTTCTTGAAAATGATTTGGGTAAAGAGAAAGAATAATTTCTGTCGATTTTTGTCCATTCTTGGTCACTTATTCATTGCTATTTGATTGATTTATTTTTTCTCATGTGTTTACTGTTAATTGAAAGTTACTTGACAAACTAAAATGCTGAACAGACACCCACTTTTGCCATATGTCGATCATTGTCTTTTTTTGTGAAATTAGAATGATCTATCGATGATTTTGAAAAGCTGGATGAAATTTCTTAATTTACATATGGCCAGGAATTAGTTATGTTCAATACATTACTCAAAACTGACTCAAGTTTATTTTGGAGAACATTTTGACATTGTGACTTTAGAAGGGTGATCTTTAAGTTGGTGTAAACGAAATACAATTGTGTTGCGATATTAGCAATCGTACCATTAATTTGATCACTTGTTCCGCCTGAAATGGGACTTTTGGGGAGAGGTACGGTGCTCCGACATTTTACTTGTCTCTACTTGTAATTTATGGTAAATAAAACTAAGTGATTTATAGGAAGGCAATTTACTGATACGAAGTTTTGTAGTAATGTGTTTTTGTATCTTTTACAGCATGGTGGCACCCTACCAAGACAATCTCGGCGTAGCAGGCAAAAGATCCAGAGAAGCCAAGAAACGTAAGATCTTTCAAGTTTTTAGATTCCACTAGGCCCTTCGGTTTTCCGCATGAAAATGTTCTTCCTTTTAGCTCTACAGTAGCAGCAACATGTACAGTAGTTATTCGAGACCCAGCTATTTCACAAGAAGCAGCCATGTTTATGACCTTCGACACAGAAGCTCCATGCCAGAGCTTGAAGCAAGATTGAAAGACGATCCACTTGGCAAGAAGATACTGTCTGCAAGAGGCGAAACGGATGCTTGAACTAACAAACAAACACTCTCAAGGACTGATTATTATTATTATTTGTCGTGAAGATAGTGGATAACATATAACTACGTCAGTTTTATAGTCAAACCACTTTAACTAAACTTCGTAATGAAACGCATGCCTTTGAAAGTAAAGTGTCCATAGCCTATGCAGCAGACTGATAAAGACAGGGAAGCCTTGTAAATGCGTCAAAGCTTTCTTATCACAGGTCGTGTCTGCTACGATCAGTTTCGTTTGTCTCAAGTATAGGCGCATCTATATCATTGATTAGTCTCTTGTTTTTCTAAAACGAGGCTCCAAGTCAGTAGACTAGGCCTTCATTTCCATTTAAATCAGCAAGTCAATGAATTGCTTTTGGAATACATTAGAGTTACTAACAAGTTTCTGGCATGCATTGCTTGCTTAAATACGAAATAGAAAGGGTCCCGTCACTGTCTTTCGTTCGTTGCTTTCGTATGCACCTGTCCTCTATACCGGCTGCCTTTTGAAAGCTTAAAATCCTAGTCCAGTTTGGTTTATCGATAGATTCAATTTATTGCAATATTCTCTTAAGATGTTCTACAGATATTCACACCCTATGTCAGTTTTAATTATTTAGTAATTACTGTAGTTTTGTGTGATATAACATCTTGCCGTTTGGTGAAGTTTGGTTCAGATACCTTCCTTTCTAGACTTTAGGTTGTGCTAAAAACCGGCTTATGGATTTTTGACGAATATTGCATTTTATCAAATGATAAAAAAATTGCTCAGACTTTGCCATGACAAAGTTTCTGTTAACCCCAAGCTAATTTGGGAAACTTTTTATATCTTGATATGGGTTGGTCTGTTTTCACTTGTTAATATATAATGTGTGTTATTTTAGAAGTAAAATTTTTGGATAATGGATTTCTTAGCCTTGTTGTAATCTAATTACTTTTGGTATTTAATCGCAAGTTTTGTTTCACCTTGAACAACTGAATTGTGACACACTTAAAGTTCTAGATGAAATGGCAAATAATTAATGTTCCTTTGTGTTTTGAAATATTCTTTTATTAGCAGCAGAAAATGCTCCTTTAGATTAGAGAGAAGCTAATGCGTAGGCAAACAAACAAAGCAAGTAAAACGAAGGAAAGAAAGACAGAAGAAAGATGGAGAAGATCAGACAGAAGAAAGTAGAAGATGAATGTCAGGTAGAAAGAGAGAGGAAATGTAAACTGAAAAAAATCAATGTTACCAAAATTTCTGGTGAATTTTTTCAAAGAAATTATTACTGTCCTTCACTTGCCTTTGTCTTGTTGTATGAAGGTACTTTTGCTGGAAAGGCAGTTGATAAAAATCTATGATAAAGAACCCTGCGACTAAGTTATTTGTAAACAAGCCACGGTTCTTGTTATGTTTGCGCGGACTTGTTTTATTCATCTACAACAGAGTTGCATTATTGGGTGTTTGTTATTCGAGATCCTCTTCCGTTGTCATCATCGTCTTCCACGTCATGATCATCATTATAAATCATTATGATCATCTTCAATCAATATCAATAATCATTATGATCATCTTCACACATTATTAAAAGTCATAATGATCGAGCATTATTATCATAATCAACAATCATGATCATCTCCAATCATTTTTTTAAAAATCCATCAACATCACCCCTTATCACATCAACATCAATTATCTCCATCAACCATAATCAACAATCATCGTGATCGTCTTCAATCATCTTCGTAAGCATCTATCAACATCACCACTTATTAATATCAATATCAATTATCTCCATCAACCATAATCAACAATCATCGTGATCGTCTTCAATCATCTTCGTAAGCATCTATCAACATCACCACTTATCAACATCAACATCAATTATCTTAATCAACCATAATCAAGAATCATCGTGATCGTCTTCAATCATCTTCGTAAGCATTTATCAACATCGCCACTTATCAACATTAACATCAATTATCTTAATCAACCATAATCAAGAATCATCGTGATCGTCTTCAATCATCTTCGTAAGCATTTATCAACATCGCCACTTATCAACATTAACATCAATTATCTTAATCAACCATAATCAAGAATCATCGTGATCGTCTTCAATCATCTTCGTAAGCATTTATCAACATCGCCACTTATCAACATTAACATCAATTATCTTTATCAACCATAATCAACAATCATCGTGATCGTCTTCAATCATCTTCGTAAGCATCTATCAACATCACCACTTATCAACATCAACATCAATTATCAGCCATAACAATCACCATGATTATAATCATCTCCACCAGACCATTCAACTGTGATATTAAACTGGAAATATGTTGTAATGCATCATTGAGCCTACGACGTTGAGACAGTACCACATATAACATTCTGCCGCGGAAGATGATTTTATTAGCATAAAGTGACGGCTCGTATGCTAATTTTAAATAAAAGCTCTTTCAAGATAACCTACAAGCGAAGACTGTACATCTAAACCTACTAGTGGCCGGATTGTTTCGTCTCAAGAATGGGAGGTCATGCGTGCAAGAAACCCTGACCTGGGATTTCTGGCATCATTACCACCAATTACTCGCTCTCCGCCCGTGTTTTTATCCTGAATTTTGTGATTTTTTCAAGTAAAATGCCATTCCTTGGAACGAGTACTTAAAGATTAAAAGGTAAGAGTTTCTATTTATTGCATTACCTTTCTTCTAACTCGTTTTTTGTGAGTATAAAAATCGGAAAAAATATTATGGTTAATTTGGCGGGTGGTTTTGTATTAATCGTTGCCCTTAAGTTCAATTCCTGTATGCATGAAACTCGTCTTTTATATTACCTTTGATTTGACTTTGATTTATCTTTAACAAATTTAATATAAAGGTATCATTAAAAGCCGTCGAGTAATTTCGTAATAGACAAAGACACGGAAATGTAGCCGATGCAGTGTAGTTCCTTGCTTCAAAACAGTCGTGATCTTAAACAATCATTTATTTTGATAAGTAGGCCACCTATGCTATCTTATAGATAAATGGTCTTATAGATAAGTTACCCAAATTAGTTTAATGCAATGACTACCTCTTTCTATGTAGTGGAATTTTTCCCATTCTATGCTTCGTTATGCACCACAAAAGACTTTACGATAATAAGACAAGAGTTTACAATAATAAATTGCATATACGGCGATAAATTCGACAGCTTCGCCAAACGTCTGTGAAATGAGACTATTTCAATTTAACGTGTTCTCTATGCTTAGTTTCTTTCATCTTTTTCTTGAGAACGGCTACATTTTCAACTGTATTTATCCCCACGGTGCTGTCCTTATGAAATTGTTATATTCTCACCCGATATTCAATTGATCAATGGCTTTTAGCGGAGATGACCTTTTTGCTAACACTGAATACATTTGTTTTTAATACATCTTAGGTGCAATGTAGGTCTTCATTAAAGAAAAAGTAAAAGTCATTTCGATTAGTGAATTTAAGTGCAATGCTACAATATCTGATACAGTTTATGAACTCTAAGTATGATTCATAAATAATTATCAGCAAGATTTGATTTAAATAGGCCATTAGAATATTATGGATATGTTAAGTTGAACAATTCTAAATTCAGACCTTTGTCATGTTTTTTCCTGAAAAAAATACAATTTGGTCTGGAAAATGCATATAAAGAAAAGGGAATTTTTTTAAAATGGTCTTGTCCTGATTTCCTGTTGTTGTTATATTATTCCAAGTAGGGAGCTAATTTTGAGTTATCGTTACGTGTAAGATTAAGAAGCATTTGAATTGTGTAGTACTTTTCGTTAGCAAAGAGAAATTATTTTACTGACATAATATTTATGGACTTCAAAAAAGGAGAGGTAGCATATAAAGACATACTTTTCAACCAACTCCCCCGTTCAAATCCTGGGCGTATGCAATTTGATATCAGAACCATAACGGTTAAACTCAGAGGAGTTGTACCAAATTGTCGTCTTTGAATTCATCTTTGAAAATTTAAACGATAGATAGAATTATAGATGTTGTAAGCAACGAGTGATATTTGTCAATTAAATTATCTGCATTACAAATAGCTACAAAGATACACACGTAATTCTAATAAGTTCTTCCCTAGTTTTTAATTGCTTATTTTCATTTCACTAGGATGCTGAGATTCCTCGCTGCATTTTCGTTGGCTCTAATAACTTTAAGTTTGACAGCTAATAGCAATGACAGTGAGTATTAAGCTTGTCTATAAGATTTTGCATACCTTCTACCATCACACATTTGCTACAGCCATTGTTTATGTTTTGTGAAGATGATACCAGTTTGAATCAAACACAAGAATCAGTTTTGGAATTTATCAGTATTGAGAACCATAGTTTTATTCTCCCTCCAACAACATCGTTTTTTTAAAAATGCTTCAATTCAGGATCGTTGAAGTCTCTATTTAAGTCGTTCAACATCGAATAGTTGATGTTAAGACATTATGCTTCTTTGTCTTCTTTCGACAATCTTCAAGCTCCAATATTACTCAACCGGACTAATAGTTAATGGTCTATGGATGAGATTGTTTACTGTATATACAATGCCTGCCAAAAGTCTTGGAACACTGACATTAATTTCCTAGGTCAAAACCAATCATCCTCCTCTCCCCCACGGAACAATGTTGGTTTACTATCAAACGGACTAGGATTTTGGGAAGCACTTTCTTTTGCGCTTCTTTTATGATACTTCTCTAAATCATCAACAATGTTTTAGGAGGAAGGGGGCGGAAGTAGCAATTTTTTTTCATGAAAGGAATGAGAGATATCAAATTCAGTGTAAGCTGCTGGGTGTTCCAAGTACTTTTGGCAGGCATTGTACATAGAAGAATGAAATTAACAATTCCTTCTTTGTTACCCTGTAGTACCAAAACGATACCGGCAAGCAATCCCTTTGGCCCTTGTGCAGGCTGATATGCTAGCAAGCGCCAAGCATCCTTCAAACAACGAAAAATCTAACTCGACTAACAATGGAACGCTAAACGAGTCGCACAATGCAACCAAAGATGCCGCTGCACAGGCAACACTTCTTCACAAAGCTATCAACATATACAATCCTGCGATTGCCACTTATCAACCCGAGGCGGTGTGGCGAGTAGACCAACAACCTAATTCTGATTATGGCACTGATACGAAGCAAGCGACTGTCTCTGAGAGCGACAACTCTGCACCAGCAAGTGATCAAGACGACTTCGAGGGTATGATCTTTACTATGAAACTTCGTTCAATCGCTTTAGGTTGAGAGCGGCAGACCTTAACATCGAGCGTGAGATATCGTATGATGTTGGAGAGTTTGTAATTGAAATCAAGATTTGATTAGATCAATGCAATACTGGTTATGCTTTGAAGTGAGAAATGAATCACTAAACGATCATATACTTTGACATGTGCAAGGTACCTCTTTTTCCCTTGGGCATACAGAGCAGACAAAGATTGAAGTCGATACCTTCTCAACACCGTTGACAGCACTTTAAAGCAAGTTGTAAGCATAATAAAAAGCAAAGAAAAATCTGGCAGTGAAATCATAAGCTCTTCCACACACCATCCCCCGGTGTAGCTTGTACCCCACATACCCTCTTAACACCGTTGACAGCACTTTAAAACAAGTTGTAAGCATAATAAAAAGCAAAGAAAAATCTGGCAGTTAAATCATGAGCTCTTCCACACACCATCCCCCGGTTTAGCTTGTACCTCTCATTTCGCAACTGGTTGTAAAATGTCCGACAGTTCTTGGTTCCTCTTTCCTTTCGAACCCGGGTGAAATTTTCGACATTCATTTGGTCATCCCCTATTTTGTACTGTTTGTAAAAGGGTCTCTATCTCTTGATAGAAACACTGCTTATCACCAACTAACGAATGCATGAAGCTATGCAAGTACAGCTTTCCCTTTCAATTTTTTGCCATAGAGTTTACGCGGTCTAATCACTCCCAAGAAATACTTGTTGGACCTTTAAAATCCCTTCCAGAGCATCCAAATGGCAATGGACCTCAAGATATGCGGCTAAAAGGACCCGGTGGATACAAGCGGAGCATAGGTTGGTCTGCACAGCAATTTAAATATAGAATTTAAAGATGTTATTTCATAGTACCATTTATAGGCACAATTTAAAGACAAATTTTTTCATTGTCAAACATTTTTTTAAGTATTAAGTACTGTAAGCTGACCGTTTTTAAGGAAAAAATAGTTGAATACTTTTCACCCCCCCCCCCTCTCCCTTCTGTAAACATACTTTTCGCTAACCTGAATGCTCATATATTTGTTCAGAATGAACGAATAAAGAGTCTTGATTTGCTAATATAAAAAATAATGCCTTCCACATTACTTGGTATACACTATGAACAATATATTTGTTCCTTAAATCTTTAATTAACCCAAAATGTGAATCTAAGGTAAATCTGGCGCTATTTTAGGTTAGGTTACAGGATGAGCCATTTATGGGCTTTACAAGATGAGCTTTTACAAACTAACAGCAGCTCTATATTCCGAAATTTCAAGACCTTAAAATGTTAGAAACCTATTCACATTTTAAAGCCTTGGACGAGTAAGATATTTTGCCTTTCTTGTTGGAGGTCAGGCCCCTCCGAGGTAGAGTTTCTGGCCCAACCACTATGTCAAACTGAGGATAATGCGTTTTGAAACCATGATAAATTATTTTAGTTGTAAATTTTAACCTCTTTTTTAATTATTTGCTAGTTAGAATTAGAATGATTCATAATTTGGCAAGATGCATACGAATTATAAACTCTTAATTTGTCTCTCTGCAGCTTCTGAAGCAAACAATGGTCAAGTCCAACAGACAATCAACCGATTCAAACGAGAGTTTGATGATGACGATGAAGATGAGGAACAAACAGTGAAGAAAAAGAGATCAAAGTCGTTCTTTAGAGAGCGTCGATCTAAAAAGGATAAGAAGGGCGTGAAGCGTAATGGTATTTTTGGTATGCCTTACATGCCCAGCCGATATCGCTATAACTATCCTGGTACGAACCGACAGCCATTCGATGAATCAGAAGTGATGGACGAAGAAATGTCAACTATACCTAGCTCTCAACCGGTAGGCATGGCATCAAGGTTTGAAGCTACGAATTACGATCCTGTTGAAGAGGAATCTCGTTCCGGCATCGATTCGTTTACGCGAAGTCCCGCGCCAAATCCACTGCGTTTGCAAGAGCTGTACGAGAGAAGCTCCTCATGGGAGCCAGTCGGTGCACCTTCTCGCTTCACCTCCGCAGATGAATACAGCTTGGGGCTTCCGGATCGAAATTATGAAAGGTCCATTGAGAGCGATGCACAGACAGTCGATGATCGTTTTGTGTCGAATTATTTCAACCAAGATCGCCGAGGCTCCAACTACAATAACCAAAACAAGAGAAGTGACCCTTCGCTCCTCGATTCACTGGGCATTGGCCAGTCTGAGATTGACGAAAAGTACTTGACTGAAGCTAGGAACATCCAGGAATATTTGACACATCCTGAACAGGAAAATGCTGCAGGCAGTTTAGGCCATGATGAAAGGCAGCATAACAGCATACAAATCAGCTCTTCGCCAGAGCTTTTGCACGAGAACCCAAATGTTTGGAACATGATGGACAGCGGAACTTATACGCCGATGGCCCAAGAAGCTGATTCCTTGCTGCCAAACAACCGTGAAAACGAGCAGGTCCTGCAATCTCAAAATAGCATGGGCAGGGTGTTTGTGCCTATGCAAATGAACAGAGTTGCACAGGCTGTGCAGCATGAACTATCTAGGCATTATTCTATGCCAAGGTTGCCACATCTTACAAGTGCAGACAAGGCTGTTGCAAACTATCCTAGCATTGTCAGTTCGTTCTATCCAAATGTTCCATATCAGACAGTTTCTGGGGCGTCTTTGAGTCCCCCAGTTATAGCCAATGGCAACTATAGGTCTTTTATTCAACAGCCTTCTCAAAATGGCCCACCATTTCAACCCGTGCCCATTATGCTCCCATTTGCACCTATGGCCGGTAACGGTTTCCAGAATATGATGGCAAGTAGGCAGTCTATGTGGGGTCCTGTACCTCTACCTATGTTTGGCAGTGCTTTTCCTATGCCCATGTCTTCACCAATGAATGAGGACAATAGCGACAGTCAGCCCTCAATGCGACAAGCTGCTGACACCAAGGCTACACCAAAAGAGCCTGGTATGCTGACAGTTAGTTCTTCAAGTGACGATGAGGTAGCAAAACATGAACCAGCAAAGTCAACAGATTTCGAAGGTAATTCAAATGGTCGTGTAAGTCATTAATTGAAACCCCCCTTTTTATCTCAACACAATCCCCCTTGTCAAAGAACCATCTATTTCTCTAGATAAATGTTTTTAGATTCATTCTCATCAACCTATTCAGTTGTTCCCATTTTCTCAAAGGCCTTGCCCCCGTCATCTTGAACTGCAGATCTATTTCAGGTTATCTAGGCCAAGCATTGTACGACGTGCTGTCTGAGCTCATGCTCGTTTCTCGCTGCTCAATAATGTTTCGCAGCGTATTAGAATAGAAGAATTACTGATTTAGAGGTCTGGGGCTAGGATTTCTCCCATACTCCTCTGCGGTGGTTTGGTTATATAATTTTGAGTGGTAAGCAACGTTGAGTATTGTCATCTTTGAAGGTCTTTTGGTGATAAATTATGGAAGATCATCACTTCCACAAAATATTCTGTCTGATATCAATTTTCTAATATTTTAATTTTGAAAAAGTTGAAAGAATCAACCATTTGTCAAAACAATTTAAATTCTAAAATCTTATTCTTTAATAATGTTAGCCAAAGGGTCCTTGACACTAGTCAAATCATTGTCTTTGACAATACAGACATCGGGCCTTTCCCATTTTCACAAATAAAGTTCAACAATTAATCGTAATATCTTCAGACTTTTGGTAGGCAGTGCATACTAGAAAGCCTTTACATAGATCTGACAGTGAATACGTAATGGATGCGGAGTGGAAACAAAACTGTAAATCAGAACCAAATTTTTCGAAATTAGAAATGGTTTACATGCATTGTGCTACCTTCTTGAAACTTCGATATCTGTTGCACGTTATGAAAAATGACTAGTCTGAATTTTAAGAATTTTTTACTAACTTTTTAAAAACTATGCTCCGCAACTCATTCACTAATATCTCAGTTATAAAGTTTTTATAAATATAAGCAATTAATGCTTACGTCATTGGTCACTGTAAATCAAATAGACGATCACTCTGAAAAATTAAAACTGCTTTCGAGGGACACTGGTCTTAAGGTTCAAGGGAGGCTAATTCTGCATATTGAAGAGAAAGATTTGGCTTTATGAAGATGAAAATGATGACTGATATAGACCCCCTTGCGCCAGTGTCTCTGCGTGTAGTTTGACTGTTTATCGAGATAGTCAACAAATTTTGACTTATTACGTCACGTTGACTAACTTGCGTTGACGTAATTCGGTGTGACCACCCTCAAACTTGGCCACCAATGTAAATCGAAACAATTAAAAATCCCAATTTTATCAATAACGATTAATAGTAAACTGCAATTAACTCTTTAAAGAAGAATATCGGTTGCGTCTGGGTTGACGTCTCAGAACCCAGAGTAAAGAAAAGGTTTAACCTTCCTCTAGACAATACCTTTGAGTTCTGATGAACAAAGAGAATTATAACATAAACAAAACAGGGTTGGGTTTGAGTGTGGCCTGTTAACCTCTACACTGGCGCTCCTCATTGCCGTTGAACGTGTGACCGGCACGTTTTCGGGCTTTCGCAGAACCTTGTCCTACCTAAAGCACAGTAAACTATACTAACAAGACATCGAATTGTAAATTTATAATTAAACTAATAAGAGCTAACTAAAGATTTCGATACAAATCTTAAACTGTTTTGTAACTAAAGACAAGAAAAATATGCAATATTGCATTTGAAGTGCAAAGTCAGTTTATCTGGCCAAACTTCCATCCATCTCATTAAACAAAGTACTTCAATAAGATATTTGATTGACTTCCTGCAAATGTAACAAAAGAATCTACCTTGATTTGGAAGTCCTCAAGCATGCCCATATACAAAAATATTGCATGTTCTTCTGCAGGGACTATGTTTTGACTAACCCTGTGTTTTTCTCTCTGTTTGATTCTATTGATGTAATAGACTTTTCTTGTAACAACAAACTAGCCAGTTACAAAAGCTAACCATGTAACCATGTAACACATTAAAGAACTTTATAACTGTATTTTAGTTGGAATTTGCAATAATATCTTTCCATCGGGATTATCAATTAACCTCGATTTAATGTGATAACCTCTGTAACTCCTAATGAATTTCAAATTCTATCAAATGTTCTGAATTCAGTTTCAAATGAAATGCAAATTCATTTTTTAAGGAACTTTGTCCCTGACAAATATTGTACGAGACCGACTTTATTAGACAAGACATGTAGTCAGAATCATAGTTGACAGAAAAACTGAATTCTACTATGTGGTCCTACAAAAACACTATCATCGGAAATTTATCAGGCACTTTTTGCCCGCTGCAACATCTATGGGTATCCTCACTTTTTTTAGTAAACACAACAGCAATTCTACCCTTTGTTAACCATTTTTCTCAGGCCTGGTCAGGAAGGAAGCACGATGTTAGGGGCTAGCGGAGAATCGAGTCATATGCACGCGTCATTCTGTCTGCACTGTCATAAGATTTTGGATTAAATTCCCCAAACATCATATTGTTGCTGTAAATAACCCATAATTACTTTAAAATCGTCTGCTTCAAAATTTCTCTCGTCAATGCACGAGTGATTCGGAAAACAAGTATAGACAATTTTTGTAAACAGGTCTATCATCTAGATATATTTTTGTCTAAACGGCAAATATACTGAACAACTGATGCTTATCACATAGTTATCAAAAAAGCCAACTTGTCCTATGAAGATTAGCCAGGCTCGTCGATAAAAATTCTGATCTCCTCGATTTGCCTTTGCCCAAGTCATTTGGCTAATTGTCCAGATTTTATGGCAAAGTGCAACTTAGATTTCTAGCAAAGCAGAGCAGCATTTTATGTTTTTTCTTTCATTCAAAAAAATAGTACTACTGTCTAAAATAAATAACTATTTTTGCGCTACTGTAATGAATGTATTTTGAGATAAATAGATCTATATTGCATCTTAAAAAATAACTTATAATCACTCAGTAATTTATAAATCATATCATAACTACATAAAATAAAATTAATTCAAGATTATCTGGCTAGTAAGGTACAATGATAAAGTTATTCTATAAATTGCGAGAAATGCATTCTATTTTATATTTTGATGTAGCTTTTAAGTTTTAATAAGTTTATGTTTTTTGATAAACATTGTATTTTAGGAACTTGCATTTCTAATACCAGTTGCAAATATCACATTTTGTAGAACTTGTTCCCAATGGCAATCATAATACCATACAGCGAGTCAATGTGCAAGGCAGGCCTAAAAATGACACTATTGGATATCTACGTGAAACAGGTAACAGTTTTACGTGATTCGCGTTTTAATTTATAATATTGCCTGGCAGCATGGCTAGAGAACAAGCCTACTATTGTTTTTCTACTTGAACTACTTGAAAACAAATTGATTGTGATTTATGTTAGTAATTAACTAGTTTATCATTTTATCTAGCTCTCTTTATTTAATTGCTGCATATTTTTTTACCATAGCCATTAAAAATCAAAGTTTTTCCTTTTCATCAAACTCGCAAGTTAGAACAATGAAATATCGTAGTTTCATTTCCAAATTTCAAATGATACTTCCAACTCAGCAATTAAAAGTACAGTATTGTTTTCGATTTATTGAATAAAGCGTTTCGTCAATCTCACAGTGGTAGCGTAAAAATACTAGAATAGGATTTGACAAAGAACTTTCGTCGTTCCATACTGGTGTGCGTCGTAATAGTTTTCATCGAACGGCCACACAAATGAAAGCTTTCTTTTGGAACAGTTTGGGACTGATGACATTTCAATAAACTCTCTGTCTACCAGTTAAATTATACTGAACCATTAAGTAATGAACGATTCTGTTTCGACAATAACTCGAATATCATAGAAATATAAGAAGCAACTGGCTATTTGTTGAATTTCTATTTCCTACGCTGTTTTCTCTATTAATTCAAAAATTGACTCACCTGTACTCATGAATCGCCAAAATCTAAGAAATCAAAAAATGTCAATCCATTTCAATCGAGCATCGTCAGAAAACTGCAGTCTCCGATAAAAACTGCACTCTGCTGCATCATTTTAATGACTGTTACTGATCCAGCCTACATTTTATTTTTATAATGGGACGTTATGACGTCAGATTAAACTGTAACAACGGCTGATTACACGACATTGCTAATGTGTTTGAAAAGGAGACTATACCAGACAGAGACACGCATGTTAGATACATCCCCAGCGATGTATGTACAACACTTGCGCAAAGCTGAAGCTTTTTTTGAAAAATCCCCCCCTACCCCCCATTACAATGTTGTTCAATTGGGATGTTTTGATCCTGAGGGTAAAAAATTTTTCACTGAAAGCTGTATGAAAGTATTGAGAAAATAAATCAACATTGTACGGGGGGAGGGGGTCGAAATTTTTGAAGCGGCAGTGATATTTTGGTGAGGTAGTTTTAGACTTGCTTTGTTTATTTGCATGCTGCAGTGGGAAGGTGTTCCAGTTATTTTTGGCAAGGATTGTAGGTGAATAACTTCTAGCAAAATACACAACTTTTGTCTTTGCAATCTATTTAAAGAGACTAAATGTAAAGCTTATGGAAAAATTGTCTTTTACAATTATTTTTATTGGCCAATACCTTTATTGGTCTCTCTTATTACCCAAAGAGCTGCAATTACTATAATGATTGGCGTTGAATTTTGGTGAAGAAACATTCTAGGTACAAACTCGGACAATTTCTTACCAATTCTTGCTATTGCCTATACATCTTACGCTTTGTTTTTACTTTATCAAGCTTATGGATCCCGGTTTTATGCTCCTATATGTAAAGTGTCTGCACAATGTGCACGCATTTATCTTGTGTTTGGAAGTCTGCCAGGATCTATGCATACCAATGTTTCTAAAATGTAGCCTTTTCCGTTTAGTGTCTTCAGATGTTGACAGCATGAAAATTGCCATAAAGGAAGTGCTCAAAAGTGCAGTTGTTGCTGGAAATATTACCACTGACCAATCGCAAGCCATTTCTCGAGAACTCAGTAATGCATTGCTGGCAAAAGAAAATAACCAAACGCTTGCAAATGCCACGGGCAAGCCAAAACCTGATGTTGCAGCAACATCTCTGGATAAAATCAATACACTTAAAAGCAACGTGGCACATGCGCAGTGCAGTGACACCATTCCAGGATGCACCAGGTTTAAAGATGCAGGGATCTGCCCGTTCGTTGCTACTTTCATGAATGGTGCATGCGCAAAAACCTGCGATACCTGCCTAACCAAAACCAAATCGAGTAAGTGTGCCAAAATTTCTGCATTACTTGTGCTGGTTTTCTGTATGCTAACTTTCTATAATACCTAAACTTTTGCTGAGCATTGTGTTTCTTCTGCAGGATCGTGTCGATCTCGTTTTATCTGCTATATGTCAGTGTCCAAAGACGTGTTCGCCTACACAGAAGTATCTTTTTGTGATAGATATGTGAATATAGAGAACATTTAGAAGAGTGCATGCATTCACCTTATAGAGCTTTTTAAAAGTCATATTGTTTCGCATCACGGAATATTCCATTCATGGAATATACGAATGTTTGCGTTTGCTATTCCATCAAACGATGTCATGACACAAAAGTCAGTTGCGCTGCCACTATTTTTGTTGGCTCGAAAAGGACGTATTTGCTAGCGATTCACAATGTTAGGTCACTCCAAAATTATTGAGATACTCAGAAACCGCAAGTGGCATGCTCAAATTTTCACAGTTTCTCAAAATACTCTCCACTGGCTTCTACGCTCAGTCTCCTACGATAAAACCATATATCAAAACAGTGGGCCCATTGTTCTACGGCCAGGTCAGAAACTGCCCCGTTGAAGGCGTAAAAGCCTATTTCCATTCGACATCTTCTGTACGTGCGGGCGTAGCGCCCATTTCTGTGCATGCGTAGTTCAAATCAAGTGGTCTCGATTTTGCGTCCGCTGTGAGCGCCAGAAAGTTGATAGGGTCTCAACTTTTTTGTGCGCTCGGCCACTTGACAGCAGCACTTAGCTGCGCATGCTCAGATTTTTTTCTTTCACCGTTGGAATAAGAAGTCACAAGATGCCAAATAATGTGAGTATGGCGGGTGGGTCATCAACTGAATTGACTTTTCGGACAGAGAGTCGATGGTCAAAGCAGCTGTGTGAGCGGAAGCGTTGTCATCGTGCCAAAGTAGACCTTTCAAGCCGGTCTCTGAACGTCTATTTCGCCAAACTTTTAGAACCTGTGGTATGCAGTGGTTAACATACCAATCCGCGTTCACTGTACGACGGTCTTCAACTTGAATGGGTGCGACATGACCCGTCTTTGAGATAAATGACGCAACCATCTTTTTGCCGACGCTTCTGGATCGCCGAAATTTTTGCGGCGGGTTTTCACCTGGAAAGATCCAAATTGAGGATTGGCCCTTTGTCGCCGGGTCAAACTGGTAAATCCAACTTTCATCGCCTGTCACAATGTCATAAACCCGTTTCGACTTCCCTCCGTTAAATTTTTGCAGCATAAACTGGCACCAATTGACGCGCTGCTTTTTTGCTCATTTCACAAGCAATGTGGCATCCAGCGGGCAGCCACTTTCTGAACTTGCAGGTTTTCATGCAAAATTGTGTTCAATGCTGCTGATCCAATCTTTACGTTATCCTGCATCATATAAAACGTCATCCGGCCATCTTGCCTTAGCATCTTCTCCACAGCGGCAACTGTTTCTGGCACAACAGCAGTTGGGGGCTTCCCTGGGTGGGTCTCATCTTTAAGGCTCTCCCTCCCTCTCTGAAATTTGGCAAACCATCGAAAAACTGTTGCCCTTGAAGGCGTATTTCTCCAAATGCCTGTAGATGCTGAGCTAGGCACTTCTTTTGTGTTTCAGATCACGTCTTTCAAGCTCCATTTTTAACAAATAAGAACATCTAAGGTGTTTAAATTCAAAACCTCTTTCTATTTTTTTGCCGCGCTTGAAATTAACAAAAATTACATACAAAACATGGGTGAAATAGATGGTACAAGCTACCAACAAAATTTCAAACTCATATCTTAAGCGGTTACTGAATATCTCAATGATTTTGGAGTGACTCTAGGGTTTAATTTCACATTGAGGGGCCTCAAACAGCAAGGTGGTTTTTAGATAGAAAAAGTCTCAGATACGCGTATTTGGCTATTGGTTTTTACAAGTGATCAATTAACATCTCCTACCGACTTGTCATTTTCTTTGACTTATTTTGCACTGCATCAAAAAAAAAGAAAAATGGAATTCAATTTGCGTTTTTTGCTTTCGGAGTTACGTTTTGACACACTTTTAATCAATTTTAGGGATTCAGCAGTTGCTTGAATTGAAAAAGGATGTTTCGTTTGACTCCAAAGGTTTGTTGTTACGCCCTTTTTGTTAACCAAGCAAAATTTGGTGCATTTTGTTCTTACGTCTCTATTTATTGAACTATTCAAACAGTTCGACGTAATTTCAATGTTTGGTGGAAAATAGTCAATCATTTATCTAGAAAAATCCACAACTATTAGACTGTTTCTTTTTATTTAACCCGTACCAATGTCATTTTCCGTTATTTGCAACCCACTCTTAGGCGATTTGCAATTCAGCTTGAAATTGTCTAATCATCCTGTTTTGCAGTTGTGGTTAGACTGATTTGTTTTAAAATGTTTATCTTGTATTTAGCGATCAAATTTTACTGCAAACATAGCAAGAATCACGATTTTTTGTTTGGGGAACCATTTTTTATCTAAACCCTTCAAGGCATCAAATTGCTACTAAGATACCTGGCTATATATATCAAAGCTTTTAAATATTTTCTTTTTACACAGAGCCACATGGGCCTTCGATGTATCTTGATTTCGAGAGTGCCAATAACAACAGTGTTGTTGAAGACAAGTCTGGGAATAAAAATGACGCAGTTCTTCTGAAAGGAGCCAAGATTTCTGGGCGAAAATTAGGTAAACATAATGCAAATTACTCACATTTGTAAGAGATTGAACTAGAAATTTGTTTCTTGTTTTAAAATATTTTGTCTTAATGTTTTCTTATACAGAGCTCCGAAGTGATGACGTCACAAAAATTTATTTTTAGAATTTTTAAATTTTTACCATACAACTCGTGTAATATGACCGTGTATAATCAGTTGAATGTGTTGGCTTTATCAGCACAGGCTCTTTCCTCCCCATCAGATCACTGTAATTTGAAATCTTTCATTGATCATATCTCGCCCAATTTTAAACATACCCAGCTGATCTTTGCAAATTGAAAATTACCTTCTGCTGTTCTTGCAGATTATATGGTCAAAGCCAGGAAATTCTAAAAATAGGCTTTAGATGACGTCATATTTGATTACCCTATGTTACTTCACAAAGCACATAAACATGTCATAACGTAAACCTAGTCAGTCGCAAGTGACTTATCTTTCTATAGATTTCCTTATTGTCTAAAAGAATGGTTTCCACCCAAACTTTAAAAGACGAATTTCTTGTGGTTGACGATGATCACTACAATGAATTCTTAGTTTTTTGACCATCTTGGGGGTCGGTTTCTTTTAAAGGGTTTGGTATAAAAATGCGTTTAGTTTGATGTTTGCTCTGTTCTTTCTCGATAATCTAGCATTTTTTCATGCGTATTATATATTTGATATATGATAGTAGATCTCGACCAAGAGGTTCAAAGCTGCATCCATAAGACCAAACTTTGTTCACAATACAGCTAAACTCAAAGAAGTCTGACCTCGTCGGACCAGGCAGAATAGTCCGACTTATGTGAAGTCCAACTTACATTTATGAAAAACCAAAATGATGCAACACAGAGGAAAAACCAAAATTTGACATTTAGGACTAAGGAGTAAAAACTCTTTATGCTTTTCAGGTGATTAGATATACAATCATGTGAACGACGTTAGTCTTATCAATATTACAGGCATTGTATCTGAAAAATAGTCAAAGATGTGTTTCTGAAGAAAGAAAGCCATTGAGATAAAAATATGTTACAATGTGATAGATTTTTTTCAAAAAATTTTGATGGGTACTAATTTCATCAAATACTTCGAAATAAGTCTGACTTGACGCAAGTATCAGACTTATACAGCCCAACTAATGCAATGAGAATGATTAACATTTGCATCAAGTAGACTGGGACCACGTATTAAGGACCGAGCCATGAAATATCCGGGCAATATGAGTTCGTCCTTTTTTAAGTTTGACTGTATCTTTTAATTGTCACATTAAAATTGCTATTTCAAACGCTATGTATTTTAATGCGCTATTCGAAATATTACTAACGTTTAATATTAACATAGTATATTTAAACTATTAGTTTGACCTGAATTCTATTATTTGTTATTTTTCACTTTAAAATCTATAATTTACAGCCCAGTGAAAAGAGCTATACCAACAGACAAGTTGGGCTTTAGTTACTTAGGAAAGGAACATGTCCTTTTTAGGAGATTTGATTATTTAGTTATTTAGCTGCTAGAGTTGCCAATGCTCTTATCTGGCTGACATCTATTGCTAGCTTTATACTGCTTACAGGAACGTGTGGAATGGGAGCGGAAATCAACGATGGTGACATAACTTGGGAAGGTAGAACCTTTCATAAGAAGCCAGTTGATGCAGTGACCCTTGCGATGTGGGTGAAAGTGCACAAAGGTGGAACAGTGAATTGGTTTGCCAGTGGTGACAAAGGTACAACATTCTACACGAGCACGAAAGATGCGATCATCCCTTCAAAAATTTGGACGCACGTTGTAGGATCGTATGATTCAACTACTGGTAAGTGAATGCTTCAGAATTCCATAATTTGGGTGGCAAAATTTTCAGGGTATGAATAGAGCCGCAACGTCTTGCTCTCATGCAAATCTATTAACAATGGCTTGTGGTTAATTTGCGCGATAAGCAAAGCTCTCCCGTCGTGAAATCTGGAATCAGATGCTAGGTGTGAACAAATTAATTACGAATCCTTTGTTGGAAGCTCTCATTTTGAAAAAAAAATATCTACCCAAATGCATCGTGCCGAATCAACTTAGTTTCTTTTTTGTCTCCAATTCAGAACTAAAATATATTTTTTAAGTACTGGACTTCAAGAAGTGATGCCTAATATTGTTTTAGGGGATTAAAATACATTCTTAATGAAAAATTAAAGATCATCTAAAGATGTTTATTTGAAAACTTCGATTCACAAAGCCAAACCTTTAGTCTCTGCCATTAGTAGTTATTGTTATGGTCAGTTGATTAAAGAGAAAAGATAAAGAAAAAAACATCTTTAGCACTCATTCCTGTATTCTCAAGTACCGTTGGGTCTTGCAATCCTTACTCTAGCAAACAATTTTTAAAGAGATGATTCAGCAAAAAGCACAAGCTTTTGTGTAAATGTCTCCTTTGTGTCCTTGTGCGTAATTTTAGGGCTTTCAAGCATTTATATAAATGGGCAACTGATAAAAGAGACGAAGCAGAAAAAAGGGCAGAAGCTTGTGCAAGACTGGCTGGTAAATGGGATTGGTCGGAGTTTTGGCGATGACAGTATGCATTACGTTGACGAGCTATACATATTTAATCGCGCGATAAAACCGGCTGAAGTCAGAGCACTCTACGATAAATGCACGTTCAACAGAATGGTGATTCATTATGGCTTTCAGAAGGGAAATAATTCTTTGATTTTGGACCAAAGTGGACTGCAAAATGATGCCATTCCAATTGAAGGTCAGCCAATTTCATGTTTTGATATTTCATAAAACTGGAGTAAGGATCATTTTTAACTACCCCCTTTCGTTGAATTCAAAGTTGTGGGCACTGAACGTGATCCATAAAATTAAACTTTTTCAGACAAATTTTTGTCCCAAAGAATTCGATATTTCTATCAATGGTGATGTAAGCAAAAAAGTTAAAATTTAAACAAAAAAAATACTTTTAATTTATTTTCGTTTTTTTCTAAAGTCAGCTGATATTTCAAAATATTTTCTTGCTCAAATGCTCAAAACATGTGAGCAAATAACATTTGCACAAACTCACATCTATTCGATCTAGTCAACTAAAAAAACGAGATATGAGGGTGCAGTCAAATAAAACTCTAAACTTGGTTTAGGTGCTGTACAAAAAGACGACTGCGAACGCTGCGGATCCTGCCTCGATTTAACTCATGGTCTCAACCCAACGCTGAAGATAGAGAGAATCTCTTTGAGTCACATACCCACAAGGTCTGTGTCTCTTGCTCTTTGGGTGAGTATGAATTCTACGAAGGGAATTCACGACTTGTTCATAACACAAGGACCACTTGACGGCAGTGGGTATCGCCTTAGGGTGATTGACGGGAAAGTTCGTTGGTCCATTGGCACTGACAACGGAGAAACAATATTTGATTATGAAACTAAGTCTGTTGTGATCCCAGAGACTCTATGGAGCCACATTATTGCAACATATGACAAAGAATCTGGTGATGTTTCCATCTTCGTCAATGGTGTCTCTAAGTTTAAAGAAACTGTAGATAAAAAGCAAAGAAAATTGCTACCAAGGGACTGGGAAACGGAGGCTAAGCTTGGCGATAAGTCATTTAATGGATATATGGACGAATTCATAATGTACAACTGGGCTATCGACGAATCAGAAGCAACTTACATTCGTAACTATTGCGCCGATCATCCAAAACTTGTAAGGTTTATCGTACACGTTCCGCTAACAAAGAGGGACAAAGTTTCGAGATTATCGAAATCAATGAATAAACGCTCTAGCGATCCAAATTTATTGGGAGAAATGGACTAGAAATAGACGGCTCACTTTCAGAGTAATTGTCGATTAAGAGAAGTGCAAGTAGTGGACGTTGATCTCCGCTAATCGCAGCCACTTCCACAACCAAGTAACTTAGCGCGGTAGGAAGAAGCGGCCAAGCGAATTCTTGGAGAAATTAGAATCTGGACTTTTTTGGGAAATTTTGTGCATCCAGCAGAAATCCATTCTTCCAGTTTCGAGAGATGTTGTGGATTGAGTAGACAGATGGAGACTATGGTTAAGTACGTTGGTCTACTCTTAACCATGTTCCAAGCCCGTAGCCTGTGGAGTAGGGGTGGCAAATCCCCAGACTTGTTGCAGGCAGACGTTTCAGCAATTCCTTTTATAAGTTTTGTTTAGCAGCGAAATTTTTTTTGAGCGCCAGGCACCATCTTGAGAGGCCCAAATAAACTTAATATATAGGTAATATATGGAAAATAAGAGATCCAAATAAACAATTCTCTTGCTCCAGGGGTGGCATTACCATCCCATGCCACCCCTTGGCTACGGGCCTGCCATGTTCACTCCAAAGAACTTTTTTTAAACTGGCAATGATCTGCTATCCCGGACGATGGTTATTTGAACAAATTTGTCGTTATCCACTTGGCTATAACGATCCAAAAGCAGTTTATTTTCATGAAAGTTTCTTTATGAACAAAATTTGTATCGATAGAGTTATTTCGAGGTGATATTTATGTTGGATCTTCCCAACAACGTAGTGCATTTTTTCACCAGAGGCCATTACCGGCAAAGACTCATGCTTTTAGAATATTCCATTTGGAATCCAAAATCGGTTTCGGAAAAAGGCAATTTGTATTTTGTTATTCATTTGACTACAGGAGATCGATTAAAGTGTTCTTAATCTTTAATTGTCAAAAACACCGCATTTATCTAACAGTAGTGCACATTTTTATGCAGTGATTTGGGCATGCGTCAAAATTGTTCTTAAGTAGTGACGTCACACAAATGCAAAATTAGTTGAATGTGTTAGGAATTGGCTAAGATCTCTCCATATAAGAACAGGCTTTTTCCCCGTCAAACCTCTGTATTTTGTTCTCTATTCATAACTTTATGAACAGAGCAAAAATAACAGTAAACTGTTAGAAAATTTAAAGTCTTACATTGGCTATATCTCACCAGGAATTTGACATATTTAACTAATTTTTCATAGTTAGTGGTCAAAATTCTTGAAATACATTTTGTATGACGTCACGTCACACTTTATGGTTATGGGTCACAAAATGATTTCTACTTGATCAATAGTAATATAAAATATTGTATTTATATATTTACTATGCTAACATTTAAATCAATATCTGATAAATATTCTGATATTGATGTCTTTGTAATGCTTTGTAATGCAGTATAACTTGAACGACCAAGTATGTATAAAAGGGATCTAATATTAATGTTTATAGTTTTCATGTTAGTAGCCGATGTAATTTTTAAGAAAAGAGGAAGAAACACAAACTACTTACATTGTGTCAATCAGTCATATCTTCGTAGTCTTTACACAGAAACTTTTACTAGGTAACCTTTCTTAAACGGATTGGCATTAAGCTATGTGCTTGGTGGGTGAATTGCATAGTGAATAGATATAGGAAATTGAATAGATAACAGATGATCGCATTGAACGTGAAACTGGGAGTAGCATACATCAACGCGTGCGCAGCTCTGTCATGACATCGAGCACTCAATAACAGACCGATATAAAATAACAGTAATTTTCACTAAAATTTATTGATGAAAATGTTTGTGATGGACAGTTGTCAAAAGTTTTTCTTCCTATGGAGTTTTTTTTACGTGTTTTTCGTAGGGCATTTTAGTATAAGTAGATATTTTATTTAGATTTCTTATTCAGAGATTTTTTACCCTTTATTACTTTCATTTTTAACCTTTTCATTTTTAGCTTGTAATTACTTTTCATTTTTAACCATGTAAATACTTTTATTTAGAATAGGGCCCTTATTGATAACAGTGCCTCTGCACTGAAAAGGTTTTACCCTGTATAAATATTTCTATTATTATTATTATTATTCTATTGAAATTTATATGATTTAACACTGAAAATGTATATATTTTGACAGTGAGACTGACCTAGGTGCTGGACGAATTAGGGTGCGACTCTCGACAATTGATTAAACAAAGATCAGATCTATGAAAAGAAAGGTTGTTGGGCAGAGTCCAAAAAAAACGGTCGCACGGTCATCGAACGAAGGAAGATTTGAGAAACAATCGAAATTTTGAGGAAGATTTTGGTAAAAAATAATTTCAAAAAACAATTAAGACACCTTTATTTTGCACTTTACAGAGTCGATTGGTGGCGCGAGCCACTAGGTTTTGAAAAGTGGGGGGGGGGGGTGTGGCCTAACAAATTTTTTAAGGCCAGGCCCTTTTGCCGCCAGAAATTACATCTGAAAAGAGAATACTGTTCGCGTTCCATGGTTTTGAAATTTTTCAATTTATATTATAGCATATTTTTATCGATTTTATTATTCGACATTTAAATATTATTCTTGAGCAGTAATGTTTTGATTGTTATTATAGCAAAGTTTTATCGTATGCGATAATTTTGTCTCTGTCAGCCCCTATGCCCTAGCCACTCCCTAGCCACGCCCTATCCACGATGATTGCGTGAAAAATTGGAGTAAGGTTTTGACAAGGAAAAATTTGACCGGAGGAAGGTTAAGGACTTTTCTGGACTTTGTCTTTGAGAAGACTTCTTTTCTAGACTTTGTCTTTGATTATCACTCATATCATGCAAGTTGATTTTCATATGCCAAGAACCTACACGAAGAATACCCTGGAAAGCGATAGAAAACATTCCTTGTTTCTTGGAAAATGATGTTACTAGGATTAAATGAAATTACTACGTACATTTTCAGAAACTGCAGGAGTACCAGTAGCGGATAGCTGTACTACATGCTGTGAGAAAGCAGTAGCTATGAATTTCCATCAAGAAAGGAGCATTATCAGCTCAGGTCCTGAGTAACTAAGCGCTTTTGGATTTTTCGTTGACTTTCAAAGCAAACAGTTGGCATTAGTTGCACCTGTGAAGCCCGATAGCATATATTTCTGAAGAATTGATATACCTAGCAACGGACGAAAGACAATTCTTCTTAAAAATACTGCTGAGAATTTAGTTTAAGTGCTAAGCAACGCCAAGAAGCAGGCACTGTTTCAAACAGCATCGATGCATATTCCAGCCAGTAAACATACTAGAGTTTCTAACACTTAGACACGGAAGTTTCTAACAAGGAAAAAAGAATCTTCAAGAAGACTGGCTCTTCCTGTAAAAATGTTATAAAAGCCAGCTGCCGTGTAACCCTGCATTGAAAAATATACTTGATTGAAAACCCAAGTACACTCGGGGGGGGGGGAGGGCACTCCCATTATGGCCTAACAGGGGGATCCAGTCAGGGTCAAAGAGGGCAAAAGCTAAAGTGCTAAAAATACCCTCAAATGGTAGTCTTTTTTGACAACAAAGCATAAAAACAAAGGAAAACTATAACAAAGAAGCTGGTGTTCACTTGCTCTCTACGCAAACTATTTTATGTACGTTCCAAAATGCTAAAGAAAATCTTTAGTTTGATTGTCTTATGACTACAATCAACTTTGTTTTGCCAGAGGCTTCAAAATGTTTTACAATATTTACTTTTTTCAAAGCCCTGTTTTTGTCCACAGAACTCTTGGTTTAAATTACCCTTAATTAAGCATTGGGCGGAAGATTTTTTGTTTCTAATTGCAATTAAAACAGTTTAGATAGTGCATTACAATTTAACGAAACTGTGGGACGTAAATGTTACACCTGTCGGTAGAATGTTTTTTCAAAATACGCAGGGGAAACGTCCGTTGACATGGAAGTTGCTGCGTTCGTTGGTCGGACCACGGAATGAAAATTTCTTGATTTTATGACGTAGGAGGCAATTCAACTAGATAACTTTGACCCCCTGTGGCGACCATCAATATTTAAAAAGTTGAATGGTTGTTACGATCAACTGCAAGATTCACCTGCTTATTGCAGGTTAGTGATTCTTTCGTCTTTACTACAAAATTACTCAACTGCACTATTTGGAAACGATTCGAGATGAGGCACGTGGTTATATTGCCAAACGGTGAGGAAATCCAAGTTGAGCTTCCAAAGTCAGGCCAGCAACCTAAAGGTTCGGATCTACTGCAGCTTGTGTTCCAAAACATCGGTTTTGGCAAGGCCGACCAACAGTATTTTGGACTTTTATATTGTGATAAAGAAGATGGTCGTATGGATTGGCTTGAAAAAGATGACAATCTAAAAAGCATCCCTAAAATCAAATCTTCGGGCTTTGTTCTGGCGGCAAGGTATTACCCACAGCATCCAGACCTGGTTTTGAAGGACACGAACACCCGACGACTGTTTTGCTTCCAAATAAAGGAAAAGTTGATTCGAGGAGAATGGGGGTGTGACGTGGAAACACACGCCATCCTTGATGGCCTCTTGGTGCAAGCAAACCTTGGAGACTTTGATCCAAAGCTCCACCATTATGGTTACCTCAAAGCCATAAAAATGGTCGACCTGATAACACCAAGTCGATTGAATTCAGATGCTGATCCTTCTGAAAATCAGTACCTGAAAAGAGTCAGCTATTATCACAGGCATAATATAGGCCTTACACAAGACGAAGTTGAGAGCTTGTATCTGAAGAAGGCAAAAACCTTAGCTCTGTATGGGTTTATAATGCACACAGTTGTTGATAAGAATAACAATGAGATTTGTGTTGGGCTTAGGGAACAGAGCATTGCATTATTTGATAGTCCCTCATTTGCTCATGACAATTCATTGATGATTAAAACTGAGCTGTATTGGAATAGCTTGAAATTCTGCATCAATATGAAATGCAAAGTCAAGCTTGGTGTTGAAATACAAAGAGGAAACATGACAGAGTTTGTTTGGAAAGTCAAGAACAAACATTGCTTCCATGGAGCACAACGTTTATGCATTGATATTAAAGCTTTTCAAAACATGTATGCTTCCCGAGATGAAAGTGACTTTATGACAAAGAAGAAGGAAGTAAAAAGAGCCAAGTCATTTGCAAATCCTTCAAAAACAAACAGAACAAAATTCCAACGTCTGAACAGTGTTGCAACAACTTTGAGACTTTCACTGAGAAAGAAAAAGGAATACCACAATGAACCAGATCTGTTGAATTCTAGTAAAACTTCAAAACAGGAAGGGGAGGAACGGCTTGAAAATAGCAGGGTTGTCCTTGTGGGGTAGATTTACTGCATTCAGATTTTGCATTTATTTTTGTTTTATGTTATTAACTTTGTTCCAAACTTTGTGTTCAAAAGTAAGCATTTGAAAACTTTTTCAACATCATTTCAGATTGCTTGCTTTGTATAATTATGGTAGCTTGTAAACAGTTCAAGGTATGTTCTATAAATAAAAGGCCAGGAGTAGTTTTTTTGGAAAAAACATTCGCATTGACAAGTACCACAATTGACTCAATAAGAACTTGAGGAGCATGGGTGTTGATATGGCACACTGTTGCCTTAACAGGGGGATTAATGACCCCAGGAACAGCTACTAAATACCCTTAAAATCAGCATTGCATTCTTGAGAATGTAGATATAGTTAAGCTGTGAACATACGTATTCTAGCTCATGTAAGATTTTTACAAATATTTTAGAAAGTATCACCACATTAATTTTGGTATTTTTAGATATTTGTGTTATTGTTCTTGTGTATGTTTATTTCTTCATGTTGCGTTTGCAAGTCAGTTTGCTCAGATTTGCACCATTAGATGAATATGTGTATCCATTTATCTGGATAAAGCTTTAAGAATAGCTTTACAGCGTAGACAGATGTGACTGTGATTGACTGAGCAAATATATGTGAACTGCTTAAAATTTTAAATGATTAAACTTTTCTGCCTGTTAAATCGTTTCCAAATTGAAATGTCACCATGACAAGCTAAAGCTGACTCTTATATATCTTAAGTTTGATATTGATCATTTATTTTGTAGTTAATGAATTATGAGACTTGTTGTACAGCCATTTGTCACAGTCATTTGGGGACATGATTTTTAGACTGATTTGTGCCCTGAAACAGTGACATACACAGACCTATCACTAGAAAACAAGCATTGATGAGCTTTTAGAATGTTGTATAGTAATATCATGATATTTGATAAAATTTATTGCTTCAATAGTGCCATGAGTAAGTTTTTTACTGTGAGTCTATGTAAGAAACATTTCACACAAACTTCACTACAGTATGGTCCCAGACTGCCTCTTCTTTTAGAGCAGGGGTTCTTAATTGCAGGCTTTCGTCGGAAAGGCGTGCGATCGCACGCGCACGCACTGGCGCACGCCTGCTGCTTTCCAGGAGTGCAAAACATCGCACGCCTTCTTTTATTATCGGAGCAAAATTCATAATTATTGGTTTTGTGCGTTTTTGAGATGAGTTAATATATTGATCCCTCCTTGGTACAATTACTTAATGCCACTTCAAAAAGGCTTGACACCTTTTCAGGATTGCGGATTAAATATAAAATTTTGAAATAATCATAGAACTAATCTACAGTGGAATCCTGATATTATGAAACCTGACCTGGTTACAAGTACAACTAATTTTCCGGCATGACAAAAAATGTCTGGCCCCGTGAACTCTGTCTCTGCACATTTTCCCTCTGTATAACGAATTCCGTATATAACGAATTCTCGTTATAACGAACCTGATTTAGTCTCTTCATCATAATTTTCCTCATCATAACTTTTCCAAAAATTTTCACCGTTATTTTGGTCTACTTATTCCCGCTGTATATGTATCACTATTTCTCGGTGGAGTCATTATTGCCAGCGACAAAACATACATTGGCAAACATGCACTTTTAATGATGCAAAAAAGGAGAAGAGATTTGTGCAAACGTTTACACCTTTTCAAGGCTTTAAGGCATTTCATTGAACAAATCCAAACACAGAAGACTATAACAGACATTTTTTTGTCCCCGAATTTTAAGAGGAACATTTAGTGTTTTCAACAAGACTTTCATTTTCTATCGCTAATGTACGAAAGTAGCCGATTTTGCGATAAAAAGGAGCCGATTTGCCAATGATGCGGAAAAAAGATAACAGAGGATTTGCGGATTTCGCTACCCCCTACAGCCCCCTCTTTAGACATCGCTATGCTTTAAATCTAGATTTTAGCAACATTTGATTCAATGAAAATTGGGCCATCATTATCTTTTATGTATCTGGCCAGTGAGGTACACAAAATAGCTGTAATGTTTGATAACAAAGGGCTCTCGATGCACTGATTTACACGAAAAAACTGCCATTACAACCAGATGAACGCCAAAGCATCAATGATTCTACTAAGGATTCATTATTGAAGCTAATGAAAACTGCTTACGACATGGCAAACATATTTCTGTACTTGTAGTGCCGTTTTTTGTTGATGTATTAAATAAACTCAGTTTATACTTGTTTAGAAAACTGCTCAGTTGCTATAATGTAAGTAGTCGTGGTAAGAATTCAGCGAAATAAATTTCATCAAATTATTGCTGTCATCAGTTTCGTGTTGGCTATTTCTTCGTAGATCTACCATAATTACCAAAATGTTTTGTGAAAAAATGTCACACGCCATCACACGCCATCACACGCCTGGATGTTTTCAGGGGTGTGGTGGTTAGCACCCCTGCTATATTTTTCCCACGAAAGCCTGAATAATTGTTTTGAGTGCTGAGCCAGAAAAACATGCAGATTGCTCTGAGGGCCAATGAGTTTTCGACTTTTACATAGCTTGTGTCTAAAAAGTTGCACAAATTTACAAGTTCTATATTCTATATTCATAAAATGTATATAGTGTGCTTATTTTCATGAAATAAATTTGGGAAAGGTGGATAAGAGGAGAGAAAATGGGAGAGCGACGATAACATTAAGGGACATGATGCTGGCTTGATGTTAGCGGGATTGGCTCAATGTGCAATACCAAACGGATTTACACGACAAAATTTAATGATTGTGTTTGTATTAAAAAAGGCCGCCACCATGGTTGGCGCCAAGAAAAATTTTAGATTATAATAAATTTAGGGATGGCCAGAAACTGCATCTAAAATAGAATTTGACTGGAGAAAAGCCAACGGCTCCATAGTTTTATCTATTTTAATGTTGACATGAAAAGAAAGGGTCTTCCAAAGTTTTAGAATTATCTTAACATTATCAACTTTTTTGCAAATGAATGAAACCAAAATAAGATGGGGAGAAGAAATAAAACACAGTTTGGCAATAAAGCATTGGCCAGTGCCCTAGTCCACACACGCTGCCTCATGTACATACGCTAATAAGCATGAACTTCATGAACTAATAAGTCTGGCCTGGGGTCTCAGAAAGCGGAGAAAGGGCTGAGGTCATGGTGAGTTTATCAACGACCAATTTAATTCAATGAAAGCAGTAAAATATTTTGCTATAAAATGTTTAAATGATTTAATAAAGTAATTCTTATTTTCGTACTTCCTTTCGGACCATACTGGTCAAAGAGACGCACATAATCATTTACTGTAGGAAAAGTATCACCAGAGCAGTCCAAAAACAAAACTAAATCGAATTCAAAATTTTCAAAAGCGTAAGCCAAAAATATTTCTTTTAGATGAAGCGCTCGGCGGGCCGGTAAAAACTTGGTGCTGGCTGTTTTAGAGTTTTAACAGATATCTCACTGTTTGGTAGCAGCATTAATCCAGCTTATATGACTTTTCAGGGGTCCAGTGAGAAACTCAGAAGTAAACTTGCAGGAGCACTCTTTCATTGAAAGGATTTGTAGACACAAGGAGACAATCACTAAGACAATCACATTGTTATTGCACACCCTGCCCTGGTTGGGGACTAATTGCAGGCTGATTAAATTCCCTATAGGGCTCCCTCAGTAGAATTCAATCCCGAGTGACCCACACATCCAATGAAGACATACCCTTTTCTAAGGGAAATCTCCTTGGGGGTTAAACATTTCTTCTCATAAGGGAGATGACAATAGCCTATCGTTTTAAAAAGATGGAATGTATTTTGCTGGAGAGAAGCCCCTTCCCCCCACTATTTAGGATGTTTGAAAGGCCTAAGATGACGATAAAAACAGGGTTGACAGTGTCTTGCTATTTAGTAAAGACTACATAGCATCTTTCATTCGTTTCCATTCAACTTTCGTCAACCGGGATTTGCAGATGTTTAATTGTCAGACAGACAGTTACCTAAGGGGCAATGGTCAACTGTACAGCGATACTGAAAAAGGTTTTAATCAGCATTTGTTTCGATTCTGCCGAACGATGCAACAAACAAACAACTGCTTAACGAATCTACTGTCTAGTCTTTTCTGTCTAGTTGTTTCAAAGACAGGAAGTATTTCAGAACGAAAGTATTGGGTGGCAAAAATTGGAAGCCACAAGGACGCGTGCGGTTCGATTCTGTAAGTACATTTAGTTTCCATTCTCAGAGTAATATGCTCTAAGGAGACCTTCCTTCAAAATCTGCAATACTTTGCTCCAGATATTAGTTCAAGGAATTTTCATTACTGCACAAAACAGCCTAAATGGCAGATTCTCAGGGCCAAATAGGGTGCGGCTAGGGATGTGGCGAAGCTTTGACTGGACCTCTTTTGGGGGCCTATTATAGGAGGACCAAAAGCTGCAAAAATCAACCAAATGCCGCAATCCGCAATGAAATTAAGCGCGAAGACGCGGCCGCGATAGCAAAAGAGGCCCTATAAAGGGTTTTTGAAATATGAAGTAATTAGAGTTTTCGGGGAGAAAATATGACTATTTAGATTTTTTGGTTTTGAAATAACTTTGGTTCCCAGCATGAAATATGAAATAACAAAATAACTGAATACATATTTTAATGTTGTGTTAGAATTATCTTTTTGATAACAGCATTGACTGAAGTGACTTTTGATATGTGGAGCTGTTAGGATACCATATTACGCCTGGGTGGCTCTTTTAAATTTTTCAAACTTTTTTGGGGCATTTTCTCACAGCAGGCGCTTAAAGGCTTTTCATACTTCATGATTAGTAAAAAAGCCAATAGCATAGAATCTACCGCAAATTGTTTTGCTTATATTATCTCATAAAAATAGACAAAAATAACAGATAAGATCATAAAAGTGTTTTTATCTACCTTAATTGTTCCACAACTTTATACTATGAATTCTTTCCAATACAACTAAACAACAGTTTTGTAAACCATTTAAGTTGCAGGATTGATTTGCTGATAAAATCTGTCTTCTAAATTTTCAAATCTCCAAACAGATATTGTTCATTCTTCAATTCTTTTTATCTGAGGCTAGACATGTTTCCCGCGAGGTTATTCTTATTTTAAACAAATTAGACGAAGACTGGCCCCTTCAGGTTGTACCCTCGACGCAAAAGACTTTAGACTATCAGTTTTGATACGTGTATGTTTTTCGAGTTTCTTTAGTTTTTCCCCAGAAACAAGTTGAGCAAAACAAAGATGGATTTCTCATCCAGTGTCCTTAGATTCCCCTCAAAAGTACCAAAGGATCACCACAGTTCCAAAGAGAATCAATTCCCTAATTTTACCTAAGTACGGGGCCCTTTGGCTATTCCTGAACATATTCTTTACACATTTTCAATATTTTATCTGCAAAGTTTGGTTTTGAAGACTCAGTCCATTTTGTATGTGAGTCGGTCCCATGTGTCCTGACATCTCCTAAAAACTTTCTACTTCGGGGGTAGAATGGAACATTTGACAATTTCGAAATACTTTACTTTGGTAATTTGAAATATGAATTAATTATAAGATATCATCATGAATTATGAAATAATGTCGTCCCCTCTTATAGGGCCTCGCAAAACATCACGAGACACCAAAAGCCATCTACTTGAAAAGGGGGATAAGAAGTAACTGTTTCTAATGGTCCTCACTATATTTCGCAACAAGCTATCGTTGTATCAATCCAAACATTTTTAAACATCTATTGACACATCAACGTGTTTGTATCCAAGCATTTTTCACATCCCAACTTTTTTTAGAATATCTAATTTTTGCAGAGCCACAACATTTTTTAATTATTAAAACTCGCATTTTCTTGCTTTGAACAAAACTCAAGTAAACCAAAAACTTGATTCTTGATAAAGCTTGAGCGTTGCATTATTCTTGAATTTTTTTAAATTTCAGCGATTTAGAGCCTTAATATTCTTATAGACTATTTTCTTATAAAAAATGTGTACCCTGAATCATATGAATGGACTAAAATTCGAAAAAAAGCTAGCCCTACTCAAGCTCTACTGAATGAATCGGTTATTGAACCTCACTGCGCAACCAAATTGTGCCCTGACTCTGAGCCGACAAGGAAGATAGTCTCTTTTGCTAGTCGACCAGTCCTTGTATCACTTTTCTCGCTTCTTAGAAATAGAAACAGTTTCATGAGTTATTGAAAAATTAATTGAAAGCTGAAAACATTGTCTCTGCAGCTAGATAAAATCCAATACATGAGCCGAAAAATACATTTATTGCTATGCATATGAAAAATTAGAATTTTTTGCTCAATTGTTTATCGACAACAATATGTACTTAATCTTAACAAAACGTCTCGACAGATTTACCACTGGAGACAGCACCATGGTTGCCGTAGAAGGATGAAAAATCATTTTGAGTATAAGTGATTCAAGTTCACTGGAAAATGGACCTTTTGAAGCAATTTTGTCTTTACAAAAAAATTAGATGGTTTCTCTTCATATAGGAACAGAATCTCTCATATTGAATGGTTGGGATAAAGTCTTGATATCGGGACTAATAAGGAAGGCTGGGAGTTGGAAATAAAAAAGGAACATTTCCATAAATGCTGAAGTTGGTTTTGCCGAAAAGCTCCATAGGGAAGACCATATCTTTGGTACAGTAGTCTTTGTGCTCCTTGAATTATAAAAGCTGTTACAATGTTTTCGCTGACCATGTCATTGTTATAATCCAATGTTTTCACTTTACATGTTAGAAGATTGGGCAATTTCATCCCCTCGTGCTAATTTTAAATATTTATTTATTTATAAAGATTTTAAATACTTCCTTTCCCTTGGCCTTATCCTCTAAAATCCTGGTTATTTTCTTAATATAATCAAAAATGTTTCAAATAAGGTCCTCGTTTCCATTGAAGAAACTATGTCACAGAATAGAAATTAGGCAGAAGGGGAACTCCTGCCTATCAGGTGAAGCCTGAAAAAACTTGCGCCTGCGTTAACTTATACGAGGCTTAGAATGTTGGGAAATTTTAAAAAAGAATGAAAGTAGACAACTTTATTTGAGACGAAATGCCCCATGATAGTGAACAAATTCAATTATGTATCATAATTAGTTTATTTCTGATTAATGAATGATAATTTTGTCATGGCTAAGTTCGTCTAATGAAATCGAGGTTAAAGGGGAATTAAATAATTCTATTGTTGACTCAGGCTTCAAAAACAACAAAGGAACCGACGAGAGTTACCCTTCTGCCTATTTCCTATTCTGTGACTATGTTTTGTTTATTTTGATCTCTTCGTAGCGGGAGGACGTGATTGTAAAAACTCTGCCCATATAATTCCTATCATAAAATAAGTGGAAATGTAAGGAGGTAACATAAGAGTTTGTATAAAGTTTTTGGCAAAGACATTAGATGATTTTATATTGCTTGATAGTTGTATCAGGTTGTGTAGAAGCTATGACAGTTCATATGAGACAGAGTCATCTATATAAATTTTTGCAGCTTGTACATACATGTAAAGGTTGTGCATTGCATTCGGGCAGTGATAAGTAATGTAAAACTTGGTTCAAAAACCCGTTAAAGCACAAGTTGGTTGTAATTTTGTTTTTTAAATATGTTGCGCGGCCCCTTAAGTCTACGAGCAGATTATGACACCATATAAAACCTCAGCCTTCAAAATTTTTTGGGGCTAACTGCCACCTTGGCCCAGCTCGCTTTGCAAGGCCATGTTCACAACATTAGGATTGATGGTTTATTCATTGTTTCAAATTTTTTAATGATATCCAGTTCAGTTATATCTAGTTGCCTTGTCTGTAAAATTATCTTCTGAAAATTCCCTAGTCATGAATATTACGTCAACCCCTATTATTGTGAATTAATTGGAACTGACCATCCCATGAATCATTCTGAAAACTGTACGTAGATATTTTGTCCGCCTTGCGGAGACAATGTTCTTCGAAAACATTTGACTCGTGTAAGAGAACCCTATGACACCATATAAAACTGCCGAATATTTCTTGGGGATCCTATTTGTTTGTTGGCCCAGTGGGAGGTACGGCCCTGCTTACACGGCCATAGCAACCACGTAGCTTTAGGTGTCGGCTAGGGGGGGCAAACTCGAGCAAGAACCATACCTGAGGGAGCAGGCTTTAAAACAAGAAAACAGATATATAACAAACAAATAAATTTGGACAAAATCAAGGTCATAGATTTATAAATATGCCAAATTTTCAAAATATAATTTGGAAAAACTGTAGCCAGAGAGGGCAAGCTGTTGTCAAAATTTTCATTTGGGGGGCACAGCCCCCCGTGCCCCCCCCCCTGCAGCTACTATAGAGGTACCAGTTACACTGGCTGGCTGTATGGCTGTATGTACCAGTTACCAGTATGGCTGGGCCATAGAGGTACCAGTTACACTATATCATTGTGTTATCCTACCTCTTTGGTATGGGCACTATTGTTTAAATTTTCTCTCCCACTCTTGTTCTAACTGACTGCAATGACTGACAGTAGCTTGTCCATTCTTACGTTACTCCTATTCGACATGGAGCTCTTTTCAAAACCTTTGGTGTAAAGTGAAAAGCCTTGCCGCGGACCGTCTTTCATTTGAAAGCCGCAACCGTATTATAGAAGCCGTAAACCGTTGCGAATTTATACCGATGAAAGACGCAAGACGCACCTTTTGTTGAAACCGCAGTCCGTAGATAAACCATGTTTAAATCCGGAGGCCGCAAGTAAAAATAGGGTCCAAGCCGTGAAGCCGCAAACCTATAATAGGCCCCCTCTTTTGACGGAATATAAACTTTTTACATTATTTTCAGGGACACTTTCAGTGTAATTTAGCCTAACTGCAGCTGCCAATGATTATGAAATACATCTTACAAGAACATATCAAACCTGACCAAAAGAAAACAGAATGGTAATCCTGAAGACTGGGAGGTTTTTCTTTACTTCCACCCTATATATTGAGTCAATATAGTATTTCTTTGGGAACGGGAAAAACGAAGTGGAATGCAATTTACACGCATTTCTTATAAAAAACAGGTTATAAGAAACAGTAGGCTCAATTTTTCGAAAGTTAAGAAACAGCCCTACCCAAATTGATAAAAGCTAAAAATCTTTTATAATTTGCAGCTTTAATTTTCCAAATTGACACTCAAAACAGTCTTGACATTGAACACTACCATTGACATGCAGTTTGCATTCATTCTCAG